GGTTCAAATCCCAGCTCTACTACAAGTTAATATCTTCAAGCAAGACACCTGATTCTCTGCTTCATTTCCCTATCTTTATAATATTGCTATGTGCAGCTGAGTCAGAACCGACCCATAGTTGACCTTCCAGCAGATTTTCAGAAGCAGTAAATCTTATGGGAGGAGACTGCCTATTCTTCTCTTGTAGATTAGCTGGTGTATTTGAACCACATGCTTTTGGGATTACAGCACAGCTCCTTACCTCTAGGCCACCAGACCTCCATTATCTTTATAACAGGGCTATTAATAGTGCCACTTGGTTGAATGTCTGTAAAAGTGCTTAAACCAGTGCCTGGTACTCAGTAAACCTTATTGTTGTTGATTGCCATCGAATTGAGCACAACTTATAGCAACCCTATGGACAATAGACTTGACCCCTGTTCTATAACTGTCATCATTTCTCTGTATTGTCTGAGTAGATTCTGGACTTTCCAGGTCTGGATCCAAGCCCCCTTCATTGGTCAAGTCTCAGACGTCTTTTCGTTTCTTTCCAGAAACCTCTTTCCCATCTGGTTTCATCTCCCCTCCCTGATGTGAAATACAGCTGCTGGAATCTTTTGATCTTCAGCTTTTAACGAATGAAGTCTCTGCTCTTGCCTATCTGTTCCCTGCTACAGGTCCTCCCCTGACCCTGGAGCCTGGGACTCTGGGGATGGGACTGCACGGAAAGCAGAGGCAGGGTGGCATTTGACGTCTCGTTCCCAGGCTTCCTGGGCTAGCGAAGGAGGCTTCTGGCCAGACCCCGGACATGCTTGGATTCTCTTCCCTTTCTCACTACAGATGTTTCTTTTCCTGATGTTTTTTCATGTTGAATTTCACTTAGCTATTTCCTGTCCAGTCCCAAGTCCATTGCCTTCCTCCTCAAACTTGGCTCCTTTTTTCTGGAAGAAGTTTGGGACCTTGGTCATTGCACCAAGGTCTGCTAAGGATGCTAAGAATCTCTGTGCCCCAGAGATGCCATCCACGGCCTTGCTTCTATGGAAGATTGAGGGAGAAAGGTGACAGTGACAGTCTTTCCCAGACGGAGAGGATCCAAGCCTGTCCCTGCCGAGACCACTTCCTCTGCGAGGGTCAGTATCCCTGCACCAACCCTCCTGGCTTCATACTTCCCCTGGCTCGATCAAGGTCTGCCAAGCACCTACCCCACACTTAGTGAGCAGGTTGTCGTCTCTCTCAGCCCAGGGAGTGAAATAGAGCCCCTGTTGTGATTCTTAACCAGGACACACCCAGGCTCAGGGAGAGCTGCCTCTGGGGACATAGCCCACAGGGAGTTGCACTGCTAACCCCAAGACTGTGCCTCTCTGGCAGTTCCAGTCTACCAGTTCAAGGGAGAAAGATGGGCAGACTCCTCCTGTGTGATTTACAGCCTCAGAAACCCAGTGGAGGGTCACTTCCAACGTGATGGCAGTGAGGGGTTTCTTTATGACCTTCTCACCAGAAGACAAAAAGCCTCACCACTGGGCCAATAAGCAACATCATGATAGATGGAGAAAAGATTGAAGTTGTCAACAGTTTCATCTTATTTGCATCCTTAATCAGCACCCTTGGTACCAGTAGTCAGGAGATCTGAAGACATATTGCATTGGGCAAGTCTGCTGTCAGGGACCTCTCCAAATTACCAAAGGGCAATGATATAAATTTGAAGACTAGGATGTCCATAATTCAGGCCATGATCTTATCAGTCACTTCCTATGCATGCATCTTGGAGAAAGTGCAGCCAGAGCGCTCCTTGGAGGCAAAGATGACAAAGCCTCATCTCACATACTCTGGGCATGTTGCTAGGAGAGGCCAGCTCTTCCTTGGACATCATCCTTGGAAGAGTGGAGGGTCAGTGAAGGAAAAGAAGACCCTCAACCTGATGGGTTAACACAGTGACTACAGGAATGGGGACAACAAATACGTCAGAAATGATGAGGATGGCACAGGGTGGGATAGGCTCAGGTCTATTGTTCATGGGGTCTCTATGAGTCATATTCAACTCAACAGCACCTGGCAACAACAGCATCACCAAAAGTTGTTGTTGTTGTTGTTATGCTTGTGACTCATAGCGACTCTATGTATAAGAGCCCTAAACGCCGTTCTATCCTGTGCCAACCTCACCGTCTCAAACTCGCTCACTCCCACCACTCCACTCACAGAATCGATCCATCTCATTGAGGGTCTTCCTCTCCTGCGCTGTCCCTCCACTCTACCAAACATGATGTCCCTCTCCAAGAACCAGTCCCTCCTTGCAACATGCCCAAAGTATGTCAGACGAAGCTCCAGAATCCTTGACTCCAGGGAATATTCTGGCTTCACCCTCTCCAGGACAAACCTGTTTGTTCTCCTATCAGTCCATGGTATATTCAACACTCTTCTCCAGCACCACAGCTCAAAGGCCTCAGTTTTCTTTCTATCATCCCTATTCACTGTTCCAATTCTCCAGTGCATACATGTAATTGCGAAGACTATAGCCTGGATTAGGCACACCTTAGTCTCCAGCCTGACATCATTGCTCTTCAGTACTCTTAAGAGGTCCCTCACAGCTGACTTTCCCAATGCAATTCGTCTCTTGATTTCCTGGCTGCTGTTACCAAGAGTGTTTGTTGACTTTGGAACTAAGTAAACCAAAAGTAGGGACAGCTTAACCTGTGGTTGTGAACAAAGGGTCTCAGGAAGCTCTATTTCTGACTAACTCCTGGAGGTTTCAAAGCATATTTCTTGATGCAAACTCCACACCCACCCACCCCCAGCCGCCTGCCAGAAGCCCACTGGCTGACCAAGACAGGAGTGGACACTTGTTCAGAGGGGAGAGAAGAGAAAGACCAGCAGGAAGTATTTGCTCATGAATTGCTGGGGGAGGGACATTAAGTGAGAGCAGAGACTCTGATGAGGGCAGTGCAGCCTAACCAGTAGGCTTGTTGGTAGCACTACACACACAAAGGTGCCCTCACATTAAGGAGCTCACAGCCCAGGAAGGGAGATGCAGACACGAGAGTATGGGGGTGAATGGTGCTTCCAAAGCTAGTCATCTTTAGAAGCAGCTAGTATTAATAGGCAACAGCATTTTTGGCTCATTCATTCAAGTATTTATTGGACATGAGGTACTGAGAATGTAGAGTTGAATTCTTCACAGTCCCTGCCTTCAGAGTGCTTCCATTCCAGTAGTGATCCCAGATAATTACAAAGTGCGCCCAGAACCTGGCCTAGGGGTGAAGGTGACTGAAAAGCAAGGGCTCGGGACAGAGTTTCCTAGAGGAGATTTTATTACTTACCTTTATTGAGAAGTATAAATTGCATGCAGTGAAGTACACCCATTTTAAGAATGAGTATACATTTTGAGATCTCTCCACCCAGGAAACCCTACTCTAGTAAAGATCCGTAACATTTCTGTCTCCCGAAAAGGTTCACTGTGCCCTTTTCCTGTGAGCCCCACCTCACCTCTGGCTCCAGGCGACTGCTGTGCTGATCTTTTTGGTCACTGTAGATTACATTGCTTTCAGATAAATGACGTCAAATAGCATGTGGTCTTTGTGCCCAGCTTCTTTCACTCAGCACGAGTGTTTGAGATTGAGCCACATCACCATGTTTCTCACTGATGTGCCCCTTCTTATTCCTGAGAAATTAGAGGAGTGCTCTTTTGAAGCGAGGTGGTGAGGGGTCCGTTCATCATGTTTGGAAAAGTCGAGCATCTCCAGGAATGGGGCCACGTTTGTTCTGTCATATGTAGGGTCTCTGTGCATCAGCAACAAGTTAGAGGAGGTGATATGCTGTCTGAGCGTTGGAGGATGAATAGGAGTGAGTCAAATAAGCAGAGAGAGGAAGGGCATTCCAGCAGAAGGAACAGCATGCAAAAAAGCATAAAAGTGCCAGGGACATGGACTGTAGGGAATTGGGGGAGACTGTCTCACTTTATATTTTTCCTTCTCCCTGAACCTCTCTCCTGCTTCCCTCACCTTGTCCAGCCAGTGAGAGGCAGGTTTGGTTTTCATGTTCAGGACGTTTCCTTCTGGCCAGAGCAGGGCCCAAGGCCCTCAAGATGGGTCACTGGGTCAAGTGCACGTAATGAGACTACAGTGAATTTGTATGTACCTGTGGGCTCTGCGATTCTCTTGGGGTCTTCCAGGTTAGTTTTATTCCTGAATTACCTGGTAAAAAATCTTTAGAAACATTGTACACTTGGCTAAGATATGAGGGTTGTTTCCACACCCAGAAAGGCGAGTGTGATAGAAGCTGGACCTCCAGCTGGGGCCTCCTCCAGCCTGCTGGGCCGCTGCCAGCGCCTCAGGTGGCCAGTGCTGGCCTTCAACATTACCCCGAGGTCACATGATGATGACGCCTCCTCTGTCCTGCCCTGACTCAGCCCAGTCGTGGGGCTCCATCCACTGATAGGGGTGAGCCTGTTAGTGAGGCCGCAAGTGCCAGAGCCAATTCTCTGCCCAGCTGGAATGTGTCCTCTGTGACCTAGAGGTGTGGAGGTCAGGCTGTGAAAAGAGGTGGCCCAGATGGTCAGGTTAGAGCTGCTGGGGGAGGCGTCAACTTTCACAAACTCACCCTTGATTCCTCCTGTGTCCACAGTGACCCCAGGCATCCCGCATTCACTGTGTTCCCCCATCTTTGCTGGCCCGTGTCACCCTTTTACCTGCCTGTGTCTTCTCACTTATGACTCATATAACTTTGTCATCTCTAGAGGAAGGAGAGCCCTCACATAAGAAGAATTTTAATTACACGAGTATTTGAGGATTCATTCAGACTCAATGAATTTGCAGGATTGGGCTCTGAGCTCTCCAGCGAGATTTGGAGAAACTGAGTAAAAAATCCTGTAGCTCAGCCCTGGTCTGGCTCGTGTAGCCAAACTCAGGCTGACTTAGGCACTGCGGAGCTTTGCCATGTGACTCTGGGTTGTCCTTGCTGGGAGCGCGGGTCTGAGGGCTTGTCCGTAGCTGGCGATTGTGACTCAGTCTGCTGCCCATCTTTCACAGGTGACCCAGGGACTGAGGGCCTACGACGACTTGTCTGTGCCCGAGGATGCGGAGACGGCCACTGTGGGCCGGGCTGGCTGGAACTATTCAGACCTTTCTGATGATGAAGACTTGCTGGCCGACAGCGCCTCAGGAGGTGAGATTGCTAGGGGGCGGGGGGCGGGTTGTGTTATTCTCTGGAGTACAGACTGGTGTTTGGAGGGACACACTGAGGCTTGGAATGGGCTGAATGAGAGCTGTGCATGTCCTTAGCCCCAGTCCCAGTGACCCCAGCATTCTCCCTTTTTTAACCTATGGGACCCCAGGCCAGTCTCAGCTGCTGCAGTGTCTTTCAATAGCATGGGGCTCAAGAGACTGGCCTGGGGAGCCTGTTTGCAGTGAGCAGCACAGGATGACGACCCTCCCCATTTACTCTGCCTGAAGGGCCCTGTGTGCCACAGACTGGTAACTTAAAGGTTGGCAGTTTAAAGCCACCCAGTGGCACTGTGGAAGAAAGGTCTGGCTCTCTGGTTCTGCAAAGATTACAGCCAAGAAAGCCCTACAGAGCAGTTCTCCTCTGTAACAGCGTGGGTCGCATCAATCACAATAGACTCAAAAGCAATGAAGGAGGTTTTTGGTCCCTCTCTGCTTCTGTAAAGAATCTTGGTGGTATAGGCATTATGTGTTCAACTGCTGCCTGAGAAAGGTCAGCAGTTAAAGCCCACTAGCTCCTTTTGTGCCTCGCTGGGCCACGTGCTCAGGAGAGGGCTCAGAAAATGCCCAGGTCTGGGGGCATGGGGGTGGGGGAGTCCGGAAAGCCTTGGATACTTTGCAGCAGTTCACTACTTGATCCCATAGGGTGACAATGGGTTGGAATCGACTTGATGGCAGCTGGTTTGGTGTGGGTTTACTCTGCCTCCTTATCCTCACTGTGAGGTCTGGCCTGAACCCTCAAACTTCTGCCATCCATTCAGTTGCATCTCTGGAGTTTGGGTCTTTGGTCTGTCTCTGATGGAGGCTCCCATGCCAACTGGCCAGCCTTCTGGGATGTGGGGGAGTGAGGGAGGATTACCCTTCCCCACTCGGCATGCAGGTACTCAGCAAATATTATTGATGCTGAATGAGTTTCCTCTCTTTTACTGGCAGATGATCTCGGCAGTGGGGACGTGGGCAGCGGGGACTTCCAGCTGGGTAAGTTGTTCAGGGTGCCCCTTCAGGCTCTCCACTCTTGTTAGAAAGCCCCAGGAAGGCCTTTCCAGCAACAGAGGCCCAGTCACCCGGGTGGAGGGCATCAGAGGCTCCTAGGGCCTACCCTGAGAGGTGAGATGCATGGGGTAATCTCTGACCTACTAGGGGGGACATTGTTGCAATCACAAATTAATTCTCCTCATTGTGGGTATGGACCTCTGGAGGGTACCTGCAAGCTCAGGAATGACCAGATTCTATTGCTTGGAAAATTAGAGAGTCAACAAAATAAAGGGCAACCCCCAATGAGGAGAATTTATTTGTGATTACAAGAATGAGTTTGAGTGTCGCTGAGATGGTGAGGATGGCACAGGGTAGGGCAGGGTTCAATCTACTGCTCATAGGGTCGCTCTTAATCATAGCTGACTCGACAGCAACTGTCAACAACAGCGAGCGCCTGTGCTTGCCTGTGCCACGTGGGTCAGGAAATAATCCAGATCTGGGGGCCATCCTAAGCCCCACCTGTGCGCCTGCCCCCTCCCTGACAGCCCCTGATGCTGCCTGCCCCTCCTCCCTGCCTTGAGACTCTTGTCCACATCTTCTCACCTAGGTGCCACCCCCATCTGCTGACCTCTCTCTTTCCCACTTATGTCTGTTCTGCTCTGACACCTGTCTCCAGCTCCTCCTCCCAGCTCCCCCCTGAACACTCCTCCAGGTTTCTCTGTTCTCTTTTTGGTATCTGTCGCTTTCTGCTCTTTGCTTCTCTGTTGATATCTCTCTGACCAACTAACTGACCCCCCCTGTCTTTGTCTCCCCTCTTCTCTCTCATTTTTTTCTCCTATTCTTTGTCTCCATCTCCCTGTGTCTCCCTTCCACCCTGTCCTTCCCTCCCGCTTCCTCTGTTTCTGCTTCTCCCTCTGCCTCCCTCCCTCTCCATGTCTCTCCCATTCTCTCCATCCCTCTCTCTGATCCTCCACACCTCTCTAATTCTCTCCATGTCTCTTCCTCTCCTGTCTTCCTCTCTGCTACTTCCTCTGTGGATTCTGGGACACTCTCGTGGCTGGCACAGTTGTCCCAGAGCCTCAAGAGAGGCTCTTAGTAAGTGACGGAGGCCCATGTCGGGCCATCCGGGGCCTCCCTCTGCCTCCCTCCTACACTTACTCCCAGCTTTTCTTTCCTTCCTCCCTTTTCTCCTCTCCCTTGACCTCAGAGCACCTCCCTCCTGAGTCCAGCTACTGCCCTCCCCAGCTGGCCCTCCTTCACTCCAGGGACATACCCAGGCCTCATCTGGGCTAAGGGATCTAGACCCAGTGCTCTGGACCCCTAGCCTCCTCTTGGGGGTGTTTCCTAGAATGGGTGCAGCCTCCCTTGGGGACAAGGGGGAGTCTGGAGATGTGTTGTGTCTGCCTCAGAACAGGATGACACTAAGGGCGCTCAAGAGACCTAGAGGGAGTCAGGGCTGGGAGTTCAGACATCTGTGTGTGAAGATGTCTTTTTTTGGGGGTGGGTAGTTAAAAGGTTATAATTCAGAATAATAACAAAATATAGTCAAGACAGTTACCAAAATATGCATGCAGGCACTTCATGGCCTTTAAGTTCTTCTAAGTTCTCAGTCTTGCCAATATTGGCTTCCTTTGTAATTGTCCAACAAAGTTGTGCTTTGTTATCCAACAAAGTTGTTCAGTGATTATCAGGCCAGTGTTGACTCTCTCACCCCAAGTCCCATGTTGCCTCCAGCTCAGCCATCACTGCTGCTGTCATTACTAAGTGTGTCCTACATATCACCAGATTGGGGGAGGTCTCTCCTGGTGTGGGAAGAATTCCTTCTAGTGGGGGAGGAATGCCTCTTCTCTGCAGCTAGAGCTGTTCAATTTATTGGTGAGAGACTAGTCAATGCTCTTGTAGGTTTCTGAGACCGGCCAACACACCTCATTCCTCACACAATCCCTCCACTCCCCTAGTAAGTCATCTACACTAAAAAAGCCATGTTGAGACAAACTCCACAAGAATGTTGGTGGCAGAGGTTATTCCTTGGAGAGGGATATCATGCTTGGGAAGGTGGAGGGGCAGCGAAGCAGAGGAAGACCCTCAACCAGGCGGACTGACACAGTGACTGCAGTAATGGGCTCGAGTGTGTCAGAGGTTGTGAGGATAAACAGTATAGGGTTCAGATCATTTGTACACTGGGTTGCTCTGAGTCACCTAAGAAACAACAGTCCATGACTGATGGGTCTATACGATGACATAACCGCTATGAAAAACGGTATGATACTTTGAGGAGTTCTTTTGAGCAGAATATAAGCAGCAGGAGTGAGTGGACAGACTGACTTCCCCTGGGTTGGGGGCAGTGAGCTGTACACCCCTTACCATCCTGGATTCAGGGCAGTTCCTCCAAATGAGCTCTCCTGATGGGGTCGAAATGAGGGCTTGGTAGAAGACAGATACCTATAAAGCACCCTTGATCTCCAAGCCCACTTCACTCCCTTGCAGCCACCTTGGCCCTCACCTCTCGGGGCTGGTTCCTTAGTAAGCACAGCCTCACCTTCTGTCCCAGCTCTTGGCCACCAGCCACAAGGTTGCAGCACGGGATGAAGGGCCAGTATCCACCCTGACCTGAGCCTGGACTGGAAGAAGGAAGGGGTGGGGTCTGTTGGAGGGGTCCATGCCCTTCCCAAGCCCTAATAGAAAGGGGCTTTGTGGAGCCCGGCCCCCTCTCCTTGGAGCGGGCACATTCCTGGGCAGACGACCGGCCTCTTTCCCGTGCTGAGCCCTAGGACTGAGCCCAGGGGCCGGGATGGGGGACTCTCAATGGGTCTCTGTGCTGCCTCACAAGGGACCTCTGTGGCCACACTCTTGGCCCCCACACTTCAGCCTGCAGAGCCCCACCCACCCAGGCACCAGGATCTCAGGCCGGCACCTCCCCTGTGGATCAGAACAGGCAGCTTGCCTTCAAAAGCACCTCTGCTATCACCTGGGAAAGTAGGAGTCCACTCCTGCCGCCTTCCGGGCTCATCACTTCCTGTTCCCCCCAGAGCTTCCTTCAACTGAGCCATGTGGGGAAATGGTCCTGAGTCTGCTGGTGGGAGGGGAAGTAGAGGGGAGGGGGACAGGTGCAGGCCGATGGGCCTGATAGCCAGAAAGTAGAGTGGAAGAACAGGCCGGAATCAGGCTCACCTGCCTTTGCTGACTCTGAAAGGCCCTTTGAGTCCACTCTGCCTCTGGGACTTTGTATGTGCTGTTCTACTGCTTGGAAGGCTCTTCTTCCAGCTCGCTTTGTGTGGCTCATGTTGCTCCTACAAACTTCCGCTTTGCAGGGAGGCCTGCCTTGACAGCCAGCATGTGGTTTTGATTTTAGTGCTAAGTAGTTAGTTGTCTTTCACACTTTGGGTATGTTTTCAGGAACGGCCAGTCCCTGGAGAGAGACATGCTTGGTGAAGTGGAGGATTAGTGAAGTAGGTGACCCCCAATGAGGTTGATTTGGTGACTACAGCAGCATTGTGAGGATGGCTCAGACGAGGTGGCATTTCAGTAAGAGTTGATGCCAGCTCAACAGCACCTACAACAATGCTTTCTTTCCTCCCTCTCCTGCTAGAAGTTGATCTCCATACGGACCAAGCTCTTCACTTGTCTCGGTCTCTGCTATATCTTCTAGCCATAGAACATTGCCTGACACACAGTTTATCCTCAGTATAGATTTGTGGAAGCAATGAATGCCTCTCTGAGATAGGAAGAAATAAAACCAGTTATTCCTTGAATGTGTCACCAAGACCAGGTAATAATAGTAAATCCATGTAGCCCCTGCTGTGTGCCAGACGTTTTTCTAAGTGCTTTGTCTTTATTAGCCTGTTTAATCTTCACATCAGCCCCTGAGTTAGGTGTTGTTCTTATCCTCATTTTACAGGTGAGAGGACCAAGGCTTGTGAAGTTAATTACTTGGCTGTAGGGCTGTAGCGGTACTTTCTTTCATATAATAACATAGATCTTGTTATTATATGAGACCATATATTTTCTACCTACTTGGGGAACTGTGGTGAGTTCTGCTGGCATAGTGGTAAAGAGTTGTACTGGCAACTCAAAGATACATGTTCAATTCCACTAGCTGCACTTGTAGGAGAAAGAAGGACAGTCACCTCCTGTGTGATTAACTGCCTCTAGGAACCTTCTGGAGAGCCAGCTGTGGGTTGGTTCTGACTTGATGGTACACGATAGTATGTGAAATGTCCATTGGAATCACAATCAACATTCCTGGTACCAGCAGCCGGGAAGTCAAAAGACAAATTGCATTGGAAAAGTCAGCTGTCAGGGACCTGTCCAGAGTACTGAAGAGCAGCAATGTCACTCTGGAGAGTAAGGTGTGCTGAGCCAAACCATGGTCTTCGCAATTACTTACTCTGTGTCAGAAAGCTAGACAATGACTAGAGATGATAGAGAATTTGCCTTTGAGCTGTGGTGCTGGAGAAGAGTATTGACTATACCATGGACTGCCAGGAGAACAAATAGGTTTGTCCTGGAGAGGGTAAAACCAGGGTGCTCCTTGGAGGCAAGAATTCTGAAGCTTTGTCTGACATACTTTGGGCATGTTGCAATTAGGGACCAGTCTTTGGAGAGGGACATCATGCTAGAGAAACACCCTTGATGAGATGGATGAATTGATTTAGTGACTGGGGTAATGGGGGTAGGTGTGTCAGAGACAATAAGGTTGGCTCAGATAGAGCAGGGTTCAGAGCTGTTGTACACAGGGTCACTATGACTTACCAGCTACTCAACAGCACATAACAACAACAGCACGTAACAATAACAGGGGAGTTCTGGTGATGTAGTCCATAAGGGATTGTATTTCTCACCCAAAGGCCACACTTCACTTGCCTTTATAAGCCAGCTATGAGTCGGTTGCTACGCTATGGCAGTGAGGTTTTTGAGAGGAGCTCTTGTGGTAAGGAGTTGCGCTGCCAACCCAAAGGCAGACATTTCTAATTCACCAGCTGCTTTGAGGGAGAAAGATGAGCAGTCTCCTTCCATGTGATTTACAGCCTCTGAAAATCAACTTGAGTGTCTGTCACTTCTAAGTTGGTTCTGACTAGACAGCACATAACAGCAGCAACAGTTATTGCTCAGTTGTTTCTGACTAAACAGAACATAACAACAGCAACAATTATTGCTCAGGCTCAGTTCTAAGCACTTTGTTGTTCTTGATTGCTGTCGAGTCGAGCACAACTCATATCGACCCTATGAACAAAAGGCCGGAAGCCCCTCTACAACTATAGACATTTATCAAAGTTCATAGAGTTTCCAGAGGCATGTTGTTTAGGAAGTGGATGCCACACCTGCTTCCAAACCTGTCATTGTATGTTATTGTTGTTATGTGCCCTTGAGTCACCTGCCATAGTGACCCTAAGTACAGCAGCCCTGTTCTGAGCCAGTCTCACTAATTCCGACACACCAACCCCCATTGCCTCAGTTATTGTATCAATCCATCTCATCTGGGGTCTCTCTCCTGCGCTGTCTGTCCACCCTTCTGAGCATGATGTCCTTCTCCAAGGACCGATCTCTCCTGGCCCTGTGCCCAAAGTAAATGAGGCGGAGCTTCAAAATCCTAGCCTTCAAGGAGAGACTTGGTTTCACCCTCTCCAAGACAGACCTATTTGTTTTCTTGGCAGTCTGAGAGTTCAAGACTCTTCTCCAGCACCACAACTGGAAGGCATCTATTCTTTTTCCATCATACTTAGTCATTGTACAGCATAACAAGTAGTTGGGAAGACCGTAGCCTAGATTAGGCTCACCTTTGTATCTAGACTGACATCATTGCTCTTCAGCATTCTGGAGAGGTCCATGACAGCAGATTTTCCCAGTGCAATTTATCTTTTGATTTTCTGACTGCTTGTATTAAGAGTGTTGATTGTGGCTTTTTACGAAGATGGCACCGAAAGCGAAGAAGGAAGCCCCTGCCTCTCCCAAAACTGAAGCCAAAGCAAAGGCATTAAAGGCCATGAAGGCAGTCCTGAAGGGCATCCACAGCCAAAAAAAAAGAAGATCCGCACGTCACATACCTTCCGGCGGCCTAAGACGCTGAGACTCCGAAGGCAGCCCAAATATCCCTGGAAGAGCACCCCCAGGAGAAACAAGCTTGACCACTGTGCCATCATCAGATTTCCCTTCACCACTGAGTCAGCCATGCTCGACTTGAAGGCATTCACACACACACACACACACACACACACACACACACACACACACATATACACAACATATATATATATACACACACACACAACATATACATATATGTATGTACGTATGTATATATATCTCAAAATCCTGCTGAAGATTATCCAAAAGAAATACAAGCTGGGTTTAGAAGAGGTCGTGGCACTAGAGACATTATTACCAATGTCAGATGGATCTTGGCAGAAAGCTAAAAGTACCGGAGGAATGTCCGTGTTTCATTGACTATGCAAAGGTATTTGACTATGTGGATCACAATAAACTTGACTGTGCTTATGTGAAACCTATACTTGAACCAGAAAGCAGTTCTCGGAACAGAGCAGGGAAACACTGCATAGTTCAAAATCAAAAAGGAATGCATCAGGGATGCATCCTGTCTCCATATCTTTTCAATCTATATACAGAACAGATCATTCAGGGCTTTATGAGGAGGAATGTGACATCAGGATTGGAGGAAGACTCATCAGTGACCTTTGTTATGCAGATGACACAATCTTGCTGAAACTGAGGAGGACCTGGAGTGCTTGCTACAGAAGGTCAAGGACTGTACTCTTCAATATGGATTAAAGCTCAACATCAAGAAGACAAAAGATTCTCACCACTGGGCCAATTGACAGCACTCGATAGGTGGAGAAGAGATTGAGATTGTTAACAATTACAGCTTGCTTGGCTCCACAGTCAACACTCTTAACACCAGCAGTCAGGAAATTAAAAGATTAATTGCATTGGAAAAATCTGCTGTCAGCGACTTTTCCTGAGTGCTGAAAAGTAACGATGTCAGTCTAGAGACTAAGGTATGCCTGACCCAGTCCATGGTCTTCACAATTATTTGCTATGCACCAGAGAGCTGGACAAGACTAAGGATGACAGAAGAAGAATTGATGCCTTTGAGTTGTGGTGCTGGAGAAGAGTCTTGAACATACCATGGATTTCCAAGAAAACAAATTCCTCTTTCTTGGAGAGGGTGATTTTGAATCTTCTTTTCATATACTGTGGGCACATGGCCAGGAGAGACCAGTCCTTGGAGAAGGCCATCATGCTTGGAAGGGTGGAGGGACAGTGCAGGAGAGGAAGACTGCGGATGAGGTGGATTGATACTGTAACTGAGGCAATGGGGTTGGTGTATCAGAATTAGTGAGATTGGCTCAGGACAGGAAAGGATTCAGAGCTGCTGTACATAGGTCACTATGGGTCACAGGTAATTCTACAGCATGTAACAACAACAATATAAAAACGTGTGTGTGTGTGTGTGTGTGTGTGTGTGTGTGTGTGTATAGTGACTGAAAGTTTACAAAGCATATTGGTTTTCATTTACTCATTCATACATATTTTGTTGTTACAGTATTATGTACAATATCCACAGTGTAGTCATACTGTTCCCAGTTCTTCCTTTGTAGTTCTGATTTCCATTAATCTTTTACCCCATCTGCCTTCAAGCCTATATCCTGGCAAATGCTGCTCTTTTGACTATATATGGTTAGTTATTATGAAGAGCTAGTGCCTTCCTTGTGTTATTGGTCACCCTGTAAGCCTGTCCGTCGTTTGGCCCAAAGTTTCTCCACATGTTTGAAAGGTGACACAGACCCACAGTCTCAGAGGTCTTACCAGTTTCTATCAGACCAGTAAGACTGGCCTTTTTAATATTTTTAGCTTTGTTCTACGTATCTCACCTCCGCCACTTTATCTAGCATCTTCTGTTTTCCCTTTGCGAGTGGTCAGCAGTGGTAGCTGGGCACCATTTAGCTCTTCTGGTCTCAGGGTCACATAGTCCATAAAGCCTTTGGACTAACTGTTGCAAATGTATCTTTGCTTTTTCTCCTTGCTCTTTATTCCAGACAAGGAGAGACCAGCAAGGAGAGCACCTTAGATGGCTGCTCAAAAGCTTTTAAGACCCCAGTTGCTACTTCCCAAAGAAAGATGTAGAAACATTGTCTTTGTGGACTATATTATGGACACTTTCCCTGCTAGTGAAAGCCCCTCACTCAAGGGAAGGGTCTTGATATTGCACATAAGGCGGCCTTTCAGAAGCTGAGTGGCAGTGTTGGGCCTGGCTCTTGACACACAGATATTACCCTGTGTGTAGACCTCCAGAAACCATTTCCCACCCTCATCCACTGTTCAGCTATCTGAGGCCCAGCCTCCACAGCGATACTTTCTTTCCACAGTTTATTTCCGGGCCCTGGTTAATTTCACACGCTCCATCGACTACAGCCCCAAGCTGGAGGATGCAGGCTCCGTGGAGTTCCGAGAGGTGTCTGAAGCTGTGGTAGACACGGTGAGTGAGATGAAAGGGTTTGGGGGTTCCCCAGGTGTGGCAAGGCAGGGCGGGATGGGGCAATGAGGTCTGGAGGCTCATGGTGCTCTGTGGTACTGTGTCCCTCTCCAGCTGGAGTCGGAGTACTTGAAGATCCCTGGAGACCAGGTTGTCAGTGTGGTGTTCATCAAGTGAGGAGGGTCCCCTGGGGACCTGGCACGGGACTGGGGGGCAGCCTGCAGGGGAGCTGGATTCAAACTGGGAGGTTTAATGGGATGAATCTCTGTTGGTGGAAATTCAGGAACTGAATTCTGGTGTGGAATCGTTTGGACCCTGAATTGCCTTGCTCTGAGTAAAGGTTCGGGAACAGAGAAATGTCAGGAGCCCAGGGCTGAGCATGGACCAGGGGGCTGCTGGAGTTTCTGAGCTGCAGGCGTCTTTTTCACCCCTGCCTCATCCCCATTCTTAGAGAGCTGGATGGCTGGGTCTTTGTGGAGCTGGATGTGGGCTCGGAAGGGAACGCCGATGGGGCTCAGATTCAGGACGTGCTGCACTCGGTCATCTCCAGCAGCTCCATTGCCTCCTACATCACCTCTCCCCAGGGCTTCCAGTTCCGACGCCTGGGCACAGGTGAGCCTGTGCAGGGTCAACTTCTTCAGTTCTTGAACTTCTTTGGGTCCCCTTTCAGTGTCTCCACCATGAGCTCTTCTAGGTTCAACTTGCACACCACCACGGACAGGGAGCTTACTACCGTTAGTGTCTGCCCTGTCAATCTTTTCGCAACCTTGGTTTGGGTAGAGATAGTCTGTTTCTCTGATAAATGTTAAACCTGATTTCTGTTCGGTATATATGACCTTCTATACATTCCTAACAGATAGTAATTCTTTTCTTCATATAGCACTTTTGGGCTTAAAACACATTTACGTTTGGTAAAAAGCAGCCATTGTTTATTGAGCACTGGCTAGGGCTAAACTAATGCTCTTAAATTCAACCTCCCATTCAGTCTTCATTTAGGTAGCTCTGGTGGGTGAGGAGTTGCACTGCCAATTCAAAGGGAGGTGGTTTGAGTCCACCAGTGGTTCCATAGGAGAAAGATGAGCAGTCTCCTCTCATGTAATTTAATGGCCTCCAAAAGCTCACTGGAGGGTCTCAGTGAGTTGGTTCTGACCCAGTGAGTGGCACGTAACAACAGCAGTTAATCTTCACACCAGGAAATTTTATTGTTGGTATGTGTTGTCAGGTTGATTTATTACGCATTACAACCTGAGTTTTTGAGGCTGTAATCTTTAGGAGGAACAAATCTCCAGGTCTTTTCCCCATAGAACCACTGAATTTGAACCACCAACTTTTCAGGTAGCAACCAAGCATTTAATCATTGTGCTGTCGAGAGTCCTTGAAGTAGATGTTATTCTTATTTTATAGATAAGGGAACTGAGGCTTAGGAAGGAAAAATGACTTGTCCAGAATCACATAGGCAGACATTGAAAAAGCCACAATTTAAAATAAGCCCTGAGTCTATGCCAGTCTTTCCAGACCTGGAAGGAAAGTGATCTTCTTGTTGATTGCCTCCAATTTGAGCATGACTGATAGAGACCCTATGAACAAAAGGCCTGAAGCCTCTCTACAACTATCGACATTTATCAGAGTTCATAGTTTCCAGAGGCATGTTGTTTAGGAAGTGGATGCCACTCCTGCTTTGAAGGAAAGTAGGGGGAGGCGGAATTGAAATCGTCTCTTACCTAGTTCTGCACGCTTGACCTCAGTGCGACCAAATACCAAATTTTCTCCTTTGGTGCCCCCAGACCTAAGTTTATGGGGGTCTAGTCTCCTTTCCCCCCAACTTTTATTTGAATCCCCTGAGCAAAAGAGATCCACCAAGACCATAGCCTGCACCTCCCAGATCCAAAGTGAGCGGCTGCTGACCTCACCTTCCTTTCCAGCACAGACACCCCAGTCCCCCCAGGCCGCAGTGGCGGCTGCAGTGACACCAGGTGAGAGTGTGGACCTGGCCCAGACCCAGCTGGAGAACTAGAGCAGTTAATGGCTAGAGGAGAAGGAAGGATGAGGGCAAGAAGGCTGGGCACAGCCCGCAAGCCGCCCCTTCTCCCCTTCTTCACCCTCACTGGGCCAGGTTGTGGCCTGCATGAGTGTGATGTGTTGTTGCACATGGGTGGCATGTCATCTGAGGCCACTGCTATGTGTCTGTGTGCCATGTGTGCCGTGGTTTGTGTGTTCACCATCTCCGTGCTCTTTGCTCCTGGCTCTGGTGGCTGCCAGAAAGCAGGTGGCCTGGCACAGGGCACTGCTTCCCGCTCCAGCCCTGTGGTGCCTGCCGCCCTCCCTCAGCCCTTCCCTCTACCTCCCTGCCACCTTTGACTCCCCACCTCTTGATTCCCACCGCCCACAGTGCCTCCCCAGGTGTCAAGGGCATGCACCGAGGCCGAGTTTGCCTGCCACAGCCACAACGAGTGTGTGGCCCTGGAGTACCGCTGTGACCGGCGACCTGACTGCAGGGACATGTCTGATGAGCTCAATTGTGGTGAGAAGCTCTCTAGGGGTATAAGTTCCCATGACCCAGGGAAGGATCAAGGGTTAAGTTTGGGTCTCAGAGTCAATCTGGAGACTCCAAGGGTTTAGTCAAGCATAGGGACAAGGGAAAAGTGGATAATAGGGTCAGGATGAGATGGACCAGATGGGATGGAAGTAGTCTTTAGGGGATGTGGAGAGCAAGGGACAAAGGGGACCTCCTCCTGCCAGCTCAAAGCAGGCTCTGTTCACAGAGGAGCCAGTTTCAAGCACCAAGGCACCCGCTGTGGTGGAGACATCACCTCTAGAACGCGAACCAGGGGACCCAATCATGCGGCAGCCACCAGAAACCCCTGCTCCCAGGCCTCTGATTCCTGAGCACAGCAGACCCTGTGGGTCCCACGAATTCACCTGTCCCAATGGGCAGTGCATCCTCAAAGACTACCTCTGTGACGGCCAGGAGGACTGCATGGACGGCAGCGATGAGCTGAATTGTGGTGAAGACCTGGCGGGTGGGAGTGAGAGTGCTGGGGGTGGAGGGAGGCAGGGGAGGAGGGCCACTGGCTGAACTGAGCCTGCTTCAACCCAGGTCCCTCGCCGCTCTGTGAGCCCAATGAGTTCCTTTGTGCAAACGGGCACTGTGCCTTCAAGCTGTGGCGCTGTGACGGAGACTATGACTGCGAAGACCACAGCGACGAGGTCAACTGTAGTAAGTACAGAGTAGAGAGTTTGGGGGGCCTCCCCAAGTTGAGCTTGTCCCTGCCCTGTCCTGTCTTGGACACGTTTGTTGGCTGCGGCTGGATGAATGGTGAAGGCCCTGGGCAGGCTTTAAGGCGCTTCACTCTCTCTTTCTCTCTCACCTCTGTAGTCAGGGCTATGAGTTCTGAGCTGGCCCTCATAACAGGTGCTGTAGCTAGAGTGCTTAGAGATAATTGCTCTTTATTTTTTCATTTTTGTTAACATTACTGTTTGGTGTTGGTGCTTTTGTGTGGATTAGATGACCAGCCAAGATGACTTTGCATTTTGTGGTCCTTGGTGATGAGGTCCTTGATATATGTGGGAGCCAAGTGGTGCAGGAGAAGTGTCTTGAACCTATGTACCATGTACTGCCAAGAAAACAAATAGGTGTGTCTTTGAAAAGGTGAAACCAAGTCTCTCCTTGGAGGCTAGGATTTTGAAGACATGCCTCAATTACTTTGGGCACGTGGCCAGGAGAGATCGGTCCTTGGAGAAGAACATCATGCTCGGAAGGGTAGGCGAACAGTGCAGGAGTGGGAGATCCCGGATGAGATGGATTGATACAGTAACTTGATACAGTAACTGGGGCAGTGGGATTGGTGTGTCAGAATTAGTGAGACTGGCTCAGGACAGGGAAAGGTTCAGAGCTGCTGTACATAGGGTCGCTATACATCACTGGTGATTCAATGGCACATAACAACAATAACATACTACGACAGGTTTGGAAGCAGGTTTGGCATCCACTTCCTAAACACCATGCCTCTGGAAACTCTAAGAACTTTGATAAATGTCGATAGTTATAGAAAGGCTTCAGGCCTTCTGTTCATAGGGTCACTATGAGTCATGCTCAACTTCAAGGCAATCAACAACAACAACAACATAGCCTTACCCTAAGTGGTCTAGAGAGTTTTGTCAAGAATTTCTCTCAGTATTTATTCATCCACATACCTAACTCTGCATCTACCCATCCATTCACTCATCTGTCTAATAGCCTGCTTCCCACACACTTGTTTTTCTAGCCATCCAGTTGATGATCCATCTGTTGTTCATCTCTTCCCATCAGCCTGTCTAATATTCTACTTTTCATTTTTACTACTCATCCATCTAATCATACATTCAGCTCTTCATTGCCCACTTGCCAGTTATTTAACATTCTCCCTTCCTCTTATCCTTCTTCCTGCTCATTCAAGCTTTCTTCTCTCCATTGCGTTATCTACCTGGCTCTTTATACATCTGCCCATTTGTTTATCTGCTCATCATCCTTCCTTCTCATCCATCCATCCATCCATCCATCCATCCAACCAAGCATCAGCCAATGCATTGCCTGTCTATCCATCAGTCAGTGACATGACAGGTGCTGTTGTTGTTGTTGTTATGTGCCATCAAGTTGCTTGCAACTCATAGCAACCCTATGTACAACAGCCCTAAACTCTGCTCTGTCCTGTGCCAATCACACCATCTCCTATACACCCATCCCAATTGCCCCAGTCACTGAATCAATCCACCTCATAGAGGGCCTTCCCCTTCTGTGCTGTCCCTCCACCCTACCAAGCATGATGTCCCTCTCCAAGGACCGGTCCCTCCTTACAACATATCCAAAGTATGTTAGACGGAGCCTCAGAATCTTTGCCTCCAAGGAGCCACCCAGTTTAACCCTTTCCAGGATGAATCTGTTTGTTTTCCTAGCAGTCCATGGTACCCTCAATACTCTTCTCCAGCACCACAGCTCAAAGGCATCAATTCTATACTTCTTAGTCATTGTCCAGCTCTCTGATGCATAACAAGTGATTGCAAAGACCATGGCCTGTATCAGGCACACCTTGTCTCCAGAGAGACACCATTTCTCTTCAGTTCTTTGGAGAGGTCCCTAACAGCAGACTTTCTTATTGCAATACATCTTTTCATTTCCTGGCTACTGGTGCTGAGAGTCTTGACTGTGGAGTCAAGCAAACTATAGCTGTGAACAATCTCAATCCCTTCACCATCCATCCTGATGCTGCCAATTGGCCCAGTGGTGAGAATCTTTGTCTTCTTGATATTGAGCCTCAATCCATATTGGAGGTTGCAGTTCTTGACGCTCTGCAGCAAGCGCTTCAGGTCCTCCTCAGTTTCAGCAAGCAGGGTTGTATCATCTGCATATCACAGATTGTTGATAGATCTTCCACCAATCTTGACCCCACATTTCTCCTCATAGAACCCCTCCTCCCAGATAATCTGTTCTGCATACAGGTTAAAAAGGTATGGAGACAGGACACATCCCTGGTGCACACCCTTTCCAATTTTGAACCATGCAGTGTTTCCATGCTCTGTTCTGACGACTGCCTCTTGGTCCAAGTATAGGTTTCTCATTAGCACGATCAAGTGTTCTGGGATTCCCATTCTTCTGAGAGTCAGCCACAGTTTGTTATGATCCAGTCAAATGCCTTTGCATAGTCAATGAAACACAGATATACATTCCTCTGTTATTCCCTGCTTTCAGCCAAGATCCATCTAACATTAGCTACAATATCCTTAGTACCATGACACCTTCTAAACCAAGCCTGGACTTCTGGCAGTTCTCTGCTGATATACTGTTCCAGTCCTTTTTGTATAATCTTCAGTAGAATCTTGCTTGCATGTGAAATTAATGAGATTGTTCTATAGTTTCCACACTCTGTTGGGTTACCCTTCTTTGGGATGGGAACAAATATAGATCTCTTCCAGTCAGTTGTTCTCCAGATTTCTTGGCTCAACTTGGTGAGCACGTCCAGTGCAGCATCTGTTAGCTGAAATATGTCAGTTGGTATACTGTCTATTCCTGGGGACTTATTTTTTGCTATTTCCTTCAAAGCAGCTTGAACTTCTTCCTTCATCACCTAGGCTCTTGCTCATATGTTGTTTCATGAAATTCTTCTGTGTCTGCCAATTTCTTTTGATACAGTGATCAGTATATTCTTTCCGTCTTCTTTTAATACTCCCTGGATCATTTAATATTCTGCCGAAAGCATCCTTGTTTATAGCAACTCAAGGTTTGAATTTGTTCTTCAGTTCCTTGAGCTTAAGATATGCTGAGCGAGTTCGGCCCTTTTGATTTTCTGACTCCAACTCCTTGTACATTTCATTGTAATATTTTACTTTGTTATCCCGCACTGCTTTTTGAAATCTTCTATCCAACTCTTTGGTATCTTGAGTTCTTCCTTGTGCTTTGGCTTCTCTGCGCTCCAGTGCAATTTGCAGAATCTCTTCTTCTTTTTTTTTTTTAATTTCTTTATTTTTCATTTCAATGAACATCTACACAGAATCTCTTCTGACATCCATTTTGGTCTTCTCTTCTTTTCAATGACCGTTTGCATTCTTCCTGGATGATACCCTTGATATCCTCCCACAACTCGTCTGGTCTTCGCTCATTAGTGTTCAAGGCTTTAAACCTGTTCCTGAGATGGTTCTGAAATTCTGGGGGGATAGACTCAAAGTCATATTTTGGTTCCCGTGGACTTGGTTTAATTTTCCTCAACTTCAGCTTGAACTTGCATATGAGTAATTGGTGGTCTGTTCTGCAATCAGCTCCTGGCCTAGTTTTCACAGCTGATATTGAGCTTCTCCAGCAGTTCTTTCCACAGATGTAATCAATCTGATTGCTATGCATACCATCAGGTGAAATCCATGTATATAACCTGCGTTTATGTCTCTTAAAAAACGTATTTGCAATGAATAAATAAGTCATTGATTGTGCAAAATTTGATCATCCTCTCTCCAGCTCCATTTCTGTCACCTAGTCCATGTTTTCCAACTACTAAATCTTCTCTGTTCCCAACTTTTGCATTCCAGTCACCCATTATTATCAATGCATCTTGATTGCATGTTCGATCAATCTCCAACTGTAAAAGGTGGTAAAAATCTTCTATTTCCTCTTCCTTGGCACTGGTTGTTGGTGCTTATATCTAAATGATAGTGGTATTCATTGGCCTTCCTTGTATGCATATGGATATTATCCTGTCACTCACAATATTGTACTTCAAGATAGATCTAGCAATGGCTTTCTTAACTATGAAAGCAACTCCATTTTTCCTCACCTTTTCATCTCCAGAGTAATATATCATATGATTATCTGACTCAAAATGACCCATGCCAGTCCATCGTGCAGGGGGGAGAAATGGTAAATCTTGAAGCTGGGTAGTCAGACACTGTATTTGTATGTCTGATCCTGTGAGTTTTTTAGTTCGAGATCAAAGATAATCTCTACACTGTTCGCTTTACTCTGGATCAAGTCTCTTGAGTGCATGTTGATCTCCTGTCAGCTGACCCAGCTTCTCCTCAGTGTCTGCCTTCCCCTGTCTGTTCCCACTGTACACATGGGAGAGGCAGCACCATGTCAGATTGGCAGTTTCAAGAAACCCATCCTGTGGCTCTAAGCCTGCTTGACTGCCTGACAACAGTGGCCTCATGAGAGAGAAAAAGTAATTGAGGGCTTTAGGATAAAAAGTTGTTTCAGAGGCTTCTGCCAGGGAAATGGAAAAGAAAAGGTGAATCCTTTCAACAAGGCACAGAGAGAAAGTTAGGGCCTCGGACGCAGAAGTCCCTGAAGTGGTGCTGACAGATGATTCTGGCTTCCACTCAGCTCCTTCCTTGTGGGTGTGTGGCTTTTACTCTGACACCTCTGTGCCCACTCCGTCCCTGTCTCTGGTCTCCCTGAGGAAGAACACTGGGTCTCCATCTAGTAGAGTCCCTGCTGGCCTGGGCCCAGGACTCATCTGGCCCCTGCCAATTGATAGATGGCTGTCCTCAGGCCAGTTGGCATCCCCTGGCTGGTCAGTGGTGTCTAGGTGACAGGGAAGTCCAAAGCATTGAGTCCCTTGGGAGTCTCAGGTTATAAAAAAAGCCACTGTCATAAGAAAAAGCCACTCTTATAAAAATAGGACTGATATGGAGGTTGGGGGAAACTAAGAAAAGAGGGGATAAATAATGTACATGGCATTAAAACAGACAAGGGAGAGAACTGCATAAAAGGAACATATGATTAGGTATTACTGGGATGACAAGAGTCCAGAATAAGAGCTGCATAGTAAAGTGGTGGCTGTATAACAAAGAATTTTTTTTCCAAAGAAAAAAGTGAACTGGGGAGAGGGGAGCAGGGAGGGACATGTGCAACAATGAATGAATGAAAATCCAAGTTCTCGATAAACTTTCATTAAAATCCTAATTAAAGGTGAGCTGTGGTGGCCTAGTGGCAAGAAACTTCACTGCAATCCCAGAGGTGGGCAGTTCAAATCCACCAGATGCTCTGCCAGAGAAGGAGAGACAATCTCCTCATGTACTAGTCAGATGTGATTTGACAGCGCACGCGCGCGCGCACACACACACACACACACACACAAACACTTTTTAAAAAAAAATGCCAAATGTTTAAAAAAAAACACCAACACTTAATTTAAAAAAAAGGGGGAAAAAAAAAAACCAACCCAGAAAAGGTGGGGGGAAAAGAATTTAGCCTAAAAAAAAAATAAATAAATATATGGCTGTACCTAGTGAGGGAAGTTGTGTGTTGTGGACTACATGCATGGGGACACCTGGAGTGAGTGGATAAGGTGGTCTGTTGGAGACAGGTAGGAAGTGGGGCCCAGGACTCACACCCTTTGCTTCTGCCTCTCAGCCGCCAAGCGCCCTGAGGACGTGTGCGGGCCCACACAGTTCCGCTGTGTCTCCAACGATATGTGCATCCCGTCCAGCTTCCACTGTGATGAAGAGAGCGACTGTCCCGACCGCAGCGATGAATTTGGCTGCAGTGAGCAGGGACCTGGGGGCTGGGAGCAAGATCTGGGCGCTGGGCCTGGGCTGGGTTTTGACTCGTCTCCACATCCCTTCCCCAGTCTGTTCCTTTGGGTCATCCCCTGCTCTTCCTTCGTGGACCCCTCACACCCTTCACTCCTGCTCTGATCTCTCCAGTGCCTCCTCAGGTGGTGACCCCTCCCCAGGAGTCCATCCAGGCTTTCCGGGGCCAGACAGTGACCTTCACTTGCGTGGCCATTGGTGTGCCTACCCCCATCATCAACTGGAGACTCAACTGGGGTCATATCCCTTCACATCCTAGGTGTGGCAGGCTTGAGGATGAGGGGAGGGAGAGGCAAGGCTGGCGACGCAGGCCTAACCTCCTCCTCTATCTTGGTGGCCATCCAGGGTGACAATGACCAGTGAAGGTGGCCGAGGCACACTGACCATCCATGATGTGAAGGAGGGAGACCAAGGTGCCTACACCTGCGAGGCCATTAACTCCCGTGGCATGGTGCTTGGCATTCCTGACGGGGTCCTGGAGCTCATCCCGCAACGAGGTGTGGGCTCGGGGGCAGGTGGGTGCTGGGAGGGGGCAGGGCTGCCTGCTGGCTCAGCCCACTCCCATGATCCTGCCTCCTCATAGGTCCCTGCCCTGATGGCCACTTCTACCTGGAGGACAGCGCTTCCTGCCTGCCTTGCTTCTGCTTTGGCATCACCAACATGTGCCAGAGCAGCCGCCGTTTCCGAGATCATATCCAACTGCGCTTTGACCGGCCTGATGACTTCAAGGGTGCGTAGGCTGGTCAGTGGGCGGGAGCTGAGTGAGTGAGAAGCAGACATCAAATCCTGACAGGTTTTCATGACAGAAATGGGAGAGCAGCGTGTGCTGGACAGAGGTGCTGGGTGAACAGAGACAGGGCTGCTAAACTCTGTGAGAAATGTGCAGGAGAAAACAAATACTTTCTGGAGAAATTAGATCCACACTTTTAATCTGCCCATTTCAGGTTATGAAGCTCTTAGCCTAGAGCCTGACTCCAGTCTAGCCTCTTTGGCCAAGTTCCTTGCTATCTTTCATCACAGTTTGCTCCTCTGTGAAATGGGAATAAAAAAAAATAACTACCTAGTGGTAAGGAGTCTTGCTGCCAACCCAAAGGCAAGGGGTTTGAATCCACTAGTTGCTTCACAGGAAAAAGATGAACAATCAACTTCTATGAGATTTACTGCCTCTTAAACTCCACTGGAGAGTCACCTGTGAGTCAGATCCCACTCTAAGGTACCAATAACAATTTATCATAGGAGCCTGGGTGGTGCAGACAGTTTGCAATTGACTGCTAACTGAAAGGTTGGAGGTTTGAATGTACCCAGATGTGCCACAGAAGAAAGGCCTGGCAGCCTGCTTTCACTTAGATCACTGCTAAGGGGCTTGCAACTAATATTATCAAACAAAACATGTATAAATTATGAAAGGGAAAACTAATTTCCTCTGTAAAACTTGGACCTGAATGAAATGTTTTTTAAAATTCGTGTTATAGAGGTATGTGAGCAGTTAATGGAATATTTTCTCATGAAGCTTTTTGAAGTTTGTGATGTTTGTTAGTTTTGTAAAATGTGTAATTATTAGGATGTATGGCTCACTTTAAAGAAACACTCATTTTTGCACTTGAAAAAGAAAACCTGATGAATCAGTTTCATTTCATAACACACAGGGTCACCACAAGCCCTAGGCAGACTACTGCAGCTTACAAGATTGATAAAAAGATTTAATGAGTCAACATATGTCAGTCATTCAGAATAGTGCTTGGTCCGTAGTAAGCGCCCACTGTGTGTTCGCTGATGTCATCATCCTTATCAGACCGAGAGATGCTGGGGCCCCAGAGCTTAAGAGCACAGACTTTGGCATCTTGTTAGCTCAAGCTGACCTCCGGCTGCACTGCTATAGCTTAGAGCAAGTTTCTTGGCCTCTTTCATTGGGCCTGTTTTCCCAAACAGAAAGGAAAGGCAGACAGTCGGCTTCATTCTCCCTCTGAGAGGAAGAAGGACAGCGCAGCCATGGCTGCAGATATCAAGCAGACCTGGGTTCAGTTCTTAGCTCTGTCATTTGACATCTGATAACTCGCTGAATTTCATTTTCTGCACCACTGTGTAGAGAGCTTAGCTGTATATCCAGTTGTTGTTGTTGTTTAATGCCATCGAGTCATAGACGACTCATAGCGACCCTATGAACGAACAGCCTGAACACTGTTCGTACATAGAGTTTCCAGAGGCAAGCCATTTTGGAAGTGGATGCCTCTCCTGCTTCCAGGCTTGAGTTAGTCGGGAAGCTCCAGCCAACACTGTCCACCATGGGTGCCCATTACCACGATTGGCACATCACTGTCACAGGCTTCAGCATCACAGCAACCACGAGTTACCTCTGTACAGCAACGCACAGACCAGTGCTATACCACCTTCGGCTTGGTAGGTGGTGGTATATACAGTACATGCTTAATGAATGTTGTCTTCTACAGCCCTTTGCTGATTGAGAAACCTCAGAGTGACTTGCCTTAAACTTGACATTGCATTCATTAGAAGTTGGCTCCCAAACTCATCCTCCAGTTTATTTAGGATAATAGTCGTGTCTATCCCCTGAAGAGCATGCACATCTGCCCCCTGGGCTGGAATACCCAGTCCTAGACTTGCCAGTAATCCTTGCAATGTCAGGGCTGTTTCTACTGTTTCAGAGATGAGAGCTTTGAGACTGAGAGGGCTGTCCCTGGGGTCACACAGCTGTTTATAGGAGAGCTAGAGCCCAGGCCTGTCCAATTGAAATCCTAGATGATCAATGTGGATGGGGATTCTGGGAGGCGGGGTTTGCATGTGAATGGTGACCAGAGTGGAGGGGGCCTAACAATGTCAGCAGAAGAAAGAGAAGCAGGCCTGGGGAGGCATGGCCTAGACATGGGTTCTATCCTTGACCTCTCTAGAACAGGGACTAGACTACTTCGTGGTTACAGTGGGCTCCATTCAGAACCTGGGGAGAAGTTACTGTCAGATGCATACTCCGTAAGAGTCAGGAAGAACTTGCTTAGAGTCAAAAGTGCTCAGAGCCAGGCAGGAATTTTGTAGGTAGTGAGCTCCCCAGCCCCTTGAACCACACTGTCCAGTGCAGTAACTGCTACTTACATGTGGCTGTTTCAATTAATTGAGCCTGCCATATTTTAAGAGCTCAGTAACCACCTGTGATTATTGGCAGCCGTGTTGAGTAGCACAGTTTGAGAATGTTTCTATCATCACAAAAACTTAGATGTTTCTGCGTTATATCACAAAAGATTTAGTACAAGGGTGTGTGTGTGTGTGTTTTCACATAGATACAAGTGTCTATAAAGATGGGATTGGACTGGATGACCATCATGACAACAATGGCAATAGAAAAAATATTTTTTTAGTATTTCTTTAAGCATTTAATACGAATTTGCTCATTTGAGCTTTAGGATAATCCCATGAGATAGGCTATTACCCCCATTTTACAGATTGAGAAACTGAGATCCTGCTCTTTGAATCAGTAGAGGTTAGTGGAGCCAGGAGCCCGGTCCAGTGCTGTGCCTGGAGCCCCTGTGACTCTTCTGTCCCCTGAGGACTGTCCCAACCATAACAGTCCACAGATGTATTTGCAAACGTCCTGCTGCAAAAAATCCCTTTGACCTTTTTTTGACCCTTCATTTTCCAGATGGGTCCCAGCTTCCATCCCTTGGCATTGACTTTCCCCAGAGTTTGGAAATATTGCTTCACAACTTTACTAGAAAAAACAGATTTTTTTTTTCCTTGACTTTGCGAAAGACCCAGAATTCTCTTTAAATGTAATTTCTCACAGCACTTTTCCATCTCTTGCAAGGTGGATGTCTCAGGCAGGGTTTGAGTCTGGGTCTTTGACAGTGTTTGAGTGTCCTAGGAGCCTTGCCCTGCCCTCTCCGCCCGCAGGCGTGAACGTGACCATGCCCTCGCAGCCCGGCATGCCGCCCCTGTCCTCCACCCAGCTGCAGATTGACGTTGCTCAGCAAGAGTTCCAGCTGGTCGACCTGTCCCGCCGCTTCCTCGTCCATGACTCCTTCTGGGCTCTGCCAGAGCAGTTCCTAGGCAACAAGGTGAGGAGCTGGGCTGCTGCCCTGGGTGGGGAACAGGCTATTTATAGGCTGGAGGCAGAACACACCCTAAGGAACTCCTCTTTCAGTTGATTGATAACTGTACTTTGGATTATATTATGGAAAGGTGATTATGTTACATCATGCATTTGGTTACATTATGGTCTAGTCTAGTATTTGGCTAAATCCAAGTTGATGCAATATTAATCATCACATCCTCGCACGACTGAGCCCCCTGAAAAGCAAATCCTGGTCTCACTCATCTCTGCATGCATTTGCCAGGCACACAGTCCTGAGTGTGGGCAGATGGGCAGTGAGGCAGCCAGTCACGGTGTCACAGTGCCCACAGTGCCTTCCCTGACCCACTTTGCCTCTCCAGGTGGACTCCTATGGAGGCTCCCTGCGCTACAAGGTGCGCTATGAGCTGGCCCGTGGCACGCTGGAGCCGGTGCAGCGGCCGGACGTGGTCCTCGTGGGTGCTGGATATCGCCTGCTGTCCCGGGGCCACACACCCACCCAGCCTGGTACTCTGAATCAGCGCCAGGTCCACTTCTCAGAAGTGAGTGGCACCTGAACCAGCAGGGCTGGGGATGCAGGGAGGCTGACTGGGAAGTGCACACTGACATGCAACTTCCTGTCTTTCGTCCACATCCAGGAGCACTGGGTCCACGAGTCTGGCCAGATGGTGCAGCGAGCAGAGCTGCTACAGGTGTTGCAGAGCCTAGAAGCTGTGCTCATCCAAACAGTGTACAACGCCAGGATGGCCAGTGTGGGGCTGAGTGACGTTGTGATGGATACCACTGTCAGCCACACCACCAGTCATGGCCGCACCTACCGTGTGGAGGAGTGCAGGTGCCTGAGCAGTCAGGGCTGAGGACAGAGACCCGGGGAAGGATATGGGCGAAAGAACACAACCTGGTAGTTTCTGTAACTATTCTCTTGATTCTACCTCTGCAGATGTCCCATTGGCTATTCCGGTTTATCCTGTGAGAGCTGTGATGCCCACTTCACTCGGGTGCCTGGTGGACCTTACCTAGGCACCTGCTCTGGCTGCAACTGCAATGGCCATGCCAGCTCCTGTGACCCTGTGTATGGGCATTGCCTGGTGAGTAGTACCAGCTGGCACTGGGTACCAGATAATAACAGGGGACAAGGGCAGCTTCAGAGGACATACTTTTCTTGTGCCCACAGGCTTTCCTGCAACCTTTAAGCTTCTTTTGTGCCACAAGCTTTAGGACAGGCATCTAGAATGACTGCTATGGCTACCAGACAACCTATCATGGTCTGTGGATGCATTGATAGAAATATAATAATATTCAGAGCAGGGGAGGTGAAGGGCCAACTTTCTTCCACACTGGTCAGACCCATCCTGGAAGGTGCTGTCTAAAGTATGACCTGTAGGAGGTCAGCCTTAAAAGGAAGGAGCCTAGAAAGCATACTTCATTTCTTTTTTTTTTAATTAATTTAAATGAACATTTACAGACTTTGTTTTCCATTCATTCATTGTTGCATTTTTGTCCCTGCCCACCCCTCCCTCCCCATACACTCTTCTCTTTGAAAAATAAAAAAATTTATTTAATTGTTTTACAGTCCCTCCCCCTAGGTCCACTCCACTATGCAGCCTTTGTTCTGGACTCCTATCATGACAAAAATACCTAATCACATATCACTTTTAAACAGTTTTCTCCCTCATCTGTTTCAATGCAGTATACATTATTGAACCCATCTTTCTCAGTCTCCCCCAATGCCAATGTCAGTCCTATTTTACAACAGTGGCACCTTGCTATATTTGTCCTTTTTAACTGAGATATTTCACTCAGCATAATGTCCTCCAGGGTCACCCATTTTGAATAATGCATGAGTTCTTTGTTTTTCAATGCAGCGTAGTGTTCCATTGCATGAATATACCACAGCTTCTCTATCCATTCATTTGTTGATGGGCACTTAGGTTGTTTCCAACTTCTTGCTATTATGAACAAAGCAGCGATAAACATGGGTGTGCATATATCTGCTTGAGTGGCAGTCATGGTCTCTTTAGGGTATATTCCCAGTAGTGGAATTGCTGGGTCAAATGGTATCTCTATTTGCAACTTTTTGAGAAAATGCCATACTGCCTTCCACAGGGGTTGCACCATTTTACACTTCCACCAACCATACTTCATTTCTTAATGCCACAGAATAAGATTGTAGAGCCGACAGAAGAAAAGATTCAGACAGGGGAAAAATTCTATGTCCAAATCCCAGAGCTGTTTTGGAAAACCAGATTCCAGAGGGAGGACAGAAGTGGCGAGTGAAAAAAAAAAAAAAAGAAGTGGCGAGGGTGTGCAGATCTGGAGTGGGAGCCAAGGTTTAGGTTTGTGTAGCGTTGGCATGTGGGACATCTGGGGACAGGTTGCCACGTGAGGTGGTGAGCCCCCTGTCATCACTAAGAGGATCTGTCTTGAAAGCTGTGGAGTAATTTTAGCATGATGGAGGAGGCTGAGCCAGATGGTCTCAGAGGTGCATCCAAGAGCTTGTCATCTGGCCCAGTGTGACCGCTTGGGAAGGAAAGGAAGGGCTCTATAGAGCCTCAGCCACTTCTTCCCCCTCCCCCAGAATTGTCAGCACAACACCGAGGGGCCACAGTGCAACAAATGCAAGGCTGGTTTCTTTGGGGATGCCACAAAGGCCACATCCACTGCGTGCCGGCCCTGTCCTTGTCCATACATCGACGCCTCCCGAAGGTCAGACCCAGCTCAGGATGGGACAGCTATGGCGGGAGGTGTGGGCAGAGTATAATGAGTCGGGGACATCGTGTCAGCAGGGATGTGGGAGACCTGGGTTCAAATCCTAACCTGGTCACTAAGTTGTTTTATCCCCTTTGGCCGATCTGGTCTTCATTTTCCCCTTCTATATAATGGGCCCATCTGTCTTCCCGGGATTGCTTGAGGCTGCAGATCACGAATAGATGGGCAAGGAGACAGTATTGCCACATATGCTGTCCTGTGGGTAGCAGTCATTTGAAAGGTGGGGGTGTAAGGCCTGGTCACATGATACCCACAGGTTCTCAGACACCTGCTTCCTGGACACAGATGGCCAACCCACATGTGATGCATGTGCCCCAGGCTACACTGGCCGCCGCTGTGAGAGGTGAGGGAAAGCTGTGGGAATGGGGACGCCAGCTGTGCTGGGTGGGGACATGGACCGGCCGCTGATGGTCTCCTGTCTTCTCTAGCTGTGCCCCCGGATACGAAGGCAACCCCATCCAACCAGGCGGGAAATGCATACGCTCCAGTGAGTGCAGCAGCCTCCTTCCCTGCCCACCTACCAAGCCCTTTCTCCCCGCCCTTCTCCAACCCTAGATCCCAGCCCAGACACTGTGATATTTGGGTTTCTACCCCTCTCTGACTCCCTGTGCCCTGACTGTGTCCAGTTCACCCCTGCCCTGCCAACACTCTGCTTTGTGCCCTCAGACCAGGAATATGCACGCTGTGATGAGCGAGGCAGCATGGGAACCTCTGGAGAAACCTGCCGCTGTAAGGTACAGGTGTAGTCCCAGCCCAACCCCCCAGGCCCCAAAGACATCCTTGAACTCCTTGGCTGATGGGTGGGGCCTAGCCCTAAGCTGACTGTCCTGTCAGAGGGGAAGGAGCCATAGGTGGGGAGTCAGGTGACCTGGGTTCAATTCCTTTGCCATCTGTTGTTCTTTGCGTGACTATTGAATCTACTCTGAATATTTTCTTTCACTGTACTTTAATCCTCATATTGATTCAGTGATGTTGCTATTAGTATCCTTGTTTGGCAGATAAGAAAATGGAGGCTCAGAGAAGAGAGAATCAGTGGGTGAATCAAATGTTCATAAAAGAAAGGTCTGGACAGATATTTGGAGTCAGGCAGCCCTGATCTTAAATCTAAGATATAAGGCTTAGCAAATTGATTGCTATTGTGTAAGTCATTTCATATCCCCAAGCCTCAGTTTCCTCACTGGAAAGCATGAAGATTTCACCTGCTTAGTAGCATTGAACAAGGTAAAGCAAAGGGCACATGAAACACTCCATAAATAATTATGAGTACCCTGACAAAGAGAAAAAGAAAAACAATTGTTTGCATAAGCTCCCACTAATTGGGAATGACGGTGAATGTTCACATGGTGGTGCTGCTCAGACCCGCTCTTTTCCTGGCTTCCCTGGGTCTTGGGTCTCCATCTAGCACATTAGTCCGGGAGCTCCAGGCAGCCCTTGCAAGGGCAGGGGTTATCCTTCAGCTCCCAGCTCTCTGCCTACAGAACAACGTGGTGGGACGACTGTGCAATGAGTGTGCCAATGGCTCCTTCAACCTGAATGCTCGCAACCCCGACGGCTGTCTCAAGTGCTTCTGTATGGGCGTCAGCCGCCAGTGCACCAGCTCCTCCTGGAACCGTGCCCAGGTACCTGTTTGAGGCAGTTGGCCACAGAGACAGCACCTCCAAGCCTAAGACTGGCCATGCTGAGCTTCAGGCCCAGGCCTGTGTCCCCATCTCAGCCCCCTCTTCTCCTCCCAGGTGCTTGGGGCCTCTGAGGAGCCCGCCCAGTTCAGCTTGATCAACACTGCAGGCACGCACACCACCAGCGAGGGCATCTCCTCACCCACAGCTGGAGAGCTGGTCTTCTCCTCTTTCCACAGCCTCCTATCCGGACCCTACTTCTGGAATCTCCCCGCACGCTTCCGGGGGGACAAGGTGGGCATGGGGATGGGAAAGGAATTGGAGGTAGCAGGAATGAATGACACAGGCTTGGAAGCAGGACTGTCACGGTGCCTTTGGAGATGAGTGAGACATTCTACAAGACGTGACTGTGGGTGTCCCGCTGAGCACCCTGTCCGCTCTGTGTCACAGGTGACCTCCTACGGGGGAGAGCTTCGCTTCACAGTGACACAGCGGCCCGAGCCTGGCTCCATGCCACTGCACGGGCAGCCCCTGGTGGTGCTGCAGGGCAACAACATCGTCCTGGAGCACCACGTGTCTCAGGAGCTTCGCCCTGGTCAACCCAGCACCTTCACTGTGCCCTTCCGGGAGGTGAGCAAGACTCCGAGCAGCCCTTCCTTTGGGCAGAGGGTGGCTGACCCCCTACCCTGGGCTGTTGATGCTCCTAGAATGTTAGGGGTTGCAGCACTTTTCCTTCCTCTGAGCAGCAAGCATGGCAGCGGCCTGACGGGCAGCCGGCCACCAGGGAGCACTTGCTGATGGCACTCGCAGGCATCGACACTCTCCTGATCCAGGCATCCTACACCAGTCGACCAGCTGAGAGCAGGTGCCCAGGGCTGGGACTGGAGAGCAAGAGGGGACTGGGGTGTAGGAGGCATTGCCAGTTCTTCCACTTGTAGGCTTTGTGGTCTTTTTAGTGCCCCAACAACTCCTCTGTAAGATGGAGATATTAATAATGCCTCCCTCAAACGGACTCCAGGGAAGTAACCCTGAAGCAGGAACTGGGTACCCATGGTTCTCAAGGAGATTCTGTTAGGTGTAAGGGAGCCAGAAGCAGGAGAGAGAGACCTGAAAAGACTGATTTCTGAGAAAGTCCAGTCCCAGGGTGGTCCCGTGGGCAGGTTGGGATTGTGAATCGCCCTGCAGAATTGTTCTGGGCTTGTGTCCTCTGCATCAGTCTCTCATTGGTCATCCTTGGAAAGTGGTAACCTTTCTGAGTAAGGTGGTAAACCTTTCTGAGTAAGGAATGGCAGGGTCTCCAGAGATAGTTTGAGGTGTAAAATGCTAGCCATGGTGCTCACTGAAGCTCTGGATGGGTACTTTACTGGGGATCTGGGCAGTCTCCATGACAGGGCTTTTCGGGGATGAACGAGATAGTTTGCCTGGTGCAGAGGAAGTGCCCACTCATGTGCTCTTCATGTGCTCTCGTCGTACACAGAGTCTCTGGCATCAGCATGGACGTAGCTGTGCCCGAGGACACTGGTCAGAACCCTGCAGTGGAAGTGGAGCAATGTTACTGCCCGCCGGGGTACCGTGGCCCATCCTGCCAGGTGAGCCTCTGCACCCCTACTTGTCCAACTTTCCTCTTTTAGCTCTCCCATCTCCCCAGGCCTCATCCCAGCTCTGGCAACTCTGTGCCCCCTGCCCAGAACTGACCCTGCTGGGGAAATCCCTCCCACTGCCACCTTCCTGTCCCCAGGACTGTGACACAGGCTACACACGCATGCCCAGTGGCCTCTACCTGGGCACCTGTGAACGCTGCGGCTGCCATGGCCACTCAGAGCTCTGTGAACCAGAAACAGGTGCCTGCCAAGTGAGTCCTGCCCTCCTTCCTCTCCTCACCAGTGATCTGTGACCCCCAGACTCCCAGCCTCAACCCATTCTCTGCTCCTCCAGGGCTGTCAGCACCACACGGAGGGCCCTCGGTGTGAGCAGTGTCAGCCAGGATACTATGGGGATGCCCAGCAGGGGACACCCCAAGACTGCCAGCCGTGTTCATGCCACGGAGCCCCTGCAGCTGGCCAGTGCGTCCAGCCCCATCTCGTCCCTGCCCCACACTTGTCCCCCATCCTCACTGCCCCTCACTTGTCACTGCCCTTCACGTTTCCCCCATCCCTCCCAAACCCTCTTCCTCCAGCCCCACTGAGAGGCAGTAAGTAAGCCCTGGCCTCACCACCTCTTCCATGTGTACCTTGGCCAAGATAACATTTATCTGAGCCTCAACTTCCACATCTGTGAAATGGGAGTAATGGTGTCTCTGCTTCAATCTCTTGTGCAAGACAGCACACATGGAACTTTTAGCATTGTGCCTGATGCAGCAGTGCACATGCCCCGCCCAGCCCTTTCCTGCTTACCTGATTTTGAAGAAATAGGGAGAGAAGATAGAGCAACTAATCTCCGACTGGAATTTTGTGTCCCTGATCCTAGGGCTACACACACTTGCTTTCTGGACACAGACGGTCACCCCACCTGTGATTCGTGCTCCTTGGGCCATAGTGGGCGCCACTGTGAGAGGTGAGGTGGTATGGGTGGGGCATGCAGGGGCTTTATCCTGAGGGCCTGGACGGGCCTGACCTTCTTGGCTAGGAGGAGCGAGGAACCTGCCATTCTGATCTTAAACAGGCCATCAGAAGACACTCAGTTCTCCTCCTGGGGAACTTGCTCTTCACCCTGGTATTCAAGGCCCTCAGAGATTCTGGCCTGTCATTTATCTCCGATCCCCAGTGGTGCCTGCCCCAGCCAGGCCTGAATCTTCTGGCAAACCTCTCATTCTTGAAAAAGGTCCTAGGTTTGACATCTGTTTGTGCTAAGTTATGATCTTGTTTTGTTGTTGTTATGTGCCGTCGAGTCACCTGTGACCCATAGTGACCCTCTGTACAACAGCTCTGAAGCCTGCCCTATCCTGAGCCAGTCTCACTAACTCTGACATACCTACCCCCATTACCCAAGGCATTCCCTCTCAAAATCCCCTCCCACCCTCTCTGAGAACTTGTCTCTGTCCTACTGCCCGAGGCCTTGGAGGGAATTAGGCAGCGTCTGCTGGGAGTGGGAAAGCTCCACAGAACTGCTGTGGGTGACTGAGAAGGCTGACCTTAGACATGCTGGAGACGTTACTTTGTCAATCCATCTCACCTGGGGTCTTCCTCTCCTGTGCCATCCCTCTACCCTTCCAAGCATCATGTCCTTCTCCAAGGACTATTGGTCATGTGCCCACAGTTTGTGAGACAGAGCTTCAAAATCCTAGCCTAATGGCCTTTTTTAACTGAATGTGACCCTGTTTCTCTGGTTCTGTAGTTCTGCCCTTCTTTCATCAAATGCCTTTCGTCTTCTCAGGTGTGCCCCAGGTTACTATGGCAACCCCAGCCAGGGCCAGCCATGCCGAAGTGAGTAAGGTTGGAGTGGTCTGGGTATCAAGTCCCTTCCTGGGATGGAAGTAGGGCAGAGCCTTTGCTCTCCTTTGACTGGAGCAAGTGATTTTACTTTTATGAGCCTCAGTTACTCTGTAAAGTGGGGGATGTTAATAGGACCCACTTTGAGGGCTGTTATAAAAGTGCAAGGTACCCAGCCTGGGACAGATGCTCAGAACAAACACCCCTTCTCTCAGTGGTGAATTAGATGCCCAGAGGGTGGTGGGAATAGGAGCTTTGTGGCAGGTTTGGGGCTCCATGTGGGGCTTCTGTCTACCTCAGGAGATGGCCAGATGCAAGTGCCGACAGGCTGTGGCTGTGACCCCCAGGGCAGCATCAGCAGCCAGTGTGATGCTGCCGGCCAATGCCAGTGCAAGGTCAGTGCGAGTCCTGCCTTCCCGAAGGCCCTGGCCCAGAGCTACCATGGTGACCAGGCATTCCCTCTCAGAATCCCTTCCCACCCTCTCTGAGAGCTTGTTTCTGCCCCACTGCCTGAGGCCTGGAGGGAATTAGTTTCTGCTGGGAGTGGGAGAGCTCCTCAGAACCACTGTGGGTGACTGAGAAGGGCTCACCTTAGACGTGCTGGAAACCCACCCAAGCTCCTGTGCTCCCTGTCTACCTCTTTCTGCCCCTACTCCAGGCCCAGGTAGAAGGTCTCACCTGCAACCAGTGTCGGCCCCACCACTTCCACCTGAGCGCCAGCAACCCCGACGGCTGCCTGCCCTGCTTCTGCATGGGTGTCACGCAGCAGTGCGCCAGCTCCTCCTACACCCGCCATCTGGTGAGAGCCTGTCCTGTTGCCTGTGAACGTGCCTGTCCCCTGTATTACCCACTGAACACTCACCCCGTTAACCTTTCGCCCACCCAGATCCCCCACTGTGATCCCATTATTGATCTTTTCATCCCTGAGCCCAGAGCCTCCAGCCCCGTCCTCATGTCCTCCCTGTTCCTTCATTATTCCTGCCCCAGCTCAGGTCTCGCAAACCCCATCCAGTGTTTTTCCTGGACCCCCATTTGGTGGTCAAGCTGACACACCTCCCCTCCTGTGCTACAGATCTCCACGCGATTTGCCCCTGGGGACTTTCAAGGCTTCGCCCTGGTGAACCCACAGCGGAACAGCCGTCTGACGGGCGGCTTCACCGTGGAGCCTGTGCCTGACGGCGCCCAGCTCTCTTTCGGCAACTTCGCCCAGCTCGGCCATGAGTCCTTCTATTGGCAGCTGCCGGAGACATTCCAGGGAGACAAGGTGTGACTCGAAGCTTGAATGGCAGACCTTCCCCCAGCCACTGCCCAGCACCAGGGTCAGCGGTGACTCAGACCTCAGTTCACATTAGGGCAGCCTTAGCTGGCCATTTGGCTGGTGTCTGCCATTGAGGTTATTATGTCTGTGGCCTTTGGACTCAGCTAGACCTCAGACTGAATCCCAGATCTGCCACTTACCAGCTGAATGCATTTAGTAAAACCTCAGCTCTGGCATGGCTTGGGAGAACTAGAGAGCATGCCTGACTCATAGTAAGTGCTCACTTATTGATGATAATTAGCTTTCATGTGGCTGTTCAACAAACAAGCAGCTCCTGGTGACTCAGTGGTTCAACTCTAAAGGGCTAACTGTAAAGTCGGTGGTTCAAACCCACCCCAGGGGGAAGTCAACAGGTGAAAGGTCGAGCTATATATTCCCATAAAGATCACAGCTTAGACAACCCTATGGGGTAGTTCTATTCCATCATGGGGAGAAGGGGTGTTGCAAATTGAAATTGGCTCAATGTCACCTAACCATAACAAGTAACATTTAGCAAACAGCTTGGAAGAGGCCCTGGAAACAGAATGAATTAGACACAGTTTCCGTTTCATTTATTTGCTTATGCAGAATTCATTCATCCATGCTATTGGCTTGGAGCTTGCTGTTGGGGCATATTTACTGGGTGTTTGCTATGCGTCAGACATTGTTCCAGGCACTCTTTACGTCATAATTCACAACCCTAAGAGCTCAGTACTGCTTCTTGTTAGGCTGTAAAGTCAACTCCACTTCGTGGTGACCCCTGTACAGTTTGACAGTCCTGCTTATGACAGTCAGTATGCATGATGAGTCCCTTACTGCAGCCACCGTGTGTCTGAGTGCATTTCTGCCTAAGGGGGCGCTCTTCAAGCACGCTGTAATTGTTATCATTGTGTGCTGAAGAATCAGAATTGACTCATAACTAACCCGCAGGTTTTCAGAGACAGTAAATTGCACGGGAGAGGATTGCCCATCCTTCTCCCGCAGAGCATCTGGGGGATTTGAACCACATGCCTTTGGGATTGCAGCACAGCTTCTTACCACTGGGCCACCGGAGCTAATATAGCTCCAAGCATTGTATTAAACAATATTCTGTTGAGATCCGTAGGATTTTCATTGGCTAATTTTCAGGAGTACATCACCAGGCCTTTCTTCTGAGTCTGTCTTAGCCTGGAAGCTCTGCTGAAATCTGTCCATCATGGTTATCTGACTCAGCTGGTATTTTAAATAATGGTGGCAGCATCACAGTAACACACAAGCCAGCACAGTGCAGTAAACTGACACACAGGTGGCCTACTGGTAAAAAACTGCTCTGCAATCCCAAAGTCACATGATTCAAATCCACCAGCTGCTCCCTGGGAGAAGGATAGGCAGTCTTGTCCCATGCAATTTGATGCCTCTGAAAACCCACTGGAGCTATGGGTTCGTTCCAACTCAATGCCATGCAACAAACAACATGGCAAATAGAGAGTGGTAGGTAACTTGTCTAAGGTGGATGTAGCATATGGTAGCAATCTGGGATTCCAACCCAGGTTGAAGGCTGCCTTTAAAGTGCTACAGCTTTATGAGGCAGCCCTGACTCTACTATCCTAACAAGTGGTCCAGTGCACTGTGGTGATGATGGTCGTATCTGGGGCAGGATCTTAGGGGCACATCCCAGAACATCCCATTCAAAAGTGCTCCCCAAGGACCAAGGCCTCCTGGTGGTACCTAGGCAAAATGAACTTTAGCCAGGAGGCCCCTACTGGCTGAGGCCAGTGTTCAGTAGGTATGCCCCTAGAATCATGGCCTCAGGAAGATCAAGGACATTTATAAGGAGAAATCTGCGGCTCTACCACTCTTGTTCTTCAAGTATCTCAGCTTCCTCCCCGGGCTGGCTGCTTCTTGGTCCCTTCTCCCCTGCTCTCTTGCCCCCATCTGCCTCTCCATGGCCTCCCTGCTGCCCTGATCCCCACAGTTCTCAGGCCTTTCTCTCTGACTCCCTCTCCTTCCTTCTCCCTGCACCTGACAAGAGGGAGGCATATTTTACGCGACTGCGCCGGGCTCACCAGGTAGGCACATGCCATGCGTAGCGTGAAGTTGGTGTGATGTGGGCATGGCGTGTTTTGGATGCTCCCGGCCTTGTAGGAGATGTCCACTACCCAGGAACGCAGATCTGCATGAACCCAGGTGCTGCCTGGAGTCCCCTAGGGCAGGCTTTGCTGTGCCTCTGATGCCAGTAGTTTGAGCCAGGAGGACAGCGTGCTGTACTTTGTCTCTCCTGCTGTTGGTCTAGTCCCAGTGCCATCTGTCTTTGGCAGAGTGGTGACCAAGGAAACAGGGAGACTAATTGAAAGCTTGTCCCTGCCTCTCAGATTCCTCTAGTGTTGCTCCCAGGCAGCACCATTAACACTGTGTGTGCACACGCCCCCTCCAGTGCCTGGAGTTAACCCCTATGTACCAACCCCCAAAAAGGAAGCGTGCATCTTTGTCCCCAGTCAGCATGGGCCTTACTGGCCACCGTGTCTGAGGATAGAGGACACTGGGAGGTCTGAGCTGGCCTGTACCCTCAATCCCATCAGAACCGCACATCCTTCTCAGAGGACCAGCTGCGGGCAGCTGTGGCAACTGGCAGGATCCCAGGGATCCCAGAGGGCAGGGGCCGAGCCCAGCGGGCACCTCAGGTAACAGGGCTTGACCCAGGCAGGGTGTGTCTGGGTTCCCAGGGAGAAGACCCAAGGGTTTAGTCAAAGCAGGAACTTTGGCCAAGCCACAAACACTCCTGGCCTTTTAGCCCAGGTCCCTCCACAAATGTGAGCTCCACTCAGAGGGGCTGGGCAGAGCTGCATGCCTCTCTGTAGACTTAGCTGGGCTCAGCTCAGGACATCCCCACCAGGCTCTTGAAGAGCAGAGGACAGAAGTGGGCAGTTGTGAGGGAACAGCCCGGGACCAGGGCAGCATGTGGGCCTAGGCACAGCCTGAGGAGAGCCGACACCTCACACTTATTCTTCCTGCCTCCTCCCTGCTCCCTCCCTCTGTCTGTCCTTCCTCTCTCTGGCCCCTCAGGTGGACGAGGCCCAGAGGCGGATGGATGCTGAAATCTGGCAGCTCCTCTCCAGCTTTGCTGCCCATCCTCCTTCCCCTTCCCAGCCCGCAGCTGCCCTGTTGGTGGCTCCATCTTTCTCCTCCTCTTCCTCCTCTTCCCCCGCCTTCTCCTCAGCTTCTCTGGCTTTCCCAGCAGGCTCTCAGGTATGTGTCCAGGCACCTGCCATGGGACCCCCACCCGCCATGATTTCCAGGCTCCAGTCATTTCTAAACCAGCTTCTCAGCATAGAACCTAGACCATTTCTCTCAACCGTTCCTTTAAATCAACCGTAACCCAATCCAGTCATCCTGGACATACTGTTTAAAAATATACATTGGAATAGCCATTAAATTTGAAAACATTTCCTGTCATGCCATGTAAATGACCTTGGAATCTGCAAAAGGGACACAAAGATATGAGGAGATGCTACACAGCCGTCATCAGAGAAAAAAGTTGGGGGATCCAGGCTTGCAGAAGGGAAACAAGTTGTCTGAGAGCAGGGCCAAGACCTGGGCTGTTGGGGTGGGCGCTCACCCTCTGCCTGCCTGTGGTGTCCGTAGGGTTCATTCCCACCTCATCTAGACTGTCTCTGTCCTCTGAACCCCCCAAGCACTCCCCTCCCTTCTCACCACCTATCCTTCTATCCTAGTTCTCTCTCTCCTACGAAGGCTTCTCTCTGCTTCCAGAAAGCCTCTTTTACTGGCAGCTGCCCCGCGCCTTCCTGGGGAACAAGGTAACAGGAGTTTGATGAAGGTACTGGGGTCAGAGCCTACTAAAGTATCGGAAATTCCTTCATCAAAGCACATTATGCTGCAGATGGGTAGTTGAACTGAGAAGGGACTTGACTCAGGTTCCTGTGTCCAGATCTGAGGTCGAGCTGAGATTAAGTCCAGCTTTGTGCTAACCCTTCAGTCAGCCCCTGGCCGCTGTCTGAAAGGTGGTCTTCTCTGGAAGGATATACCCAGTGCCTCCAATTTGATCTTTTCCCCTGTGCCCAGTACACTAGCCCAGGCCTAAGTCCTGCATTCATTCACACACCTTTTCATCCAAGAAGCACTAATTAAGCCCTTACTATATGCTGCAGTATGTAGCTACAGAAGAGGGTCCTGGCCACCCAGAGGTCACAATTTGAGTCCGATTCTCATTCCTGTCATCTATGCATTGTTTTTACTATTTGACCCGAGCACTGGCTTTAGTGTTAGTATTATCATTGATACCACTTCTATCTTTTACCAAAGCCAGTTTTGAATGGAACTTAGGAAAACACACATAGAAAATACCATTCACAGAAGTGGGCAAGGCACTGGACTATATTAAGAGATATGCTCAAGTTAAAAGCAGAGGTGGGAGTAATGCTCAGTTACTGAGCCTTGAAGCGGGCGCTCAGCCCTCTGTGAGGCTCAGTACTTGTATGTGTCCTGTTTTACTTATTCCTTTGGGCATGCTGTTAGGAGGGGCCAGTCCTTGAAGAAGGATATCATGCTTAGAAAGGTGGAGGGGCAGCATTGTGAGACGCTCAACGAGATAGACTGGCAGAGTGTCTGTAGCAGTGGGTTCAAGTATGTCAGAGGGAGTAAGGATAGCACAGGGGAGGGGAGGGTTCAGAACCCTTGCTCATCGGGTTACTGTGAATCGAAGTTGACTCGAGGGTACATAAGAACAACACAATACCCTGAGAGGTGGGTGTTATTCTTACTCCCTTTCCCCCATGAGGAAAGTGGGGAGGAGAGAAGTGACTTTCCCAAGGCTAGCCAAGTCTTTCAGACTAAGAAAGCAGCTCCCTTAACTCCAGTGCTGGCATACCGGTAATGTGCTAAAAAGTTGACCTTGGACGTGGCAGTGAGCTTCCTGGCATCCAGAGCAAACAGGAAAGCGGTAGCCTCATGGTTATCTGGCTGTGCTCCACAAATTCCTCACCACACCCTGAGATGCTGGGCGACATCGCTGGAGCCCATACAGCCTGGCATGTAGTCAGTAGGCATTTAATAAATGCTCATCAGCTGAATGAAGTTTATCACCTGGTATGGTGATGGCACTGATCCAAGCTGAGGAGAAAGGACAGAGCTAGGTACTTGTCTGCCCATGTGACATGTCCCTGCAGCAAGCCCGGGACTCTGGTCTAGCGTGGGCCAAAGAAAACCCAAGTACAGCCGGCTTGTCTGCAACAAATCGTCTGTTAGCTCATGTATCTGCAAATGTCTAACAACATCTGGTATCAGGGATGGCTGGATCTAGGGGCTCAGGAAGTCTTTATCTTACTTGGCATTCTTTTCCAACTTTCCATGCTATTAGTTTCCAGTCAGACTAGAAAAGGAAGTGTCTTTATTTTGTTAGAAATATCAGAAGTGCCATGACTAAATCCTCTTGGAAAACCTGGTCCACACGTACATTCGTGATGGGGCTGGAGGAACAGGGTGTGATATGCAGATAACCCAGATTTGGCTCATGTCCCATAGTGGAGCAGGAAGGGGTACAGGCCCCTCCAAACCACATGTCCTGCATTTGAGAAAGAGTTATTTCTTTAAAGAAAACTAGCATTGCTGTTTGCATTAAGAGGTGAATGAATTGTGGACAAATCAGGCTCACTCACCCAGAAGAATAAGGCCTCTGAGGGCCCCAGCCCTGAGATAAAACACTTTAGAAGCTTCTACAGCCTTCCCATAGTGGTCACTGCCATTATGCTTCTCTGATTTAGGAGAAATGCCTTAAAATGTGGGACCTGGGACTGGAAAAGAGACCTGGGACTATGAGTGGGGACTGAAGAACCCCCAAACAGAGAAAGAGTCTGTCCCTAGTCGTCACCACCTTGTCATTGCCTGTGGGGGAACTGAGGAAGAGATGGCCTGTGTCCTGGGTAGCCACAGACTTCTGCACGCCTTCCCTTATGGGCAGATGAGTGCAGCCCAGGAGCTTAAAGGTGTAGAGAAGCTCTGCCTCTCACCTCTATGGACACACCCCCATTCCAGAGGCGCTCTGAGCAAGGATGTGACTGCTGGCCTTGCCTTCTTGCAGGTGGCAGCATATGGTGGCAAGCTTCGCTACACCCTCTCCTACACGGCTGGGGCTCAGGGCACCTCATTATCCGACCCTGATGTCCAGATTACGGTGAGTAGCAGACTCCTAGCTAAGTGGACAGAAGGGACACTGATAGCCAGGGGTCCCTTGGGGTTTCCACCCTTTCATTCCTGGCTTGGTTAGCCTGGCATGGGTGGGTGCGGAGGGTACGTTCATGCCTCTCGCTGCCTGACTGCTTGCCAGAGGCAGTGAGCATGATCCTGAGCCCTTTGGCTGGAGAGGAGAGAGATGGGAAGCTGGGCATTATGGCGAGACTGGGGCTGCTCAGGACAGGATGTTCCCCTCAGCTCTTTTGCGCCCCTGTCAGTTCCACTGGTGTCTCCCCAGGGCAACAACATCATGCTGGTGGCCTCCCAGCCTTCACTGCAAGGCTCCCAGAGGAAGAGCTATGAGATTGTGTTCCGAGAGGTAAGGGGCCCTGGGCCGCACATTGTCTGGCCTATCCCTAACTCTAATGCAGAGTCTGCCATTGAGCACCACTGCCCTTCCCTCTCACTGCTCTGTTCTCACTTCTTGGTCTTCTGTCAGTGCCTGGAAGTCTGGCATCTGTCAATGCCTGGAGTACGGCATCATAGGTTGTTGTTGACTCACGATGACCCTATGAACAACAGACCTGAACCCTGTCCTGTCCTGTGCCCTCTTCATCCTCTCTGACACACTTGAGCCCATTGCTGCAGTCACTGTGCCAATCCATCTCATCAGGGATCTTCTCTTTCACTGACTTTCCACTGTCCCAAGCATGATGTCCCTTTCCAAGAAATAGCCCCACAAAGCCTGACACTCCTCACCTATATTTTTGTCGCTGTCCTAGGAATTCTGGCGCCGGCCTGACGGGCAACCAGCCACACGTGAGCACCTTCTGATGGCACTGGCTGACCTGGACGAGCTCCTGCTTCGGGCCACTTTCTCCTCAGTGCCGTTGGCCGCTAGCATCAGTGCAGTCAGCTTGGAGGTCGCCCAGCCTGGACCCTCCAGCGGACCCCGAGCCCTGGAGGTGGAGGAGTGCCGCTGTCCCCCGGGCTATGTTGGCTCCTCCTGCCAGGTGAGTGCGTAAGGCCCAGTCCCAGTGGCCAGCTAGCATTTCCACAGCCCATGAGCCCTGTCCTGTCCTGTGCCATCTGCATCATCTCTGAAACACTTGAACCCATTTTAAATGTAGTTGTAATGGTCTGCAAGGACTCCTTTCAAATCTATTTAGGTCTCTTGAACCCTTGTTTTCCAAGTAGGGTTATGCTTTTCTAAAGACACCTTTCCTGCCAGGAGAATGTTTTACAAGAGAATATAAAGGCCCACGGATAGAGGACTCTCTCTTAAGAATGAAATATTATTTTCCTAAATTCAGAGAGGGTAGGCAGGATGAGGCAGATACTACCCAAACTCTGCGTGGGTCCTGGTGTGAGGGTTTATAGGGTGGAGAGGAAAATGGGGTGCAGGATAGTGTTGGGTTTCCTCTTCGGAGCCAAAGGACTCTGAATTGAAGCACCCAGTCGATGCCCATGACTGGTGAGGGGTTTAGATTCTAGGTCTGCATGGAGACCAGCCTTACTCTTTGCCTTTCAGGACTGCGCCCCAGGCTACACACGCACCGGAAGCGGACTTTACCTCGGTCACTGTGAGCTGTGTGAATGCAATGGCCACTCGGACCTGTGTCACCCAGAGACTGGAGCTTGCTCGGTGAGATGCAGACAGGGCCAAGGCATGGGAAGAACCAGCACAGCTGGACCTGGGATAGGATCAGGGGCAGGGGGCTACAGGAGGGGCAAGGAGGCTCAGTAAAGTAGCCTAGGGCCAGCGACAGGATTGTGGAGCATGGCCAAATGGGGACAAAGTCCCTGAACCTGAAGGCCTGCTCACTGAAAAGTGTAGACCTGGTGGGATGGCAAGAAATATAGAGTAACATCTTTCTCTTATTAAGAAAGGAATACTGGTGGCACAGTGGTTGAAGCATTAGGCTGCTAACTGAAGTCAGTAGTTCGGACGCACTATCTCCTCCACAGGAGAAAGATGAGATAGGCTGCTCCTGGAAAGATTCACAGCCTTGGAAACCCTCTGGGGCAGTTCTGATCTGTCCTACAGGGTCGCTGTGAGGCAGAATCAACTTAGACGGCAGTGCTTTGAGTCAAGTGTCAAGGAGTCAGATTACAAAGATAAACCAGAAAATGAGTAAAAGTCACCTGTAGTCCCACCACCTGGAGCTGATCATTATCAGCATCAGAGTGGAGAGCGACCCACGCTGCTTCTGGGCAAGCATTCACACGTATCGATCCACTTTTCATTTTGAAAGAAAGATAGGACCACCCAGAGTGATTATCAGATTTCCCTCCTCCACTTACCAGCTCATAAACAGCATCCTATATCATTAAGTCTTCTTTTTTAAAGTAGCTGGACTTTTCTAAGTGCTTTGTGCATAATCCTGGGCTATTTATTGTCTGTAGTGTGGGCTCAGGTATAGCTCAGGTGGTCTCAGAGCCATCTGCTCACCTGGCACAGGAAACCTGCTGTGTTATTAAAATAAGCGTGGTTGTCTGTGGAGAATATTGCACTCACACATATTTTTATGATGAAGTTTGCATTTTCTAAAATTTGCTCCCTTATATCCAAGTATATGCGTTTACTTTCCTCTGATAGAAAAAAAAAATAGAAGAAATGTAATCAACACCATCGTTTTTTTGTTGTTGTTGTTGTTGTTTTTTAGCTGTTTAGATGGGTGCACTTCTTAATTTATCCAGTTTTCTGTTCATGGATGTTTAGATTTCCTTCTAGCATTTTGATATTCTAAGAACCACTGGGATGAATATTCTTGTAACATCCATTTATGAGTCTCTCTTTAATAATATAAATTTATAAGAATGGAATTTCTAGGTAAAGCTAGGTAAAGGGATTACAAACTTATGAGGCTTCCGGCAGATTTTGCCTATGCCTGGTGGCTGACCCCTTTGTACCCTGCAGCAATGCCAGCACAACGCTGCTGGAGAATTCTGTGAGCAGTGTGCACCTGGCTACTATGGAGATGCCACAGCCGGGACCCCTGAGGACTGCCAGCCCTGTGCCTGCCCACTGACCAACCCAGAAAACATGTGCGTGCTTTCATCCACGGCCTGCGGAAGAACTGCCCAGGGATGGAGGGTGTTGCTCTGACTTTTAAGGCATAAATAGAAGGAGCACATCAGGGCGAGGGCTTTCCACAGCCTGACCTTTGCCTCTGTCTACCCCAGGTTCTCCCGCACCTGTGAGAGTCTAGGAGCTGGTGGGTACCGCTGCACAGCCTGCGAACCAGGCTACACTGGCCAGTACTGTGAACAGTAAGTTTATAAATAAATGGGTGGCAGTCTACAGAGAAGAGCCCTAGATAGTGTTGCCTAGGAAGGTCAATGCCAAGATCTATCCCTCCCTGCATCAGATCTCTTTCAAGACTGTTTCCCTCAGGATCTGCTCAAGCTCTGTGTTCAGGCTTACCACACAGTCCTGCAGGTCACTTTTAGAGCTCATCCCACTTCTGACACCCAACTCAGCTAGTCTTAACTTTGTGAATTATTATTGTTCAGGTCTTTGCATGTACTGTTTTCTCTGCATAGGTCATTCTTCATCCTCAAACTTTTCCTTTTAGCCTAACTCCTACCTAGCCTTCAAGACTCAACTCCATTTACTTATTCAGCAAATTGTTAATTGACTGTCTGTTTGTGTGCTGTGCAATGGACCAAATGTTGGAGAGAAAGTAATGAACAAAACAGATTTAGTCTGAACTGTCAAGGGAGTCTACCTCCTGTGATAAGAGACAAGATACAGAAAAAGTAATCGTTTGATATATTATTGCAAATCCTACTACTTTCCTGACAAAAAAACCTACACAGCTTATTCCAAGAGAAAGTAACAGCTTAGAGTCACATCCTCTGAGAACCTTCAGAGCTGCATTTGGGGGCCCTCTGCGTCCTCCCAGCTCCCATTCACTACTATCACTATCGTTTTATACAAAGAATCTTTGTGTTGATGATTCTTCAACTAATAATGAGTTCCACAAGAGCAGGAACTGCTTCTGTTGCTGTTACAGTTCCAGCTTTGGCATGGTGTCTGATACTTCGGTGTTACTTAATAAACATTTATTATGTGAATTTTTTTTGAGGAAAGAAAGATCTTACCTCCTCAATCTCAATTCCCTAATCTGCTTCCATGCTTAAAATCGCCATCCCTGAAGTCACCAGGGCCGTGGGTTGTGGGGGTCTCTCTGGTCCCTGAGATCTTTCAAGAATTCTGAGCCTTCAGGCTGAGCTTCTGCTTAACCCCCCCTTTCAAGCCACCATGAGGTACTGAGTCTCTTGAGACCTGACCAAGCTGTTTCTTGCTCCATTTTACAGGTGTGCCCCAGGTTATGTAGGTAACCCCAATGTGCGGGGGAGCCGATGCGTACCACAGGGTAAGTGAGACCATGGCCCAGAATGAGGGTGATGGACAAGGCAAGGAGCCTTGGAAGATCTAGTATTGGACACTCTAGGTCTGGTGACAGAGTTGAAGGCTGGAATACACTTGGGGCACTTTTGAGAAGGCAGAGATATCTAAGGCAGTGTTTCATGCTGAGGACTTCCTATCTGAGTGTCCCCTTCTGTTCCCTCAACAGCCGATCAAACCCCACTGGTGGTTCAGGTCCATCCTGCTCGGAGCATAGTGCCCCAAGGTGCACCCCATTCCCTACGATGCCAGGTCAGTGGGAACCCACCTCACTACTTCTACTGGTCTCGTGAGGATGGGCGGCCTGTACCCAGCAGCACCCAGCAGCGACACCAAGGTACCCATGGCTTCATGCTCCTGAACCCCCTGAGCTGCCCCAGGGAAGGCTTGGGGCCCTCTCCTTAAGTGCAGGGATGGGAGGAAGAAGAAGGGTATCTGCTGATGAGCTCCTCTCCCCTCCCTACCAGGCTCCGAGCTCCACTTCCCCAGTGTCCAGCCCTCAGATGCTGGTGTCTACATTTGCACTTGCCGGAATCTCCATCATGCCAATACCAGCCGGGCAGAGCTGCTGGTCACTGGTGAGTCCCTGATCCTTTCCATGCCACCCATCCTCAAGAGCACCTGGTCTGCAGCCAGGCAGCTGCTGTATTCATCTATCAGGAGAGGCTGGCCGGTCCCTGGACAAGAGCAGTGGAGAAGGAGTGAGGTGGCTGATTCAAGATCAGTGAGACAGGTAGAATTGTCTGGACTTGCTTGTTGTCAGTGAGTGAGAGAAAATAATCTAGGGGACTCTGGAGGTCTGAATTCTAGCAACTAGGAAGAAAGATTGCCATTTACTGAAATGAGGGACAGTCCAAGAGAAAGTTGTCTTTCATTTGACCTCCCCCAAAGCAGAGCCTTGGACAAAAATCTGAATGCAAATAATTTACTTGTGAAGCAATCCTAAGAAAACCAGTGAGGGAAGTAAGATGAGAGGGAAAGCATTCAGGAAAGTAAGTTACTACTGTGGGCAGTTGTTGTATACTCTGGTAGAGGAGACTCTGAGGATTAGTTAACATCCAGCTGCAGGGCAGAAGGAACTAAAGTATGTGTACAGTAGCTCCTATGAGTCATTGAGCTCATTCCACTGTAAGTCCTTACATACCTGTCCCACCCCTATGGTCTGAGAAAGGTCACCTGAAAAAAAATTATATAGGACCTGGCATCTAGAAGTCAGACATGCATGCATTGAATTAATAGGGTAAGGGATTGTGGACAGGTGTCTTAGTTTTTTGGTGCTGCTATAACAGAAATGCCACAGAGGGTGGCTTTGAGGAACAGAGATTTTTTTTTTCTTTTCTCTGCAATTCTGGAGATTAGAAGTCCAAATCAGGATCTCAGCCAATGCCAGTTCTTTCCTTGTAGGTAATTCTGGGTTTTCCTTGGTTGATTGGCTTGTAACTTGTCTTCATGTCACATCTGCCTTACCCTTTGTGTACATGTCTCTGCGTCTGTTCTGTTCTTTTTATAATATAAACATAATTAGGATCCACTCTGCACTCATATGGCTGTTGCTGAATGGTTACATTGTTCTAGATTGCATTGTGGAAAGTGATTACTTTATATATCATTATATTAAATTTACAGATCTAGAAATTAGAATTCCAGTATATTTTTTTAGAGGACTTAGTTCAATCTGTAATAGCAGACATCAGCAACATCTGCTATCAACAGATCAGAGTGAGCCATATGTTTTGCTTGAGACATGTTAAAATTTAAGATGCTTAAGGGAACAGATATCTAAGTGAGGACTTTTGGTTAGGAATCTAGAACTTGGGGAAGAAGGCTAGGCCAAAGAACTAAATCTGGGGTAGAGATACAGAGCCCTGGTAGTGTAGTGCATTGCATTTGGGGCAGCTAACCCAAAGAGCAACAGTTGGATTCCACTATGAGCTCCACGGGATAAAGGTGAGCATTCTCTTCCCATAAGATTTTACAGACTCAAATCCCACTAGAGGATTGCCATGAGTTGAAATTGACTCATCAGCACTGAGTTTTGGGCATAGAGATGATGTTTAAAACCATTGTGCAGAAGAGTTCACTCAGGTAGAATGCGCCTAGGGGAGAGGGTCTAGGACAAGGCCCCAAAAGCTCCAACCTGGACATGTCAAGTTGAGAAGGAGTGGTAGTAAAAGAGACCAAGAGGGTGCAGCCAGTGAGAAGAAAGGAAACCAGGGAGTGTGGTTCCTGGGAAGCCAAAATGGAAAGTGTTTCCATGAGGGAATGGTGCCACTGAGAAGATAAATCAAGCTGTTATGAGCAAGTTGACTCCAACCCATTGGAGCAACCCCTTGTGTGTCAGATGGAACTGGGCCCCACAGGCATTTTAATGGCTGCCCTTTTCTGAGTAGATCACCAGGCCTTTCTTCTGAGCTCCCTGTAAGTAGACTCATACCTATTCCTTAGTAGCTAGGTATGTTAAGAGAAGATGAGACCAGAGAGATAACCCTTGGTTCTTTAAGAAGAGTGGTTTTCAGTGGAGAGAAGGAGTAGAAACTAGATTGGAATAAGGTCTCCCATTCCCACAGAGGCACCAAGCAAGCCCATAACCGTGACCGTGGAGGAGCAGAGGAGCCAGAGCGTGCGTCCCGGAGCCGATGTCACCTTTATCTGCACGGCCAAGAGCAAGGTGGGGTGGGACAGAGCGGGAATGAGAGGGGGCCTGTCTTCTGGCATCTCTGAGCCCACCCTTGACCCCTATCCTATCCCCCTTCCGCCTGCAGTCTCCAGCTTACACCTTGGTGTGGACCCGCCTGCATAATGGGAAGCTGCCATCCCGAGCCATGGATTTCAATGGCATCCTGACCATCCGCAACGTGCAGCCAAGTGATGCAGGGACCTACGTGTGCACGGGCTCCAATATGTTTGCCATGGACCAAGGCACAGCCACATTGCATGTACAAGGTATAGTCTCACCTGTACCCCTGTATCAGGACCAGGGCACCTTTTACTCATGCACTGATAATTTCTGAGCATTGTAGTATGCTAGGTCCTGGTCTAGGTTCCAAGGAAACAGAAAGAGAGAGACAAACAGGATCTCTGCCCTTCTTCAGTGAATGTTCTAGCTGGAGAGACAGTAAATGTAGGAACGAATGAATCAATGAGATTATTACACTTGGTGGTGCATACTGGCACCGGAATAAAGAGTAGTAGATATGAAGTGGGAAAAGGGTGAGCTATTCTAGATGGGGTGTCCAGAGAGGGCATCTCTGAGGAAGTGACTTCTGAGCTGAGACTTGAAGGAGGAGAAGTATCCACTCGCGTAAGGATGGGCAGAATGTACCCAGCAGGGGATGCAGCAGTGCAGAGGCCATGAGGCAGGATCATGTTGGTGTGTTTTAGGAACATCAAGTCAGTGTGGCTAGACCCAATTGAGGGAGAATAGTGAGGAACCTAGAGAATAAGCAGAAGCCAGAGCTTGCAGGATAAGGTGAACCACAGTAGTTTGGTGCTGCTGTCTGTTTGCCGGCAACCTACAGCAACACCCTGATGGAAGTAAGCATGACGGAGATACACCACTCCAGGAGAGGACCAGAGAGTCAATCCAGCTCGGTTTTATTGGGATAAGCACTGCATTTATATACACAGCAAAACAGGATAGGGTGGGCTTACAGACGTGGGACATGTGGATTGGTTAGGAGAACCTTAGCCTCGTGCGGACCACTCCCACTCAACAAACTTGGCAGCTTTCTTCCCAGGTGGCGAGCTTTCTCAAGCTGGTACAGCCACACAGGGGAGCTTTCTCTACCCCATATTAAAGGCCATCGGGAGGCTTGCACTTATCTGGAGCTTAGGCGATCCATCCTGGCCAGAGGTCTTCCCTTCCTCCTCAATATTCCGCAACAGTTTGGGCGTTTTGTTTTGTTTTTATTAGTTTGGTTTTATCCTAACAGCAATGAGAAGCCATGGACAGATTGTAAGTGGGGAATGGCACAATCCCCTTGATGTTTTAAAAGTTGCTCTGGCTACTGAGTGGACAGAACCATGTAGGCAGGAGTGGACGCCAAGAGAAGCAGCAGTTCCAACAGTGTTGATGTGATTCAGACACTAACCACCCTAACTATGTATTCTGTCTCCTCCCATCAGCCTCAGGTGCCCCATCTGCCCCTGTGGTCTCCATCCACCCACCACAAGTCACGGTGCAGCCTGGACAGCTGGCTGAATTCCGCTGCAGTGCCACCGGGAACCCCACACCCACCCTCGAGTGGACAGGTGACAATGACATTCAGAGTCCTGACTCTCCTGGGCTAGGGAGGGCAAGGGCAGGCCTTTAGGTTCTGGGCTCTACAACTCCCAGGTAGAGGGACCTAGGAGAACCCAGACCCAATGGATTTTGACTCCATGTCTCCATATCAGGGGGCCCTGGTGGCCAGCTCCCTCAGAAGGCACAGATCCATGGTGGCATCCTGCGCCTCCCAGCTGTGGAACCCTCGGACCAGGGCCAGTACCTGTGCCGCGCCCACAGCAGCGCCGGGCAGCATGTGGCCAGGGCCATGCTGCATGTGCATGGTGAGGGGGCTGGACTAAGAGTGGGGGCTGAGAGCCGGGGTGTAGCCCAGGGTTTGCACTCACCAGGCTGTATGTGCAGGAGGCAATGGGCCCAGGGTCCAAGTGAGCCCGGAGAGGACTCAGGTACACGAAGGCCGCACCGTCAGGCTGTACTGCAGGGCTGCAGGGGTACCCAGTGCCACCATCACCTGGAGGAAGGAAGGGGGCAGTCTCCCCCCACAGGTGAGAAGATAAGGCCTACTCTGGCTCAGCAGAGTCCTCACACTCTGTTCCCACTGCACCCCTACCTCCACTTGCTACCCCATCCATCTCTGCTGGTCTCCTTCACTTCCAAGACAGAACAAAACAGGGCCCAGTTCTGTACCAACTTCATGGCGATTGGCTTGTTTGAGTGCGTGGTGATGTGCCTTCTAACCTAGAGGGCTCATGTTCTTCCAGCCCTATCCCAGACAATATTCTGTTGTAATCCACAGAGTTTTTAGTGATAATATTTAGAAATAGATCCTTTAGGCCGTTCTTCTTTGCCTCAGTCTAGAAGCTCTATTAAAATCTGTCCACTTGGATGACACTGCTATAATTTAAAATACTAGTAACATAACTTCAAGGGTCACAGCAACACACAGACTGGCAGCGGGGCTGGCTTGTGCCCATCCTTGGCTCTGTACCTGTCCGTGTGCCCTCTGTCCTCTAACCCCAAGTCGGCAAGCCCTCTTGCACACACTGGTGGCTGAGTCGTCTCCCTGTGGCAGGCCCGATCAGAGCGCACAGACATCGCCACACTGCTCATCCCCGCCATCACCACTGCAGACGCTGGCTTCTACCTCTGTGTGGCCACCAGCCCTGCAGGCACCGCTCAGGCCCGCATCCAAGTGGTCGTCCTTCCAGGTGAGGGCCTCCCAGGGCTGGGAAGTGGGGAGAACTAGCCAGGCTTCCAGTGAGGCCTATTTACACCACCCTGGCCCCCAGCCTCAGGTTCCAGCACACCGCCAGTCAAGATTGAGTCCTCGTCCCCTTCTGTGACTGAAGGACAGATGCTGGACCTCAACTGTGTGGTGGCAGGGCAGGCCCATGCCCAGGTGACATGGTACAAGCGAGGGGGCAGCCTCCCTCCTCACGCCCAGGTATGAGGGTCCCTGAGCCCGAGGCGGGGGATCTAGAGGTGCAAGGCCCTGATCAGGCATAGCTGTGCACAGGGAGAGGTTCCACGCTGTCCAGGAGCTTTCCTCAAGTGGGGGCCAGGTCCTTGGTCTTTCCATTCTCGACTTCTATCAGGGAGAGGCACAGAGCACCACCTGATGGGTGTTTGGTAAATTAATCACAGAGGTTCAAAGGGAATGGCGACAGCAGCCCGTTTCCGGACCTTACATCTCTTCCTCTATCTGATCCAGGTCCATGGCTCCCGGCTGCGGCTCCCCCAGGTTTCACCAGCTGATTCTGGAGAATATGTATGCCGAGTGGAGAGCGAATCCGGTCCTAAGGAGGCCTCCATCATTGTCTCTGTCCTCCATGGTGCCTATCCAGGTCCCAGTTATACCCCAGGTGAGGAGCCAGATGGGGCTGGGCAGGGACTGAGGCCGTTCTTCACAGGGATGGTGCCATGGTCTCCAGGTGCGTGAGAACAAGATGGAGCAGGCTTTGACCCTCCACTTCCTGCTCAGATGGGAAGGCAGGCCACCCGTGGGGATTACATTGATCTGACTTACTTAGGGTCCCTTGGTGAGGAGACTGTTTTCAAACTTTGTCCAGAAGCAGGAGTGCAGGGTTGAACAGTGAGTGGGGAGTTGGACTAGCCTGGATTCAAATACTGATATTGGTGCTTATTAGCTTTCTGGGCCTCCGTTTCCCCATCTGTGAAATGAAACAATATGTCTATGAGGCTGTAGCACAGTTTAAATGAGATGATGCCAATGTCAAGTGCTTTCTGAGCACAAAGGTGTTGTCTCATTATCAGCTCTTCCTGGCACCAATCTAGGCATTAAATCTCCTTGGTTCCCTGCAGGCCAGAGCTGACTTAAGATCATGGAGCAGAAAGACATGGGTAGGGACGTGGACTTCAAGTCCAAGTTGAAGGCGGGAGAGGTGAGGAGGGGTCTGGCAGGCCATATTGAAGCAGAGCATGGTCTGAACCTCATAAAGGCCTTTCTGCCTCCTAAGCTCGAGTCCTAGCCCAGACCTCTACCCAGAGTGGCAGGACTGGAGAACGTAGGAGCCCAGGCCTCTGAGCCAACCCCTTTGTCCCCTAGCTCCTGGTGGAGCCCCAGCTCCTGGAGGTTCCCAGCCCATCCGCATTGAGTCCTCCTCATCTCACGTGGCTGAAGGGCAGACCCTGGATCTGAACTGCGTGGTTCCTGGCCAAGCCCATGCCCAGGTCACTTGGCACAAGCGTGGGGGCAGCCTCCCCGCCCGACACCAGGTACAGCAGCTCCTTGGGCTGGCCTGCTGGAGGGGTTGCATGGGACCTCTCTGGCCCCTTCCTAACCCACCTTCCTCCCATCCAGACCCACGGCTCGCTGCTGAGGCTACACCAGGTGTCCCCCGCTGATTCGGGCGAGTACATGTGTCGAGTGGTCCTTGCCTCTGGGCCTGTGGAGACCTCTGTCCTGGTCGCCATTGAACCCATTGGTTCCAGCTCTGGTACCATCCCTGGTGAGTGGCTCCCAACCAAAGGAAAAGCTGGAAGAGGCTTGAGGGCCTTTGAGAGTGGTGAGGACCAAGTGATCTCATTCCTTGGTGAACTTGGGGCAGGAGGCCAGAGTTGAACACTGACTTGGGTTCAAATCCTGACTCTAGCCCTTGGAAGCCTTGAGCAAGTTATTTGTTCGGTGCCTCAGTTTTCAGTCATAGTCCTCTTATCATGTGTCTTGCCCCACCTTAATCACCCTCATCTCACTCCTCTCCACCCTTGTCTTCTTGCCAGCCAACTCAGGCCACTCCCACCACCCAACAGACATACCAGGAGCCTGGCCTCCCACGGCAAGGCTGAGCTGGCTCTACTCTCACCCCGCACCCCTCTGTCTGCAGCCCCAGGCCCAGTCCCACCTGTCAGGATTGAGTCCTCATCCTCCACAGTGATCGAGGGGCAGACCTTGGATCTGAGCTGTGTGGTGGCAGGGCAGGCCCATGCCCCTGTCACATGGTTCAAGCGTGGAGGCAGCCTCCCTGCCCGACACCAGGTATACCAGAAATGTGGCAGCGGGGACAGACAGGGTCAAGTCAAGAGTGGGAGGCATGTAGTTGTGGGCATCCCTTTGACCCCTGAACTGAGAAGCTGCACTTCTCAGCTCAACTATCTTCTGGGCTCTGGAAACCTCCCTCTCACACCCTTCCTCATGGCTGCCCAGGTCCGCGGCTCCCGCCTCTACATATTCCAGGCCTCCCCAGCTGATGCGGGCGAGTATGTGTGCCGGGCCAACAATGGTGTAGAAGCCTCCATCACGGTTACTGTAAGGTCATCCCAGGACACCTACTACCCCTACCGTGAGTGGGGTCACCAGCCTGAGTCAGGAGGGAGGACAGGGATAGTGGGAAGAGCTTCAGAGAACTATAGAGTGACCTGTGACTGCCTCATCCCCCAGCCTCAGGAGACTCCCAGCCCATCCGCATCGAGTCCTCTTCTTCACAAGTGGCCGAGGGACAGACCCTGGATCTGAACTGCGTGGTGCCTGGGCAGGCTCATGCCCAGGTCACATGGCACAAGCGTGGGGGTAGCCTGCCCATCCAGCACCGGGTATGGAGCTGGTAGATGGAAAGCCCAAGAGGAGAAGGGGCCTCAGGGTGGAGAGGGGTGAGGGGTGCTCAAGACTCCTCCATAGCAGGGAAACCTTGGCCTCATTGCCGTGGTGGGAGCCCAGACTTCAGGACCAGCCAGCTCTGAGGTGAATCTCAATACCCCCAGTCATTAGCTGTGTGACCTTGGTCAAGCTACCTAACTTCTCTGTGCCATAGTTTCAGCTTCTATAAAATGGGAGTAATAGTAAGAGTGTACCTTGTGGCAGTTGTCATAAGGATTATGTAAGTTAATTTTTTTTATATAAATTAATTCGTATCCAAAATATTCAGTGCTCTGGCTCATAGAAAGTGCTTTGAGCTATTATTAATACTACAATACCATTAGTTATCATTATGTCATATTTTATCTGATTTAGGGAGCTCTGGTGGCTTGGTGGTAAGGAGTTGCAGAGCCAACCCAAAGCCTCACTCTTCTGATCCACCAGGTGCTCTACGAGAGAAGATGGGTGAACTCCTCCCACGCAGTTTACTGCGTCTGAAATCCCACTGGCTGAAGGGTCAGCCATGAGTTGATTCCAGCTCAATGATAACAAGAACAATTTTGTAGAATGTAGACATTTTGTTTGCCAAATGTACCACTATTTTATGTACCTCTAGCAGGATCGGCATCCACTCCCTAAACAACACGCCTCTGGAAACTCTTATGAACTTTGATAAATGACGATAGTTCTAGAAAGGCTTCAGGCCTTTTGTTCATAGTGTAGTTATGTGATCTACTTGACAGCAATCAATAACAACAACAACAACAACAAGGAAACAAAAGTTGCCATTTATAATTATAAGAGGATTATATTTCTTTCCAATTTGTAATTGGAGGATGACTAATTATTAGATGCTTCTTGACTTGGGTGATAGTAAATGTATCTCAGAATGGAGTGTGGTATTCATGTTGACCCAGCCCCTGGTAGCAACAACTCCTGCCTACCACCTCACTCCTGGAATGAGAACTCCCTCCCCAGCCCCTAAATAGACAGAGAAAGGAGCCTGGAGCTGGTGGCCAACTTAGAGGAGAGAGTGAGACACGGCTGTAAATTGCTGGTCCAGGGGTCCTCTGAGAATCTCCTCTGACCTTGCCCTTCAGATGCATGGCTCAATGCTGAGGCTGTACCAGGTGTCCCCTGCTGACTCGGGCGAGTACGTGTGCCGTGTAGTGGGAGGCTCCGTACCCCTGGAAACCTCAGTCCTGGTCACCATTGAGCGTGCAGGCTCTATCCCTGGTGAGTGACGGTGGTGGGAAGGAGGGCTGATGACCCAGCCCAGGGCCCCCCAATCCAGTAGTGGCAGAATCCAGAGGACAAACCCCGACTCCACCTCCCATAAGAGGAGTAGTCTTTGCTTCCACCACACCCATCTGTTCTCCTCCCCTGGCCCCATCACACCAGGGAACTGACTCTGTCCTCTGTGCCCAGGGGTCAGCGTCACCCCCCCAGTGCGGATTGAGTCATCTTCCTCACATGTGGCCGAAGGGCAGACCCTGGACCTGAACTGCCTCGTTGCTGGGCAGGCCCATGCCCAGATCACGTGGCTCAAGCGGGGGAGCAGCCTCCCTGCTCGGCACCAGGTAGGACTTTATTGGCTGCAGAATAAAGGCTTTAAATCAGGCACATTTGAGTTCAAGGGCTGCTCTGCCACTTGTCTGCTTGATGATCTTAGGCCAGTGATTTTCCAGATCTTTGGTTTTCCTCATCTGTCAACTGGGTTTTCCTCATCTTTCAACTAGGTTTTCCTCATCTGTCAACTGGGTTCGCACTGCCTAGCTCATCTATCCCATAGCATGCATGCCAGCAGATACTGATCTAATCTTTCATTTCTTCCTGCTGCTAAATCCCAGTGTTCCCTGGCAGGGATAGGGTGTCAAGCTGGATTGATTCCTGATGTCCAACTGCCCCCTCAAGCCTAGGGCAGAAATTGAGAGTGTCATGACCTAGAAGCGCATCCATCATGTTTAGGTGGCTGGGAAGGGACCGGGAGCCTGGCCATGTACCCAGTGTCTGAGCCTGCCTCCCTCCTGCCCCACCCAGGTACTCGGCTCGAGGCTTCGGCTGTCCCAGGTGACCCCTGCCGACTCTGGGGAGTACGTGTGCCGTGTGACCAGCAGCTCAGGCACCCAGGAGGCCTCAGTCCTTGTGACCATCCAGCAGCGCCCAAGTCCCCCGCACTGTGAGTGTCTCAGGGTTGTAGCAAATGACAGGGGCTCTTAGAGGCCCATCTCTGCCCTCAGCGGCTCCCACACCCTTCCTTCTATCTCTCCCTCCCAGTCCAGGGCGTTGTATACCCTGTCCGCATTGAGTCCTCCTCAACCTCCATGGCCAATGGACATACGCTGGACCTCAACTGCTTGGTGACCAGCCAGACCCCCCACACTATCACCTGGTATAAGCGTGGGGGCAGCTTGCCTAGTCGGCACCAGGTAGGGAGCCAGCAAGCAGGGCGCACCAGAAGTGATGCAAGTCAGGGGCTCTCAGCACCATGCTCAGGGCTCATTCAGTCATTCAGCAAATACTGAAGGTCTTTGCTGGTACGCCTTCACCAGTGTTGAGGATGCACAGAGGAGTCCCACTGTCCTCAGTTGAAGGCTGTATTTTAGCTGAACATTTTACAGTTTACTCATGTGCTAACTTTCTTCATTCTAAGTCCTGTGCTGGCCACAGAGGACCTAGAATTGAACAAGGCCTTCAGGGAGCCATGTTCCAGAGTGGAGGCAGACAGCAGGGTGCCAGCACCATGTGTGACAGGAACACAGAGCTTTCTGGAGAGCTCACGGGCAGGAACAAGACTGAGACTGGAGGAGACATTGGCTTCCAGTCTGGAAATGGTCCATGTCCCCTGCCTGAGGTTTAGGCTGGCTAAAAGAGAGTTCTAATGGAGACTGTGGGCCCCTCTCAACCTAAGTCTAGCCCCACGAATCAGAACAGCTCCCAGGATCCAGTGGGAGACAGCAGAAGCATCTGAGATGCACAGGTGCCACCTGCCCACTGACACTTACTCTTCATCAGATTGTGGGCTCCCGGCTACGGATCCCCCAGGTGACGCCTGCAGACTCAGGTGAGTACGTGTGCCACGTCAGCAATGGTGCCGGCTCCCAGGAGACCTCACTCATAGTCACCATCCAGGGCAGCGGCTCCTCCCATGGTGAGTGTAAAAGAGAACGAGAGGAGGCAGAAGGCTTCCTGGTGCCATTCCTGGTGTCTGACTTGGGCTGTGTCTTCTGTTCCTTTCCGTCCCTAGTGCCCGTTGTCTCCCCACCAATCAAGATTGAGTCCTCATCCCCCACAGTGGTAGAAGGACAGACCTTGGATCTAAACTGTGTGGTTGCCGGGCAGCCACAGGCCACCATCACATGGTACAGGAGAGGAGGCAACCTTCCTGCCCGATACCAGGTACAGAGTAGAACTGGGCAGTGGGGTGGGACCCCTTCCTCCTGGGGTGGGCAGTGTTGGTGACCCCGATGGGCAGCTGGGAACCCTAGGCCTGTCCTCTCCCTGTCCTGTGAAGACAGGGAAGCTGGGAGGAGACCTGAGCCAGTTGTTGATCTATAGCCCCTGGACACCCTCCTTCATCCCTCCAGGCCCATGGCTCCCGCCTGCGTCTGCACCAGCTGTCCGTAGCTGACTCGGGCGAGTACGTGTGCCGAGCCAACAACAACATTGACGCCCTGGAGGCCTCCATTGTGATCTCTGTCTCTCCCAGCACCAGCAATCCCTCTGGTGAGTCCAGCAAGGGCCTCAGGATCACAGCAGGGAGGCCCAGTTACCGGTGCTCCTGGACCAGAAGGCTTTTCAGAATCTTCAGACCCAGCGGTGGTCCAGGCAGGGACTCAGTGGAAAGATAGGTTCAGATTCTGGCCGCACCATTCAAGGATCCAAACAGACGCCTCTCCTCTCATGGATCGCAGGAACGCCAGCCACACATGTGGCAATTCAGAAGGGAGCCTTGGCAGTACCATGGTTAAGTGCTCAGTTAGCTCAGCGGCTAACCAGTAAGCTGCTTGAACTCATCCAGTGTGTCTCCTTGGCAGAAAGAAAGATCTAGCAGTCTGCTCCCATAAAGACCACAGCCTGGACAATTTTGTGGGAGCAGTTCTGCCCTGTTGCATGTGGTCACTGTGAGTTAGAATCAACCTGACAGCATACACAACCACAGTAGCTGATTCGTGTATAGGGCAGTGCTGAGATGCCAAGTGCTTACTGCTGTTATCACTATAGAAAGGGTTCATGTGCTCACCTATTAACCACAGGGTTGGGGGTTCCACCAGGCACCCAGTGACGCCTCAGAAGAAAGGCCTAGTGAGCTACTTTAGAAAAACACACAAACCAACAAACCAGCCTTATGTCAAAGTGTCGTGGCATCAAGACCTTCTGCAGCCGTAGAGGCAGGGCGAACCCAGAAATGATTGTCCTGAGACAGCTTTAAACCTTAAACCAGTAGTATCCCTGAAGTCTCCTTTAAACCAAGTACTAGTTGAGCTAGGATTCTGAAGCTCCATTTCACATACTTTGGACATGTGGCCAGGAGGGACCCAGTCCTTGGAGAAGGACATCATGCTCGGAAGGGTAGAGGGACAGCTCAGAAGAGGAAAACCTTGGATGAGATGGATTGATAATAGTGACTGGGGCAATGAGGGTAGGTGTGTCGGACTCAGTGAGATTGGCTCAGAAGAGGGCCAGGTTCAGAGCTGTTGTACATGGGGTCGCTATGGGTTGCAGACAACTCGATGGCACATAACATTAACAGTTGAGTTTAACTAGTGAAGAGTGTCTGCCTTAATAATTGTTCTCTTTTAAAAACTCTGTGGAATTAAACAGATTACAAAAGATTATATAGGAAACTAATATTGATAATGATTAATATCTAATAATAATAGAGGCAGTGAAGGTATGTTAATAGGAGAGGAATAATACAGAAAAAAGGGGGTTAGAATGGTTTCACGACTTGAAGAGTGTGATCGGTGCACTGAATTGTGTATAAAGAAATGTTGAGTTGGTGCAGGTTCTGCTGTGTATATTCTTAACAGCAACACAGTAAAGAAAATGAATACACAGGAAGGGCTGTGGAGCACAATTCCACTCTGACACACGTGGGATCTACATGACTTAGAATCGATTGGACAGCACTTGGTTTTTGCTTGTTTCTGTTATTATTACCCAGAGGAGAGGGGTTTCAAAGGCCAGGAATCCCACCATCCCAGTTATTCCCAAACCTGACTATGTCCAAAGCCTGCAGCTGCTTCTTCTATGCCATAGGCCCTGGTGGTAACCAACCCATCAGAATTGAGTCGTCATCTTCACAAGTGGCGGAGGGGCAGACGCTAGACCTCAACTGTGTGGTCCCTGGACAGGCCCATGCTCAGGTCACATGGCACAAGCGTGGAGGTAGCCTCCCCGTTAAGCATCAGGTACATGGGGCAAGGGATGATGGGAGAGCCATGGGGGGTTAGGGACTGGCTCGGGGGCAAGGGATGACGGGAGAGCCGTGGGGGTTTAGGGACTGGCTCGGGGGCAAGGGATGACGGGAGAGCCGTGGGGGGTTAGGGACTGGCTCGGGGCCTTTCCCTCCAACTACTGCCTAGGAAGGAAGCTAGGGAGCCCCTGGAGTACAGTGCCCCCCTGAGCCCAAAGTTAGACCCTATACCTAGATCCTCAGATGGGAAGTTTACTCTTGTCTGTCTGCCCATCCTGTCCTGCTCAGATTCATGGCTCGTGGCTGCGCCTATACCAAGTGTCCCCAGCTGACTCTGGCGAGTACATGTGCCGCGTGGTGGGCAGCTCTGGCCCTCTGGAGGCTTCAGTCCTGGTCACCATTGAGGCTTCCAACTCCGGTGCTGGTGGTGTTCCTGGTGAGAGTCCCTGCAGGGGGCGGCAGGGAAAGAGCGAGGTTCAGTAGAAAGAAATGCTTCTTGAATCATGGCTCTTCTTGGTGGGTCAGCTGGAGAGACCTCAGGAGCCAGGATAAGACTCTGACCCGGAGGCAATGCTCCTCATCTCTGTGAGCTCGGACTTTGTTGTGTGGCCCATATGGGCTTGAGTCCAGCTGTTCTGCTTGGGGGTACCTGGCTTGGCAGTCAGTATCATTGGAGATGGAGAGGAGATGGTGGGCTGTTGCCTAATGTGGAGACTCCACCCTCTAGATGAGCTCAGCTACTCCAAGACTCGGTGGAGGGACAGAAAAGTGGAAGAGAATTGGAACTTCTCCTTAGCAGACTTGGTCTGAACCTCTGGGCACCTGGGGAGGGCCTGAGGGCACAGGGTGGAAATCTCAATCCTCTGACCCCCTCTCCCTGTCCCTTAGCCCCTGGAGGAGCTCTGCCCATCCGGATTGAAACCTCATCTTCTCGAGTGGCTGAAGGCCAGACACTGGATCTGAACTGCGTGGTCCCTGGCCAGCCCCATGCCCAGGTCACGTGGCACAAGCGCGGGGGCAGCCTGCCCACCCGGCACCAGGTACAGGGCTGGAGAAGGCAGGTTGTGGGTCTCTATCTGGGCAGTCAGCCTGGATGCAGGCAGATAGGAAGATGGGCCCAGTGACTGAGGCTTGGGAAGAACTGGAGCAGGAGTCAGAAGGTCAGGATCGGGCTGGGCACAGCAGGGCCACTAATGGTCCCTCAGCACCCTCGTGCAAACCAGCAAAAAGCACCGCTTCCTCAGGGCGCTCCACTTCCTCCTCCCAGAAACAACCACTGTAATAGAATTACATTGTGCTTGTCTGTGGTGTTGGAGGGAGCCTGCTGGAAAGGATGGAACCTCCCTAACTGAGCATGGTAGTACTGGGACACGGGTATCAGAGGGCTTGGCCATTTGAAGGCCTTGTCTGACCTCCCAGCTCTCCCCTGTCCACTCTCACCCCCACCCTTGTCAGGTCCATGGAACCTTATTGAGGCTCAACCAAGTGTCCCCCGTGGATTCCGGCGAGTACTCGTGCAAAGTGACTGGCAGCTCAGGCACCCTGGAGGCCTCTGTTCTGGTCACAATTGAGGCTTCCAGCCCAGGCCCCATTCCAGGTGAGTGACAGGAAGCAGTGGGCAAGCCTGGGACGCAGGCCTGGAGCCCTTCCTGGTCTTGTTCCTCAACATCCAAGCAGGATTTGCTTTTCCTCCATCCTGTCCTATGGCCCCTACTGTGTCCCCTAATCAGGAGAGCTTCAGCATAGCATCCTGGTCCCCGAGGAAGAGAATACCTTTTAGGTTCAAGGAGCCCTGGCTGTGTCAAACCCTCAAATCCCGGAGAACCACAGTGGCAGTCAGTGCCACCCCTTGTCTCTGACACCCACCCCCAGGAGCTTTGCCTCTCTCATCTACCCCTGTATTCACAGCCCCCGGACTGGCTCAGCCTATCTACATTGAAGCTGCCTCCTCACATGTGGCCGAGGGTCAGGCGCTGGACCTGAACTGCGTGGTGCCCGGGCAGGCTCATGCCCAGGTCATGTGGCACAAGCGTGGGGGCAGCCTGCCCTCCCAGCATCAGGTATAGGGAACGGGATAGGGCAGGTTTCGGGGCAGGCAAGGTGTGGCCTGCAGCTGCCTTCTGTATGCCAAACCTCAGGCTATCCCCAGCCTATTTGGAGAGTGTAGGGAATACAGTGCTTTGTGTAGACTCCATCTCCTTGAGTTGAGAGACCTGGATGTTGCCCCTACTTCTGCTTCTAGATCACTTACTGGCTTTTCATTTCCTCCTCTGTAAAATGAGTGGGTTGGATTTCTAGGGAAGCTATGAATGAAGCTTCTTCATTCACCATCGTTGGAGCCCTGAGCTCCTGAGTCCACGGCAGGACTTGAATACTAGCAAAGTCGGGTTTGGGGTGTGTCTCAATGTGTGGCCTTATGGCTGGCCTATCCTGCATTGACAGACCCATGGCTCCCAGCTGCGGCTCCACCAAGTCTCTCCTGCCGATTCTGGCGAGTACGTGTGCCAAGTGGTTGGTGGCTCGGGCCCTGAGCATGAGGCTTCCTTCACGGTCACAGTCGTACCCAGCCCTGGATCCTCCTACCGTGAGTGTGGGGCCTGCATGGTGGGGCTGGGAGGAGAGGACCCTGGAGCCCAGACAGGGCTCCCACTGGTCAGGCCACCCCACCCTTGCTGAGCCCAGCCCTCTGACCCCCTGTCCCCAGGCCTCCGGAGTCCTGTCATTTCCATTGACCCACCCAGCAGCACTGTGCAGCCAGGCCAGGATGCCAGCTTCAAGTGCCTCATCCATGATGGGGCATCCCCCATCAGCCTGGAGTGGAAGACCCGGAACCAAGAGCTGGAGGGTGAGCTGGTTGAGAATGGGGAAGGATGGGAGGCTAGAGTGAGGGTATGACATGAGCAGAGCCAGAAGCCTGGGTAGCAAGGGTTAGGGTAGAGGTACTCCAGCTGGGAGTGCCTTATAAGGAGGAGCTGCAGCCAGGGCTGACCACGTCCTCCTCAACCAACTCCACAGACAATGTCCACGTCAGTCCCAATGGTTCCATCATCACCATTGTGGGCGCCCGGCCCAGCAACCACGGTGCCTACCGCTGTGTGGCCTCCAACGCGTACGGAGTGGCTCAGAGTGTCGTGACCCTCAATGTACACGGTGAGGAGGGTCATCCATACAGGAGTCTAGCCCAGATTCCAAGCTCAGAACCCCAGGTTTCAATCTGCACTGTCACTGACTCTCACCTGTGACTTTAGATATGCTCATTCCGTGAGCCTCAGTTTCCACGTCGGTTCAGTGGGAAGACTGCTGCCAACCTGGGAGTTCCTGTGATGGGGTCTGTAGTGGTGTGTTTGACCAAGGGAGCCCTGTCTGTGTCTCAGTGGTTGTTGTTCCTCCAAACAGGGCCCCCATCTGTGTCTGTGCGCCCTGAGGGCCCTATTAGGGTGAAAGCCGGAAAGTCTGTCACCCTGGAGTGTCTCACCTCGGGGGAACCCCGCTCCTCGGCTCGTTGGACCCGCCTTGACACCCCCAATAAGTTGGAACAGCGGATATATGGGCTCGTGGACAACCACATGATGCTGCAGGTGAGGCACAGCTTCCTTGCTGAGCAGAGAGAGGCCAGGACTCTTCTGGTCTGGGTTTAAGGCCTACTCCAGGGCCCAGCCTGGGGCGAAAGTGTAAAAGAAGCTTAGATGGGCAGGCAGGTAATGACCAGATGGAAGGAGAAAGGAAAAGAAGCCGTAGATGGATAAGTAGATAGATTGAATTGCAAGATGAAGAGAAAATAGAAGGTAAATGGAAGATGGGAAATAAGAGAATTGTCAGAAGAGTGGATAGATGGGTGGATGAGTAAACGGATAGGTGAATGGATAGTTGAGTTGATGAGTAGATGAACAGGTGGATGCATCAATGGGTAAGTGAATGGTTGAATGAGTAGATAAATGAAGGACAGATGAGTGGAGGGGCAAGTAGCTCAATAGCTGACATTAAGGCTATCAGAACAAGCAAGACGAGCCCCAGTGCCCAGTCAGATGGGACACCAAAAGTGAAGAGTCAAAAGAAGAGAGTAAAACCCAGTGAGAGCTGGAGACTGATGCCCTCAGCACCCACGTAGCCAACCCCCTCGCTTTCTTCCAGATTTCATCAGCCAAGCCATCCGATGCAGGCACCTACGTGTGCCTAGCACAGAATGCACTAGGCATGGCCCAGAAGAGGGTGGAGGTGATCGTGGACATGGGCATCGCAGCCCCAGGAGCCCCCCAGGTGCAGGTGGAAGAAGTCGAGCTGACTGTGGAGGCAGGACACACAGCCACGCTGCGTTGCTCAGCCACAGGTGTGGATGTGGCAGGCAGAGCTGTGGTGCCGGGGACATAAGATTGGCAGATGTTGCTGTCTCTTAGTAGTGCCCACGCAGAGCCCTCTATGAAGGGACAGGATTCCTTGGGACCACTTCCCTATCCTCATTCACCATCCAGTCCCTAGGCAGCTGGGTGACCTCTGCCATCTTCTGCTCACAGGAAACCCTACGCCCACTATCCACTGGTCCAAGCTGCGCTCCCCATTGCCTTGGCAGCACCGGCTGGAAGGCAGCACACTGATCATCCCCCGCGTAGCCCAGCAGGACTCGGGCCAGTACATCTGTAATGCCACCAACTCTGTCGGGCATGAGGAGGCCACCATTGCCTTGCACGTGGAGAGTAAGGAGCTTATGCCCTGAGCTTCCCTCCTCACTTTGCATAGAGGTCTTAGAACCCTATCCAGAGGGCCCCCCGCACCTCATGCCGCATGCCTGCCCTCATCAGAAACTTGTAGTAATTCAAAACCTTTGCTTTCCTCATCATCAGCTCTCTAGGCTCCCTTGTTCTTTGCCAGCTCACCTGGATCCAGTTATCTGCTCCCTCCCTGACCTCTGCACTTGCTGTGCCCTCATTTCTTTGTTTGCTTTGCATCAGGTCCCCCATACGCCACCACAGTCCCAGAGCATGCATCAGTGCGGGCAGGGGAGACAGTACAGCTGCAATGCCTGGCCCACGGGACACCACCCCTCACCTTCCAGTGGAGCCGTGTGGATGGCAGCCTCCCGGCTCGGGCAACAGCCAGGAAGGAGCTGCTGCGCTTTGAGCCTGCCACTCCTGAGGACTCCGGCCGCTACCGCTGCCAGGTCACGAACCGGGTGGGCTCAGCAGAGGCCTTTGCTCAGCTCACCGTCCAAGGTGAGCACCCCACAGGTGTCAGACGTGGTCACCGTCCCTGCGGGCTCTGAGCTCTTATTCAGGCACAGGCGCCGTGGGACCCACACTTCAGTGAGAAGACCTCCCTCTGTTGTGTTATTGTTGTCAGGTGCCATCCAATCATTTTTAGCAAACAGTGGCTGCCAGGCCGAGGTTTCTTGAAGCAGAAAAGCCTGTGGCTCACAGGTTAAAAGCCTGGACTCTCGAATTCAAAGCCCAGCTTAGTCATTTTTCTCTGTCTAATCCAAGCTGTTGTGTATCATAGAGCTGGAACTGACCCATAGCAGACCCCTCAAAGGGTTTTTAGTTAATCACTTGGGAGGAGATTGTCCATCCTCCCACAGAGCTGCTGGTAGCCTTGAACCACATGCTTTTGGTATTGCAGTTCAGCTTCTTGCCACTAGGCCATCAGAGCTGGAGAGGGTTAAACCAGGCTACTCCTTGGAGGCAAAGATTCTGGGGCTTCGTCTGACATACTTTGGGCATGTTGCAAGGAGGGACAGGTCCTTGGAGAGGGACATCATGCTTGGTAGGGTAGAGGGACAGTGCAGGAGGGGAAGACCCTCTATGAGGTGGATTGATTCAGTGACTGGGGTAATCGGGATGGGTGTGTCAGAGGCAATGTGATTGGCACAGGATAGAGCAGGGTTTAGGGCTGTTGTACATAGGGTCACTGTGAGTCGCAAACGACTCGACGGCACATAACAACAACAGCAGCAGCAATCCTAGCTGAGTCATTTAATCTTTGGGCCTGTTTCCTCATCTATAAAGTAGAGAGAATAGTGTTTACAAAGTGAGAAAACTAGCACATATTATTGTCCTGGACAGTTGAATCAGAACTGACCCACAGCTTATACTCCAGCCGATTTTCAGAGGCAGTTTAATTACACAGAAGGAGATTGCCCATCCTACTCCCATACAGTGAGTTCAAACCACATGCCTTTGGGATTGCAGTGCAGCTCCTTACTACTAGACTACCAGAGCTCCCTTCAGCACATAGTAGACAGTTACTGGGATTAGTACATTTGCACCTACCTTCTCTACCGCTGCCCATGTCAGCATTACTGCTATGGCCAAGTCTCTGAGCTGGAATAATCTTTGTTATCTTTCCTTAAAATGTCTGAGGCTTTCCAGGTCTGACCCCTTCGCACCTTCTTAGGCTGCCCTCCCCTCTCAAAGGCCAGAGGGCTTATGGAAGCACCAAGCACATAGCACAGTCCTTCACAGACTCTCAGAGATGTTTATTGACTGACTGCCAAGTGAGCAGAGGAATGAATCTACCGGTAAAAGCCCTCTTATTCTGGTCAGAGAAGCTACCAGAAGAACAAGGGGGCTTGCTGAGGGGCATCCAGAACAAGATGTACGCACACACATGGAGCTGTGTCTCTGTCCTGCAGGGTCTCTGCCTGTCAACTATCCTCCCGTCACCAACGCCCCAGCCGGCGCCTCGCCCACCGTACAGGTGACGCCTCAGCAAGAGACCAAGAGCATCGGGGCCAGTGTGGAGTTCCACTGTGCAGTGCCCAGCGACCGCGGCACCCAGCTCCGATGGTTCAAGGAAGGGGGTCAGCTGCCTCCAGGCCACAGCGTGCAGGATGGGGTGCTGCGGTACGTGGGGACAGGGGCAGGACTGGGCTTGAGCACCCCAACCAAAGCACATAGCAATCCAACTTATAAAACCTAACCTGTGAGACTTGGCATGAAGCAGCATCCTTGGGCAAGGCTCTTCTCCCTCAGCCTCAGTTTTCTCAACTGTACAGTGGGTTCTAGGAGGAAGGCGTGAAATGATCTAAAAAGCACTTTGCACAGTAGACAGTGACCGATATTTGTGCTATTATTAAAGGAAAGAAACAGGCTTTGAGCTCAGAAATATACGATGACCTCCAGTGTCAGCCGTGTCACTTGATGCCTGTGATCTTGAGCTCCAGATCCTAAGGGTTTTGTCTGTAAAGATGGTGTAGGAACGCCCACCCTGCCTGTAGTAAAACCTGGCAAAGCCAGAATCTGTCTATGATGGAAACCTGTCAGAAAAGGAAAATTCAGATACTTTCCACGAAAATGAATGATAACAAAAAGGGGAGCTAAGACTGCACCCTGTCAAAGGAAGAAAACTTGTGAGACCTGAAAAAGCAAGGTAGTGCCATCACATCCCACCTTTCCCAGCTCTCACTACTGTCTTCCCTAACTGTGGTTACTGGGAGACAGTGCACGGTGTTCTGATCTGTAGCAGCTTGGAACGCTCGTTCAAGTGTAAAGCTGTGTCAGTTATTTTCACTTATTGATGCCTTCTTTACAGAATCCAGAACTTGGACCAGAGCTGCCAAGGGATATACATATGTCAGGCCCATGGACCGTGGGGACAGGCCCAAGCCAGTGCCCAGCTGGTTGTCCAAGGTAGGAGGATGGTTTAGGGATCGCTTGAGAGAGCAGGGGACAGAGATGAGAACGGAAAGGAGTAGAGGGCTTGGGTGATGTTCCCCAGGCAGCCCTTAGATGCATGAGAATAAAGAGAAGTATTGGGACGCACCATCCGCATGTCTAGCATAGAGTAAGAGAACTTGATAAACTTAGCACAGGGAAGGCAGAAGAGCAATGAGTGGGATGAGCAGTGGGGCATCAGGGGAGCTGATGAACACATGAGTCAGTGGACGCATGCACAAATAAGTGCAAGGGCGAATGAGTGAGTGTGGTAATGAGTGAAGGTGTGAAAAAGTGAATGAAGAAATGAATGCCTTGGGCTCTAGTGACCCTTTCCAGGCAGCCTGCAGACTCTGTGGGGCCGGGCCTGAGGCAGGCTGACCTCACCCATCCATCCATCTCCCCCTGCCCTAGCCCTGCCCTCCGTGCTCATCAACATCCGGACCTCTGTGCAGACCGTGGTGGTCGGCCATGCTGTGGAATTCGAGTGCCTGGCGCTCGGTGACCCTAAGCCCCAGGTGACCTGGAGCAAAGTTGGTGGGCGCCTGCGGCCTGGCATTGTGCAGAGTGGAGGCATCGTCAGGATTGCCCACGTGGAGCTGGCAGATGCAGGACAGTACCGCTGCACCGCCACCAATGCTGCTGGCACCACCCAGTCCCACGTGCTGCTGCTCGTACAAGGTAAAGGCCAGCGGGGACCTGGGTGGGGCTTGGGGGTGGGCAGGAGATCAAAGGGAGTGATCACAGGCGCTGGCTGGAGTTTACAGAGCAAGAGCTCCGCCTTCGGCCAACACTGAGCCCAGCGTGGGACATCTAGAGGATAGAGGATACCACGGCCTCACCCGGGGACTGGGTAGCTCGAGTGATTTTTGATTAACTGCTAACCTAAAGGTTGACTGTTCAGACCTATTCAGTGGTTCAGTGGAAGAAAGGCCTGGCAATCTGAACACTGAAGAAAACTCTGTAGAGCCATTTGCCTTAAACCACATGAGGTCACTCTGACTCGGAATCAACAACAACAGAGTTTTTTGTTTTGTTTTGGTCTTTTAAATAATTTTTTTCATTGTTGAAACAGTAGGGTTTTCTAGTCTTCAAGTACAAGCACCTGCCCTAATATGGGTGACCTGCATGCAGCCCAGCCCAGTCTGATGACAGAAATATAACTTAAACATGAATAGACATAAAACAGACTGTAAAAAAGGATAGAGGACCAAAAAACCAAAATCAGTGTTTTTTTTTCAAAAGCAATTCCTTTTTACCTCAGGCTCTGTTATTTGCTCCAAACCAACTCAGTGCCGTTGAATCCCTTCACAGGTCCCCAAAAGGCTATGTTCTGCCCAAATTGGGGCCCTCCTGGAACCCCCCTCCCATTATTAGCTCCTCACCTGACTCTGAGAAATAAGAACAGTGTTGAGGTCCAATGATGATTGATTTTATAAAACGTAATGAATGGGAAAGATTGCATGATAGACAATATGAATGAAAAATAGTGTGCAACACAACATATATGAACTTTGTAAGCAAACCAATATTAAATAAAATAAAAAATTTAAAAAAAAAGAGTGCTGAGGTCTCAGGCTCTGTGGCCACATGGACCTGTCCCCAAACTCCACATCCAGGAATGAACATCCACTTTGCCCCCTAAAGCCACAGTTTGCTCATCTGTAAGATGGGGATGCAGCACCTCCCTCTACAAGATGAGCAAGATTAAGCAGATTAAGGGACAGTGCTAAACAAACAGCAGCCCTTTTCATGCTGACCAGTGTGTCTCCTCTGCACCAGCCTTGCCCCAGATCTCCACGCCCACAGAGGTCCGTGTGCCTGCTGGATCCGCAGCCGTCTTCCCGTGTATGGCCTCTGGCTACCCCACTCCTGACATCACCTGGTCCAAGGTAAATGCTGAGCAGAGGATCAGTGGGCATTTCAGAGGGGTGGGGAACAGTTTATAGCCATCTCTGTGCCCCTAGGACCTGGCACAAGGCTTAACACAGACTAAATATTTGCTGAATGGAGCCCTGAAAGTGACCCTGAACCAGGGATAGAGACTGACCCTTGGGAGGTGAGGGCCGAGGCCACGTTCAAGTGCTCTGTGTTTGCAGCTGGATGGCAGCCTGCCACCCGACAGCCGGCTGGAGAACAACATGCTGATGCTGCCCTCGGTCCGACCCCAGGATGCAGGCACCTACGTCTGCACTGCCACCAACCGCCAGGGCAAGGTCAAAGCCTTTGCCCACCTGCAGGTGCCAGGTAAGGCCCACCCCGGACGTGGGCAGCGTCCTCTCTCCCAGGTGGGCATCTCCTCTAACTAACCCCTCTGCTGGCAGAGCGGGTGGTGCCCTACTTCACACAGACCCCTCACTCCTTCCTGCCGCTGCCAACCATCAAGGACGCCTACAGGAAGTTTGAGATCAAGATCACCTTCCGGCCTGACTCAGCCGACGGTAAGCAGGATAGGAGCTGATTTGGGGGCTAACCTGGGGAAGGGATTTCATGGGGTAACCAGCTTTAGTAGTCCTAAGTCCTGTCCACTTGCCCAGCAGCACCTTGGGCCTGCTGGGCCTCCCTCTCTTCACACCTTTTCTGTCCTCTGTCCCTGCACCACTGTCTTGAACCTCCATGAATCTCCCTCTGCCATTGAGACATCCATATCCAGCCTCTTGTCCCCTTCTACTGCCACCTCTGCTCCCTCCTCCTCTGTTTCTCTCTGACTTTTTACCCTCTCCTCCCCTCTCTCTCATCCACCTCCTCTCATCTCTCGGGTCTCTGCCTGCCACTGTCCAGGCCTCCTTCTCTACTCGGGTGAGTCTCTGCCTCTTTCTCCTCCTTCAGGTAGACTGTGTGAATGAAGCACATTCCGCTTTTCTCTGGGGGCTCCCAGCAAGGCCCTGGCTGTGTGTGCTTTGCCGAAGTGGGGGCAGGAGGTTAGAATGGGAAGATGCAGAGAACAGCCAGGGTCCTGTCCAGGGGCCGGGACGTAGGGAACCTCACTGCAGGATGGGTGGTCCTGACCCACTTGTGCCTGCCCAGGGATGCTGCTGTACAACGGGCAGAAGCGGACCTCAGGGGGCCCCACCAACTTGGCCCACCGGCAGCCTGACTTCATCTCCTTTGGCCTCGTGGGCGGAAGGCCCGAGTTCCGGTGAGACCCTCGTCCTCTCATTCACAGGAAGGAAGAGCTGTGAGAAGGATAGAAAGGCTAGAAGTCAGGCATCCACTACCCAGGGCTGAGGGGTACAAAGGCAGTCGCAGAACAAAGGGGAGATGAGGTCTGTGCCCTTGGTGATTGTGATCATGTGATCTGCTGGAGTAGACGCAGTATGCCAGTCAGATGGACGAAGCAGCCTTAGACGTGTATGAAATGGGCAGAAGCACTCCGGGGCTGAGGGGCTGCTTGTAAGTGTGGCTGCCGCACGCCCAGCGTCACTCATTCATTCTATAGCCATTTCCTCACCACTTCCTCTGTGCTGGGCACTGATGCCGAGAGCAGCAGAACAGAGAGAGAGCCCTGGCACTTGTAGGAAATTGTGTTCTAGTCAGCAAAACTAACTGTAAACAAAGACATTTCTGAGAAAGGAACTGTGAAGCCAAGTGATGGCTGGGATGCTCGAGCCAAGGGGTTGGAGCCCTGGGGGCTTACCTGGAAGAGCTCCCCAGAAAAAGAAGTGGGACTCAAATTCCTTGCCGTGGGGGGGGGTGGTTGTGGGGACATTAGCGATGGAGTGAACAGAATGAGAAGACATGGCAGGGGTGAGGACTGGAGAAGTCCTGGAGCCAATACTGCGAGAACTTGTGGCATTTTTCCTCTGAGGTGCCTTTGGTTAGAGTTCATCCCCAACCCTTCTTACAAACTCCCTCTCCACCTTCTGCCTGGACCCCACCCTATGGAGCAGGTTTGATGCAGGCTCTGGCATGGCCACCATCCGCCACCCCACGCCACTACCGCTGGGCCAGTTCCACACCGTCACCTTGCTACGCAGCCTCACCCAGGGCTCCCTGGTTGTGGGTAACCTCGCTCCGGTTAATGGGACCTCCCAGGTAAGACCCAGTCCCTGCTTGTATTCCCAGCCCCCAATCCCACCCAGCCACAGCCTGCTGTTACCCGCTCTCTCTTCCCCCAGGGCAAGTTCCAGGGCCTGGACCTGAATGAGGAGCTCTACCTGGGTGGCTATCCTGACTATGGCGCCATCCACAAGGCTGGGCTGAGCAGTGGCTTCGTGGGTGAGCCCCTCCCCACTCCCAGCCGATCTATGTTTCACCAGGCTGCTGGCAGAGCCCATGGCAGCCCGAGGGGACACTGGAGGTGTACGCTGGGGCATGGCAGGCTTCCCAGGACCTGTCTTTGATCATCCTGCCTGCCCTCCCCCAGGCTGTGTCCGGGAACTGCGCATCCAGGGCGAAGAGATCATCTTCCACGACCTCAACCTCACGGCACACGGCATCTCCCACTGCCCCACCTGCCAGGACCGGCCCTGCCAGGTGACCCCACACACGCTACCTAACCTCCTATCCCCTGGCCTCACCTGTCACTGTCCCTGTTGGCATTGTGGGAGGGCTGGGGCTTTCTTGGCCTGACCTCTAGGGACCACTTTGCAGAATGGAGGCCGGTGCCAGGACTCGGAGAGCAGCAGCTATGTGTGCCTCTGCCCGGCGGGCTTCACCGGGAGCCGCTGTGAGCACTCGCAGGCCCTGCACTGCCACCCAGGTATGCACCCACCCTGCCCATTCCTGGCACCTCGGGGACCTAACTCTGCCCAGTTGCTGCCTCATCCACTGCTCCCCAGGAATGTTCCCTACTCTCTCACTCTTACCCCAGTACCACCCTACCCCTCCCATGTGCATACTCCACTTCAACTCTGCCGTTGTCACCAAATACCGCTCCTACTGCTGCCACTCTGGTACTCTACTCCCAATCTCTGCTCCATGGGCACCTCCCACCTCCCCATCTTATTGTCCAATTCCCCCTCCCCCTCCCCCTTCCCAATTACCTGCTGCCTGGGTAATTATTATCCTTAAAGAATTATCCAGAAGGTCTCATTCACACAGCCGACTCACACAGCCCACCACCACCACCCTCCCCAATGCTCCTGTTAGCCCTGCCTAGCCGCATTGGGCCCCACCCCTGCTGTAATCTGTTTCTCTCTCTTTGCTCTCAGAATCTCTGAGTGGTACAAATGTTTAAGCTAAAAAGTCTGTCGTTCAAACCCACCCAGAGTCACTTCAGAAGAGAAGGACCTAGGGATCTGCTTCCAGAAGGGCAAAGCCTTGAAAGCCCAGTGGAATCCTGTCCTACTCTCTGCACACAAGAGTCGTGACTCAGCAGTGACTCCACCTTCTTGCCCAGCTCCTGACATCGCCCTCCCAGCTGGCATGGTTTTAGTTTAGCACAGGCCCCCAGAGTGGGGTACGCAGGCCCCCTTCTAGGAGGACCCTACCCTCACTAGAGCCACCTCAATGTTCTCATTGGTCTTTGCTCTCCCCAGAGGCCTGTGGGCCTGACGCCACCTGTGTGAACCGGCCGGATGGTCGAGGTTACACCTGCCGCTGCCACCTGGGCCGCTCAGGGACGAAGTGTGAGGAAGGTGAGTGGAGCCAGGACTGAGACTCCCCCAAAGCCTCCAGGAAGGCGGGGAAATGAGGAAGGGATGCCCTAAGACCTCTCAGGTCATGTTGTTATGTGCCAGCAAGTCCATTGCAACTGATAGTGAAAAAGAAGACAAAGTAGAGCTTCCTCGAAAGGCTTCCTGGGCTGGTATCCTTTACAAGAATGGATCACCAGGTCTTTTCTTCTGCAGAACAGCGGGTGGGGTCTCACCACTGGCCTTTCAGTTAGCAGCCAAGCACTTAACCCCTGTGCCACCAGGGTCCCTGTGATGGACCGTGCAGGTGATAAGCTATTTCTAGAATTTGAGAGTCCCAAAGTCACCTTGCAAAGTTCTGCCCGGCCTGAGCTTGTTAACTCTGATCTTCCCGGGTTAGTCTGCCGTGCTAGGTGCAGGGGCTCCAGCACTGTTGGTCTTGAGGTTCTGATACTGTTGTGGGGGTAGGTGGGGGCCCATGAATATTTCTGACACCCCCATTGCCCCTGGCTGAGTTGTGAATGCTGCAGGTGTGACAGTAACCACCCCCTCCATGTTGGGCACCGACTCCTACCTGGCATTGCCTGCTCTCACCAACACACACCATGAGCTGCGTCTGGATGTTGAGTTCAAACCGCTGACACCAGACGGAATCTTGCTGTTCAGCGGAGGGAAGAGTGGGCCTGTGGAGGACTTTGTATCCCTGGCGATGGTCGGTGGGCATCTGGAGTTCCGCTACGAGTTGGGCTCAGGTAAGCACTGGGCAGCAAATGGAGATGGGCTTGTGGATGTCAAGCCCTGTGTGTCCACCTTTGTTCCTCACAAATAAAGGAGGCTCAGAGGAATAAGCTAAAGAGGCAAACCATTTCTTCTCCACGTGTGATGTGACTTGAGGCTTGTCCTCTCTGAGCCTCATTTGGAAGCCAGGGGGCCTATGGGACTCTCCCTGTCTGTTACGTCCCTGTGGGTGCTGGGGTGGGGTGGGTTCACCTGTGCGTCCAGCTCTATCTGGTATCCTCCCCAGGCCTGGCTGTTCTGCGCAGTGCTGAGCCCCTGGCCCTGGGCCGCTGGCACCGCGTGTCTGCAGAGCGTCTCAACAAAGACGGCAGCCTGCGGGTGAATGGTGGACGCCCTGTGTTACGTTCCTCGCCGGGCAAGAGCCAGGGTCTCAACCTGCATACCCTCCTCTACCTGGGTGGTGTGGAGCCGTCCGTGCCGCTGCCCCCTGCCATCAACATCAGCACTCATTTCCGTGGCTGTGTGGGCGAGGTGAGCACCCGCCTCGAGAGGACAAATTGAGGAAGAAAGGGCATGCAACTGGGCCCCTTCTCCTGTAGCCCTAAAGCCCTGGGGTCACATCTTTCACCAGTCTGAGCCTTGATGTTCTCATCTGTAAAATGGCCATAATTACATTTAGTGTGTTCTAAGGACTGATCATATTGATGATGATCTTTGTATACACAGTAGGCACCCATTTTTTTTGCCTGCCTAGCCATCCTTAGAGATTCCAAGAGCCAACTTGGGCTCCCAGCTACCCTTTGCTATAGTCTGCTGATGCACCCCTGGCCTCTGTCTCCACAGGTGTCAGTGAATGGAAAGCGGCTAGACCTCACCTACAGCTTCCTGGGCAGCCGGGGTATCGGGCAGTGCTACGACAGCTCCCCATGTGAGGGCCAGCCATGCCAGAATGGTGCCACATGCATGCCCACTGGCGAGTATGAATTCCAGTGCCTGTGTCAGGATGGCTTCAAAGGTGGGTGAGCCCGCTCACAGCTTCACGAAAGAGGGGAGGGCGCAGTCAGCAGCAGCTCCTGGCCACGCTCACCCCGCCACTGCCCTGTGCCACAGGAGACCTCTGTGAGCATGAGGAGAACCCCTGCCAGCTCCATGAGCCCTGTCTGCATGGGGGCACCTGCCAGGGCACCCACTGCCTCTGCGCCCCTGGCTTTTCTGGGCCACGCTGTCAACAAGGTAAATCAGTTCTCACTTCTCTCTGCCTCCATGCTGGGCCCTGGAGCCACACAGAGTGCCCGCTGGCGTCTGTGCCCACCAGCTAGACTCTGCTCTTCCCCCACAGGTCCAGGACATAGCCCAGCAGAATCTGACTGGCATCTTGAAGGCAGTGGGGGCAATGGTATGTACTTGCTATAGACAGCCAGAGAAGCTGTGTAAACAACACTCACTGGGTACACATGAAGCCTAACAGCCAGCTTGTGATCCTGGCCTTCCACTGACTAGGAAAAATCCCTTCATTTCTCTGAGCTTGTGTCCCCATCCATCATATGCAAGCTTCACAGCCTGCCTCACCTTTTGTGTGCCACGGGCCTAGGCAACCAAACAAGGAGTCACTGCAGATGTGGACTCGAATACTAAACCAGGACAGAGCCTGGCAGAAAGGGTTGTTGGTCACCTCATCAGCTGCACAAAATCAAATACACGGGATTTCCAAGGAAACCAGTTAAACCTAAGTAAGATTGTCAAAGGGAGCTCGCGTGGCCTAGTGGGTAGGGAGTTGGTAACTGCCAATTGAAAGGTGGGTAGTTCAAATCCACCGGCTGCCCCATGCAAGGAAGATGAGCTTGCAGTTGAAAACCCACTGGAGGGTCAGCTGTGAATTGATTCTGAGTTAGCAGTAATGAATGAAGTTGAATGTTTAAAAGATACTTTTAAAAATTGCTTATTTATGATATATGACTTCTTTATCGGCACATTAAAGAATAAGGTCCAGTAATGCAATGTGGCCTAATGGTAAGACACTGTACTGTGATCCTAAAGGCACATGGTTTGAATCCACCAGCAGTTCAACAGGAGAAGGGTGGGCAGTCTCCTTTCATGCAGTTTACTGAAAACCCACTGGAGGGTGAGCTGTGGGCCAGTTCTGACTCAAAGACACACAACTAGTGATGATCAACAGTGATCTGAGGGGTCTACATCCAGCACCTTCTGTGTGATAAGTAAATGTGTGTGGCTTCTATTAGTGACAGTCTCAGGTCGGGCTACTGTGACTGGTTGCTAACTTTTAATGGAAGTATAGATGTCATTTCCCCCCCAATACAAGTTCACAAGCTAGAAAGCCACACCCACTGCCTTCAAGTTCATTCCGACTCAGCAACCCCTGGGACCAAGTGGACTTACCCCCTACAGCTTCCATGCGCCCTTTACAGACATTCCCATGGAGTGGCTGGTGGGTTTGAACCACTGACCTTTTGGGTAGTTATCCACTGTGCTATAGGGCTCCTGTGTCCAAGTTCACAGACTTTTCTGAACTCTGTCCCTGATTCCTTGACATCTGGTGAGCCGAGGGTTGCTGGGCACTCTAGTAGAGGTCTCACCAATCCCCTTCCCACAGATGCCCCTGGGCAGTATGGCGCCTACTTCCATGATGGTGGCTACCTTGCCCTCCCTGGCCGCATCTTCTCTAGAGGGTGAGCTGGGCATTGGGAGAACCAGGGGGCCCAGCAGGACAGAACCCAGGGAGGTGGGAAGGGCTTCTGGAGTGTTGGCCTCTTTGCCCCTCACCTGCTGCACCCCTTGCAGCCTGCCTGAGGCACCTGAGACCATCGAGCTGGAAGTGCGGACCAGCACTGCCAATGGCCTCCTGCTTTGGCAGGGTGTGGTGAGTGACCATTGCGGCTGGAGTCTTGGGGATCCTGGGGGGAAGGAGGTCGGCCCCTTGGTGGCCTGGGCAGTGGAGAAGGAGGAGGGTGAGGCCACAGCTATGGAGGCCCCAGCTGTCCAGACTGGGGACCCAGGAGACCCTGTGCTTCCCTGGCAGATGGGTGGGAAGGCCGGCCAAGGCAAGGACTTCATCAGTCTCGGGCTGCAGGATGGACAGCTTGTCTTTAGGTGAGTGGTCCTGGCACCCTAGCCCATCATCTCTCCCACTCTCCTCCAGTGGCCTTCTTTCTCACCAGCCCCACGGTTCCTCCCGTGGAAACCTGCAGCTCTACAGCCGCACACACACAGCACACACAAGAGTCAGTCAGTCCTGCCTCACATCACTTTAGACTTGGTGACTTAGAACTCCAAGGTCCCTATATTCACACACACATATGTGTGCACACATGCGTGTGCGCGCACACACACACGTCCTGCCCCAATTCACACCTTTTTGTCCTCCTGTGACCTGCAGCTACCAGCTGGGCAGTGGGGAGGCCCGCCTGGTCTCTGAGGACCCCATCAATGATGGCGAGTGGCATCGTGTAACAGCACTGAGGTAAAGGCACCTGCTGGGCACTAGGGAAAGGGTCTCAGGGTTCAGGAGTGGGCTGGGCTGCCCCTCCTTGGCAAGAAGATAGGCACTGGAAGGGCAGAAGTGGAAGCTGAGGCAGGAGGAAAACATGCCAGTCCAAGCGCAGACTTCAAAGACAGGAGAGAAGTCCAGGGGAAGGGGGCAGGTGGACGCTGTACAGCGGGGACGTGGTAGGACACTGTCTGTGGGACCACATGTCTCCCTCAGTGGGCAGAGGAAAGAACTCAAGGCAAGGGCGGACCTCAGCCTGAAGCTTCTGTGGCAAAGGGTGGGACTCCACAGAGGGTGGGGAGTGTGCGGTGAGGAACCTGACCCTCTTCCTCTGCAGAGAGGGCCAGAACGGCTCCATCCAGGTCGACGGCGAGGAGCTGGTTAGGGGCCAGTCCCCAGGCCCTAACATAGCAGTCAATACCAAGAGCACGATCTACATAGGTATGTCCTGTCCTTGAGTCTCTGTGTGAGCTTGGCTCATATGGCCTTCCGGAAGGAATGGGAATCCTGGCCAGCTGAAACAAACTTGACCTTCTTTCCCTCCTGGACTTCTTTCTGGAGTCCAGGCCCAGCAGCTGGCACACCACTTACCGCTTATTCTCTCCCCACAGGCGGAGCCCCGGATGTGGCCGCTTTGACTGGCAACAGGTTCTCTGCAGGCATCACAGGCTGCATCAAGAATCTGGTGCTGCACTCGGCCTGGCCCGGTGCCCCACCCCCACAGCCCCTGGACCTGCAGCACCGCGCCCAGGCGGGGACCAACACACGTCCTTGCCCCTCATAGGCACCCGCCTGCCCCACACAGACTCCCAGGCAGTGCCCTAGGCCGACCATGTTGAGTATATTATTATTAATATTATTATTATGAATTTTTTGGTAAGAAACGGAGGCGATACCATGCTTTGCTGCTACCGCCTTGGGCTGGACTGGTGGGTGGACATGCCACCCATACACACACACATCTAAGCAAAGCCACAGGGCTGGTAGGCAGGACATGTTGGATGTGACTGGGTCCTAGAAGGCCTTCAGGAACTGGGACCGGGCATAGTGACCCGGTGGACCCAAAACCACCCCTCTTGCTAAGTGGAAACTCCCCAAGGTAGAGCTGGGCCACCCCTATCTCTACAGCCCTTGGGCAGCCTTCATTCCTACAAAAGCCCTTCGGACACTTTAACCTCGGCTTACAAACCTGCTACCTGAATAGGAAGGTGCCAGCAACAGCCTTTGCCCCCATCGCCTGGGTTGTGAAAGCTCTTGAGTGCCAGCCGTGGAACAAAGGCAGCTTCCTGCCCCCATCAGCCTATATGTCCTAGTCCCTCCACCTCATCCCAGCCAGCCTCTCCTCCCTCCTGGCCTGCCTCCCCCCAAAATATCCCAGCCCAGGGACCCTGCTCTCGGGGGCTGCAGACCTACCCCAGCTTGTACCAGGAGCTGCTGCCAGCTGAGCCCGACACAGAGAGGGTCTCCCTGCTCACACCAGGCCACATCCCACCACCCATCTGGAAGTGAAGGCCCAGGGGACAGTGGGAGAGGTGGTCAGGAGGAGTTAGTGCTTTGAATAAGGGGGAACCAGAGCCCTTGACAGGGAGAGTGGAGGGGCGATGACAGCCTGGCCTCATCTGTGGAAGCCTGAGGGCCCAGCTGGAGGCAAGCACCCTCCACCAGCAGCCCCAGACCATTAGGAGCTCAGGGGTGGGCTCCCTGGCCTCCATGTCCTGGAATGGACCCTCCTGTGGTCTTTGTCTTGGTTTTTCTTAAATAAACGGTGCTATCCCCGCCAGGGTCGTCTCTTGATCTCTGACTCATTCTTGACTCAGTGGAACTTAAGAGTGGGCTGGGTTGGAGCCTAGCAGGCAGATGAGCCACCCAGGCTCCTGGGTGCCAGGCTATTCATGTGACCCTCAAAGCAACCCGTTCTGTAGGAGAGCAGTTTGCAAGAATTTAGTGACCTACTCAATGGGAGTTTAGAGCTCAGGACTGTTTGACTCCAGAACCCACTCTCTTCTCACACCTCACACTTCCCTAGGGCTGGCCTTCCTGACCTTGGAAGGCTAGTCCACTCGGCCTCAGCCCCCCAGGGGTGACCCGACCAGGACACACATAGCAGATGGTGCAGGCTGCTCTGCTGCTGAGACAGAGTCGCTGAGACCCAGGCGAGCCGGCTAGGAACACAACAGACAACAGAGGAGGCCAGCAGAGGCCAGGAGCAGTGAGGAGACCAGTGCCACCTTGTTTAGCTGGGGTCCTGCAGAAGGAAAGAGCTCACTCAGGATGACCTGGGCCTGCTGCTCCCATGCCCATGGTCAGAGAAGAATGCTCTTGGCAAGTAGAGCAGGGCACAGAGTATAACCTAGAGCCATCGTCCTACCTTTTGATGCTGCATCCTGGAGTACGGGGCCCCTGCCCGTGGGAACAGTCCTCTCTGGAGCGATACGGAAGGCTCCTGCAGACCCGAGAGCTGGAGAGAGTCAGCGGCTGGGGGTGTCACCATCAGTACTCTGGGCCTGGCTAGACACTAGAGCAGGACCTGTGGTGGGACAGGACAGAACTGACATAGAACTGCCCCTCCTGGGGCATGTCACCTCTTTCATCCTCACATGCCCTCTCTTAGGTTGTAGTTCTTAATATTCCCATCTTACAAATAAAGGAAATAAGGCACCCAGAGGATAAGTGACTTCCAAGGCCACACAGATGAAGGGATAGGTGAGGGCTTCAACTTTCCCAGTCTCTCTCCAGGAGAAGGGGTTTATGAATGAAGGAGCTGCTTCTCAAGAGGCGAACACAAAATGCTTACAGGAGGAAGGATGAAGGACACCTGCTGAGCATTTTCTGTGCACGAAGTGTTATGTTCTGCACTGGATGCTTGACCTACAGTGAAGTGCTGCTGAGTCGAGTACAAAGTGCTTGCTGCAGGTCAAGGACTGTAGACTTTAATATGGGTTGAAACTCAATATCAAGAAAACAAAGATTCTCACCACTGGGCCGATTGACAGCAACATGATAGTCGTTGAAGAGATTGAGATTGTTAACAGCTTTAGTTTGCTTGGCTCCACAATCAACCTTTTTGGCACCAGCAGCCAGGAAATTAAAAGACATAATGCATTGGGAAAATCTGCTGTCTGAGACCTCTCCAAGGTACTGAAGAGCAATGATCTCAGTCTGGAGACTAAGGTGCGCCTGATACAGGCCATGGTCTTTGCTATCACTTGCTATGCATCAGAGAGCTGGACAATGACTAGGGATAATAGAAGGAGAATTGATGCCTTTGAGATGTGGTGTTGGAGAAAAGTATTGAATATTCCATGTACTGCTGAGAGAACGAACAGGTTCATCCTGGAGAGGGTAAGACCAGGTTGCTTCATGGAGGCAAGGATTCTGAGGCTTTGTCTGAGATACTTTGGACATGTTGCAAGGAGAGACCAGTCCTTGAAGAGGGAGGTCATGGTTGGAAAGGTGGAGGGACAGCTCAGGAAAGGAAGACCCTTGATAAGATAGATTGATTCAGTCACTGGGGTATTCGGGGTAGGTGTGTTAGAGACAATGAGATTGGCACAGGATAGAGCAGGGTTTAGGGCTGTTGTATACAGGGTTGCTATGAGTCACAGATGACTTGATGGCACATAACAACAACAGTAACAACCGTGTCAACAACAAATCTGAACTGGGTCTTATCCTTCATCGTCTTTAGCATCCTCGACACAATTTGAGTCCATTGCTGCAGACACTAATAATCCATCTCATGGAGACTCTTCCTCTTCTTCACTGATCCCCCACCTTTCCAAGCAATAGCCTTCCCTTTCCAAGGAATAACCTCTCCTAACATGGCCAAAACATGTGAGAAGAAGCTTCACCATCTTTGCCTCAAGGAACATTCTGGTTGCACTTTTCCCAAAACATATCTGTTCTTTTGACAGTTCATAAGATTTCGAGTATTTTTCTCCAACACCACAACTCAGATGCGTAAATTCTTCTCCTGTCATCCTTATTCATTGTCCAACTCTCAGATGCATAGCACGTGACTGGAAAGTCAGATCCACTTTACTCTTTAAGCTGACATCACTGCTCCATTTAGTCTAACAACTCGGAAAGGCAGGTTCATCATTCTCACTTTTATAGATCAAGAAACTGAGGCATAGTGATGTGCATTCTTCCACTCCTTTGGCTAATGTTTCTGAAATACCAACTGTATCTTAGTCATTGGCCCAGGGATGGGAGATTGGGGGTGGGGGGAACAGTGAGAAAAAAAAAAGGCAAAAACGTTTTCATAGAAGTGGCATTTTAGTGGAGAAAGACTAACAAGACACAAAAACTAATAAATGCCAAATTGTAGTGGTTCATAGTATATTAGTCTTCGCCAAAACAGTTCAGTCATCACTTCTGTCCTCTTTTTTTCTAGTTCCAACTTTTGCATGCATCTGGACAGCCAAAAGCAAAAATCTTAGAAGAGTGACAACCAGAATGTTTAGAAGTTACTTTGGACGTGTCACTGGTCAAGTTCAATTGCTATAAAAGGGCACCACAGTCCGTAAAGGAGAGTCAGTGAAAACACAGGACCCTCCCTGAGGTGACTTGACACATTAGCCACAGCAATGGGCTCTAAGGTGCCTGTGATCATGCTGATGGTGCAGGAGGCAGCGGCTTTTGTCCTGTTGTACGTGAGGTCACTCAGGGTAGAAGCTGACTAATGCCCATGTCAGATGGAGACGGGGGTATGGAAAGGAGACGGTGCTGGCTGGTTGGGCAGGGTTACTGTTTGTTCTTTCTTTAAATAAAAGGGTCAGGGAAGAAACTACTGAGAAGAGGAGGTAGAGCAGAGACCTGCAAGACAGATCTATGAAGAAGAGCCTTCCAGGTGACAGAAAGAAGCTTGTGCAACAAGCAGACAGGTCCTTGGCTGGGGTTATTGAGAAGGCCCTAGAGATAGCACCAAGAAAGCAAGAAGACCAATGTGGGCAGATGGGAGATGAGACCCCAGAAGTGAAAGAGCCAGATGGCACAGATGTGGGAGGTTTTGCTTTGCTGAGTGAGTGATAACAGGGTTTGATCAGAGGATTTGAGCATGGTAGTGGCATGATCTGAACTGATATTTTAAAAAGCTCCTCTTCTTTCAAAGAGAAGAGCGAATTAAGGGGAAGGAGGGCTGGGCAGGGAGAAAAGTGCAATAATGAATGAATGGAAATCCTCAGTCTCTGTAAACTTTCATTAAAGTAATAATAATTTTTTTAAAAAAAAAAGCTCCTTTCTTACATGTATGGAGAAAGGGGAGAGTAACTACAGGAGAGAAATCTCACAAGCACTACCTCAGTCAGGTGGTCAAGATCAACATCAAGAATTACACGTCAAGGTGATAGTATGAAACTTACATGTGATGAAAGCGGCCCTTAGCCTCTGTGGGCTCCTCCCCAAAACCCTCACACCAGCCTGATAGTGCAGAAACACAGCAGACAAGTTCCAATAATGAGGTATCCTAGCCATAATAAATATCTATGCAGCTAATGAAAAAGCCCCCAAATGCAGAAATCAAACCTTATCAAAGTTGAAAAGAGAAACATGCAATTCCAAAACAACAATAGGAAACTTTACTAAACCACTTCTGATAAGGGAATGGCCAACAGTGGGGGTGGGGACTGAACAAGGGAAAACTAAACAATACACTCAACCAATTTGATGTCCTAAATCAACAAAAAGTATAAAATGCACAGCTCACACAGAACCTTGTCCAGAACAGAACATATTTGAGGCCACAAAGCAAGCCCTTTAATAAATTTTGAAACATCCAAATGCTACAAAATGTCTTTTCTGATCACAACACTATTAAATCTACAATAGGAAGATTTAGGGGAGAATCAACTAGATGGAAACTGAGTAACAGTTTGCTTAAAAACTGAAACCATGAACATTTTAAATTTTTAAACCATGAATTTTTTTTTTAAGGTTTCCTGACTCAATCAATAATGAAAACACACCTCAAAACCGTCGGTGTTGGTGAGCTCTGGTGGCCTAGTGGCAAGAAGGTGTACTGCAATCCAGATTGCAATCCCAGATGCTCTGCTGGAGGAGGAACAATCTCCTCCAGTGCCAGTCAGATCTGATTGACGGTACACACACACACACACACACACAATTTAAAAAATTAAAAAAACAACAAAAAACGTTGGTGTTGTAGTCAACTCAATGGCACACAACAATGTTCAACTGAACAAGACAGTAATTCAATGGGACCACAATTGAACAAGATGAGAATGATGAGGCCTCCTTCAAAATGCCTGACCAAGACTCCTTAAAACTGTCAAAGTTATGCTTTCCTCAGTTGCCGCTAAGGTGCTCGGTCCTTCCGAGGAAGCTAAGGCCGCGTTGGGGTGAGGCCCTCACTCACTTCATCCGGCGACTAGCACTGCATCAGGTAGCCTTCAGCCTAGTTACCACCGCACCGCGAGGCCCTCTCTCACTTCATCCGGCGACTAGCACTGCATCAGGCAGCCTTCAGCCTAGTTACCACCGCACCATGCCCCCCCCCCCCTTCTCTGAACTCGCCTGCATCTACTTGGCCCTCATCCTGCACGGCGATAAGGTGACAGTCACAGAGGATAAAATCAATGCCCTCATTAAGGCAGCCGGTGTCAACGTTGAGCCTTTCTGGCCTGGCCTGTTTGCAAAGGCCCTGGCAAATGTCAACATTGGGAGCCTCATCTGCAATGTGGGTGCTGGTGGACCTGCCCCAGCGGCCGGGGGCCGCACCAGCTGGAGGACACCCCACCCCACCCCCACCCCACCCCCACCCCGCTGCTGCTCCAGCTGAGAAGAAAGTGGAAGCAAAGAAACAAGAATCTGAAGAGTCTGATGATGACATGGGATTTGGTCTTTTTTACTAAACTCCTTTTGTAACATGTTCAATAAAAAATCCTGAACGCTTCAAAAAAGAACCAAAACTGTCAAAGTCATCAAAAACAAGGAGGATCTGAATAAATGCCATGACCAAGAATAACCTGAAAAATAGGGAGAGTAAATGTGGCGTGACAATCTGGAGAAAGATGGGCTTTGACTAAAGAAGACCACATGGAGGCGCTCGCACACCAGCTCAGGTATTAAAGGACCAGGTGGATGAAAGTCTGACTCTTAGGAACCTATGTTGCCTGTCAGAGACCCCGTGTTCTTATCTCAAAAGTGCTCACAAGCCCATGTTAAATTGTCCACTCAGGGTATTGTGCCAGCTTCTGATAATGCTTATGGTTATGTCACCACAGGAGACAGCCACTGCTGCCACCCAGCAACATGCTCCGGTCCCAGGGAACCTACTGGGCTTACACTCAATCTGGCAGTGAGGACACACTCTAGCAGTTAAGCCTATGAGTTTAACTTCAGTTGCTTCTTCTATGAGCCACAAGGAGCTGGGCATGTCACTCAATCTCCCTGCATCTATTCCTTAGCTACAGTAGGAGGATATCAGCAGGACAGAGTTCCTTTAAGAAACAGATGTGCTCTAGCTTGCAAAGGACCAATGCCAATACTTACTAGACTAATATAATTCATATCAGCTCTGGCTTCTGATGTTTATCACTTCTAATCCTAACCACTCTCCTCTGTCAATATCTGAAGGACTAGCTCATATGCTTCTCCTCACCCTCTTTATCAATGGAGCTGGTTGCCCCATCACAATACCAAAACCCCACAGTCTGCAGTTACCCCCAACCTAGGCGGAAAGAGGTGACTTTAGCCACGAAATCCACTCAAGGCTGGTGGCCTCTAGTGACAAGGCGCAGGCCCAGGGAAGGTCCAGAGGATACCACCGTGGGAGGGATAGTCAGACCACAAACAGGGGGACCCAGGGGCTGGGGTGTCCCTGGAGGGCCTTCATAGAGCTGCAGGAGGGTCTGGAGATGTAGCTCACCGGTGGAGCACAGTGGCTCACGTGCCGCGGCTTTCTGGTTTGTGGCTCATTGAACTGCAGGTAGGACCCAGGGGCACATGGGTCCCACTCCAGGGAGGAGGCGTTAGGTGCTGAGTGTGCTGGTGTCGCAGACATGAGGCTGTAGACCAGGAAGAAGTGGAACTGGAAGCTGATCCTGTTGCTGGGAGACTTTGCCAACATCCAGAGGCTGCAGTCAGTGTCCCGGGTGACGAAGTAGAACCTGCATGACTCAGAGTGTGAGCACAACAGCAGCCTGTCCCCCTGCCATGTCTGCCCGCAGATGTCCACTAGGTCAGCTGCAGGGAGGAAAAGGACCCTAGAGCTAGGCAGCCTGGTTTCCAAGCCTCCCTCTGCCCCTTGATAGCTGTGTGACCTCCAGCCAGTTACCTACCCTCTCTGAGCCTCCGTTTTCTCTTCAGTAAAATGGAATGACTAAACAATAGTGCAGATCTCAGATTTTAGTGAAGATGAAATTATTTCATTGAAAGCCACAATGTCTTAAAACCTTTGAATGTGTTTCCAATTTTTTCAGATTTTATATAGAGTATGTTACATTACAACGCCAAGTAGAATCTGTAGCTGTCCTCAGTAATCAAACACATCCAGTTTTTAAAGCAGTTGTATGAAAATTCTCTCTAAACTGGGCAAATAAAGATGATAAATAGATATTACCATTTAATTGTTGTTGTTATGTGCCGTCGAGTCGCTTGCAACTCATAGCAACCCTATGTACAACAGCCCTAAACCCTGCTCTATCCTGTGCCAGTCTCACTTCTGACACACCCATCCTGATTACCCCAGTCACTGAATCAGTCCACCTCATAGAGGGTCTTCCCTTTCTGCGTCGTCCCTCCACCCTCCCAAGCATGATGTCCCTCTCCAAGGACCTCTCCCTCCTTACAACATGTCCAAAATATGTCAGACGAAGCCTCAGAATCCTTGCCTCCAAGGAGCAGCCTGGTTTAACCCTCTCCAGGATGAATCTGTTTGTTTTCTTGGCAGTCTTACTACTACCGTTTAATTATGTAAGGAAAATTTTGGAGTTTCAAAGATTTTGGAACTACAACTAAAAATTTCTCTTTAGGGCAGTGCCTGACACATAAATAAACAAGTGCTATGGAAATGTTTACAACTACTACCAGCTAAAAGCAGAAGTGTAAGATACTGGGCTGCTAGTCAAAAGATCAGCAGTTCCAATCCACTAGTTACTCTGGAGAGAAAGATGGGCAGTGTCCTCCTTCGAATATTTACAGCTTCAGAAGCCTGGTGGAGGGTTGACATGAGTCAGGACCACCTTTAATGCAACAGGTTGGGTTTTTCTTTTCTTTCCTTTTCCTTCTTTTTTTTTTTTTTTGGTGGTCTCCTGTTTATTGATGTGCCTCCTACCTTCCCTCTCCACAATTTCAGTCTCTTCCATACACCCCCAAAGAGAAGGTACAGGAAAGGATTGTTGGGATTTGAAACACTTGCACACTTAGAAAGGAAACGGAAAGCAAAACAATCACTGGGTGTGAGACTGATCACCAAGAAGTCTGAAACAGAGCAGGAAAGGTGACAGAGAAAGGAGAGATTAGGAGACATCTCCACCATTACCTCTTCTGAGATGGGGGCTGGAGAGAAAAACCTCAAAGATTAAGTAGTGCAGGTCTTCAATAAGGGAAGTTGTTGAACCTGAAGAAAGAGGGGGCACCTCAGTCTATGTAGAATGGGAGCCCCTCACCCCTCAAGAGCAGCAGCCTCACAGACGCTTTCCTCACTGTAGGCAATGTATAGGAAGAAGGCTTCTTCGTGGTGATCCTGGTGTAGTTGACCCAGTGTGGTCCACTGGTGGGTGGAATGACATTGTTGACAAAGAAAAACAAGGCATCTTCAGCTCGGAGATGAATTTGCTTCCGGATCAAGAAATAGAATAGACCAGCTGTGACATTAGAAGGCACCAGGTATTTTTGTCCAGATCTCCTATCGGAGCTTTAGGAGCCAAGAAAACAAACAGATCTGTCCTGGAGAGGGTGAAACCAGGATGTTCCTTGGAAGCAAAGATCTTGAAACTCTGTCTCACACACACACTTGGGCATGTTGTCAGGATGAACCAGACCTTGGAGAAGGACATCATACTTGGAAGGGTGGAAGATCAGCACAGAAGAAGCAGACCTTGGATGAGATGGATGAGACTGTGGCAATGGGGGCTGGTGTGCCAGAGATGATGAGGTTGGCTCAGGACAGCACAGAGTTCAGAGCCACTGTTTATATGGTCACTGAGAGTCACAGATGACTCGGCGGCACATAACAGACCAAAACCAAACTCACTGCTGTCGAAGTGGTGCGATTCACAGCAATCCTCCATCACGTTTCTGAGGCTGGAAATCTTAAAGGGAGGAGGCTTCCCACCTTTGTCCCATATAGCGACTGGTAGATCTGAACTGTTGACCTTCCAGTTAGCAGACCAACACATAACAGATGCAAAACTAATTGAAGCTTAAGCCATAAGGACATTGATTACAAGCATACCTCTGAAATCTTGTGGGTTCAGTGCTAAACCACAATAAAGTAAGTCATGAGACTTTCTTTGATTTTTCCAGTGCATATAACTGGTTTTAAACCTCACTTTCATGTGTGTTGGGCAACCAAAAAAGTCAGATGACTCACTTTATTGTGGTGGTTTAGGACTTACCCTACAATATATCCCTGAGGTCTGCCTCTAATGAATGTCCTTATTGGTTTAAGCCCAAAATAGCTTGGCCTCTGTTACAGCTCCAAACACCCTTGCTGGTACAGAGTGGTGAGGATTAAATAAATGCTCTGACTTGCCCTGAATTCTTAAGGGCAGGAAGAGAAGAGGACGCAGGTTTCTTGGGGCACCAGTGGGTGTTTGAGGCTGAGGCTCCTCAAGTAGGAAAATCCCCAGTAGGATTCAGGATGTGGGCGTGTTTTCCCACTGAAATGCAGAGCAAAACCAGAGGCTGCCCAGGAGGCATGCAGGGTAGGCTTGGAGTTTAGACAGTATGCAAAATGAGCACCTTCTATGTTCTTAGCTCTGTCCTTGAAGGTGTATCTCCTCTTATATACATCACATCATTCAGGTCCCTAATGATTCATTCCTATTTGACAGCTGAAGAAACTGAGAATGAGAGGTGAAGAAACTGAGAATGAGAGGTGAAGCAACTGTCTCCAGGGAAAAAGAGTGTGTATGTGCAAGGAAGAAAAGAGCGGGTCTGGGAATGCAGGGTTGTCTGACTCCAAAGGCCACAGTATTTCCCAATGAGTATTATCTGACCCGTTCTCAGGCCCCTGCTTCCAGGTGGCTCCAGAGTTCCAGCCACAGAGGCCTGGGGGCACCAAGCAAAACTCAAGAATATAGGGATCCCTGGACTCCCCAAATCAGAATCCCAGCTCATCAGAGTGAGTGGTGCTGGAGGAGTAGCAGCCTCTTAAGTCTGGTGGGGACCCTGCTCTCCTGTCTGCCCTGCTTCATTCTCACCTGTCTCCAGAGCAGACACTGTCAGCACAGCTGCACTCAGGAGGAGTAGTCTCTGTGGCAGCTGTGGGTGGCAGGCCTCCATCCAGGCCCTCCTGTGCCCAGCAAAAGGGGCAGACCTGCAGAATCTTTACTTGAGGTCTACAGAGGCCAAGGCCAGACTAGGGAAGAGGACACAATTTGCACAGAGAGGCAAATCCACCAGTCCTTCTGGGCTCTTCACAATGGTCTTGTGCTCCCTGTTCCATATCCTCCTTCAGTTCGGGATGGTGTCAGGGGGTTGTCATGGAGATTTGGTGATGAATGGAGTCTGAAGAGAGAAGGCAAAGAGGATATCTGCCCCTTGTAAGTTGGGAGCCAGGAAACAGATCCTGTCCAGCCACAGGGGTCCTGGGAGGGGGATCTACAGCCTTAGCAGCTGTTACTTTCTTGGACAAGCTGACGTAGTCAGGCTACTCCCTAAATGTGGTCCCAAAAAAATGTTTCCAGTGTTGCTGTTAGATGCCAATTAGTCAACTACATCTCATTGTGACCCTGTAAACAAAAGATCTGAACTTTGCCTATCCTGTCGCCATTTCTGGTATGCTTCAGTTCACGGACGCAGTCACTCTGTCAGTCCATCTTATTGGAGGTCTTCTCTTCCTCTGGACCTCCACCTTCTCCAGTGTGGTGTCCTTTTCTAAGAACTGGGCTCTCCTAACTACATGTCCAGGACGTGTCAGATGAAGTTTCGCCATCCTTGTCTCTAAGACGCACCTTGGTTTCATTTTCTCCAAGACAGATTCAGTATTCTCCTCCAACACCATAATTCAAAGGTATCGATTCTTCTCATAATCCTTATCCAAATTCCAGGTGCATAGAAAAGAATTGAAAAGACCATGGCTTAAATCAGAATACCTTAGTCTTTAAAGTAACATCATTGCTCTTTTAGCACTTTGGAAAGATCCTTGACAGCAGGTTTCCCCAGTGCAATATGCCTTGATTTCTTCACAGCTGCTTCCATGGGTGTCGATTGTGGATCTAAATAAGATGAAATTGGTAACAATATCAAACTTTTCTTCATCTATACTATTGGTCCAGGGGTGAGGATTTTTGTTTCTTGATATTGAGATGTAATCCATCCATATTGAAGGCTATATTTTGCATTGATATTTTGCAGCAAATGTTTCAAGTCCTCTTCACTTTCAGTAAGCAAGGTTGTGTTATTTGCATCATGCAGGTTGTTGATGTCTCCTGTACACTCCTTAAATTTAGATTCTTTCTCCTGTTAACTAAGAATAGCAAAACAGGAACCTGTGCTTTTCTAGGCAAGCAAAAAAGAGTTTCTCATTTTAAATGGCTTTCCTAGTGATTGACTTTGACTTTCACCACACATGTGGGAATAAGTTGTGTACAAAGCAATCATTATGAGATTGGCCAATTTCCCCCATACCGCCAAGTTAAATTGCTTATCAGCTAGTAGCAAATGTGGGACTCACCAGCTGGGAGTAAAAGCAGAGAGTGTAGCTCCCATGCTACAGGACCAGAGAATCCTGTGCCAGCCAGACCAGGATCAACACAAGAGTAATAGCAGCCTTAGTAGAGCACTAGAGACCAACACGAGACAGAGCTGACTTGGAGATGCTGCCCCACCAGTCAGAGCGAGGGGCCTTCACCCAAGCTTGCTGGAAGACTAAGGTAAGGGAAGACACCATAACTGGAAAGACTAAGGAACTTTGTAACACTGGCCTCAGTCATGAGGTTGAAGATCAAAGAGAACAAACACTTGAGGAGCTGCCTGGACTGAGAAACCATCTAGACTAAGGAATTGTAGCCTTCCGCTAACCTGAATTGTAATCAGATAACTTTCCTAATAAAGTGCTTGACTTGAAGTGTGGTTCTAGGAGATCTGCAGAAGAGGGTATCACCTGGGATTGGCCCATGTGGGAAAGATTAGGATAATTAAGCACAAATGCAATTGTTCTTTGAAGGTAGTTACCACTGGAAGTACTTTCTGGGTCTCGTGGGGAACATGTGCATATGATTAAGATGGCAACAAGTATGCGTGATTCAGCAACATGTACATATGGCTTGAAAGATGGTCATCTACAAGTGAGGTTCTTGGTCATCATGGAACATGCCTTTTCAAGATGACTGCTCTCTAGAAGGTCCTACAGGAGTCACTTACATGGCCCCTGAACTCTTTTTAACAGAATTAAAGGTTAAGTGAAAATACCTGGAGGTGTCCTTTGGGGTGTGTTCTTGTGTCTTGAATAAGCAAATCATTTGAGAAGCAGGACTTTATGAAGAAGTATGTGGCATCAGGATTGGAGGAAGACTCATCAACAACCTGCATTATACAGATGACACAATCTTGCTTGCTGAAATTGAAGAAGACGTGAAGTACTTACTGAATCAGATCATCAAAGACTACAGCCTTCAATATGGGTTTTATCTCAACAGAAAGAAAACAAAAATCCTCACCTCTGGACCAATAAGCAGCATCATGATAGATGGAGAAAAGACTGAAATTTTTAATGATTTTGTTTTTCTTGGATCCACAGTCAATGCCCACAGTACTGACAATTAATAAATCAAAAGATGTGTTGTATTGGAGAAATCTACCATGAAGGACCTCTACAGAATTCTAAAGAGCAAGAATATTAGTTTAAAACTAAAGTGCACCTCACCCAAGCCATGATTCTTTCTGACAAAGCCAGCTGAAAGTTAGATACTGAATAAGTTGGACCAGAAAAAATAGATGCCTTTGAACTGTATTATTGGATAAAAGTATTGAATATCTCATGGACTGCTAATAAAACCGACCAAATTTGTCTTGAAGGAGGTGCAGACAGAGTGCTCTTTATAGCCAACGATGGTAAAGCTTCATCTCACTTTCTTTGGATATATTTTCAGGAGGAAACGTCCTCGGAGAGGCGTTATACTGGGAAAGGTCAGTAAAAGAAAGGAAGACTCTCACTGAGCTGAACTGAACAGTTATTACAACAATGTGCTTGAGTAGGACACAGATTACAAGAATGGCACAGGATGGATCAAAACTCAGATCTTTTTCATAAGGTCACTATGAGTTGTAGTCGACTTGATGGCATAATATAATAACAACTTGAGTCTATAATGCCTGAATTAGCTACATGCTGGCTTTTCCTGATCTGAGAAACATCTCAAGAGAAAATGTTTTCATTCAGGACATCAGGTGGAGGGAAAAGACACAGGGAAATAAGAAGGTTTGTGGTTTAGAAGAAACCTACCAGTAATCCACTTAAAGTTTAAAACATTTAAATTTTTCCTTCTCATTCTTTGAAAAAGTCATCCTGGATACAAGGTCAGAGGGTCCTATTATTATGTTCATGGAAGGGAGTGAAGCTCAGCTACATAGCGCAGGGGAGGCAAACTACCACAAAAGAAGAATAAAAAGGATTTTCTCAAAACTGCCCCCTAAGCAAAAGGACAGGGAGTGAAGCTCAGCTGTAGATTGAAAGGTGGAGGCAAGCAATACCAAAGGGTTTAAACTTGATAAGGAAGCTTTCCAAGTCTCAGTTTCCTCATCTTTAAAATGCATGATGATAGTTTCAACTTCATCAGCATTTTGTAAAGATGAAGTAAATTAATGTAAGTGTGGTATTTAGAACAGGATAGTATAGCTAATGTCAGATGGATCTTGGCTGAAAGCAGAGAGTACCAGAGGAATGTCTATCTGTGTTTCATTGACTACGCAAAGGCATTTGACTGTGTGGATCACAACAAACTGTGGCTAACCTTCAGGAAATTGGGAATCCTGGAACACTTGATTGTGCTTATGCGAAACCTATACTTGGACCAGGAGGCAGTTGTCAGAACAGAGCAAGGGAACACTGCATGGTTCAAAATTGGAAAGGGTGTGCACCAAGGATGTGTCCTATCTCCATATCTTTTCAATCTATATGCGGAACAGATTATCTGGGAGATTGGGCTCTATGAGGAGAAATGTGGCGTCAGGATTGGAGGTACACTAATCAACAATCTGCATTATTCAAATGACACAATCCTGCCTGTTGATACTGAGGAGGACCTGAAGCGCTTGCTGTAGAGTATCAAGGACTGCAACCTTCAATATGGATTGAAGCTCAAAGTCAAGAAAACGAAGAGTCTCACCACTAGGCCAACTGGCAGCATCATGATAGATGGTGAAGAGATTGAGATTGTTGACAGCTTCAGTTTGCTTGGCTCTACAAGCAACACTCTCGGTATCAGCAGCCAGGAAATTAAAAGACAAATTGCATTTGCAAAGTCTGCTGTCAGAGACCTCTCCAAAGTACTGAAGGGCAACAATGTCAGTTTGGAGACTAAGGTGTGCCGGATACAGGCCATGGTATTTGCAATCACTTGCTATGCATCAGAAATTTGGACAGTGATTAGTGATGATAAAAGGAGAATTGATGCCTTTGAGCTGTGGTGCTGGAGAAGAATATTGAATATACCATGGACTGCTAGGAGAAAAACAAGTTCATCCTGGCGAGGGTGAAGCCAGACTCCTCCTTGGAGGCAAGGATCCTTCTGACATAGTCTGGGCATATTGCAAGGAGTGACTAGTCCTTGGAGAGTGACAGTCATGCTTGGGAGGGTGGAGGGACAGCTCAGAAGAGGAAGACCCTCGATGAGATGGATTGATTCAGTGATTGGGGTAATGCTGGTAGGTGTGTTAGAGACAATGGGATTGGCACAGGATAGAGCAGGGCTGTTGTACATAGGGTCACTATGAGTTGCAGGAAACTCAATGGTACATAACAACAACAATCACCTGCCACATAGGGAGCTGTGGTGTCCTAGGCAGCAAGAAACTGCACTGCAATCCCAAAGGTGTGCAGTTTAAGGCCACCAGCTGCTCTGTAGGAGAAGAATGGCCAGTCTACTCCCATGCGATTAACTTCCTCTGCAAACCCATTGGAGGGTCAACTATGGATCAGTTCTGACTATACCGTATATAACAACAGCCTGCCACATAGTAAAGTACTAATATATGTGTCAGATTGGATGAAAAATTTTAAAAATAAATAATACAAAATAAAAACATAATACGTTGCCATCTAGTCAATTTTAGCTCATAGT